TAATCTTTGGTTACTACTGTCAGAGGGGGGAGAGAGGGGGAAGTAGGTTTAATCAAATACTTAATCTTTGGTTACTACTGTCAGAGGGAGGAGAGAGGGGGAAGAAGGTTTAATCAAATACTTAATCTTTGGTTACTACTGTCAGAGGGGGGAGAGAGGGGGAAGTAGGTTTAATCAAATACTTAATCTTTGGTTACTACTGTCAGAGAGGGGAGAGAGGGGGAAGTAGGTTTAATCAAATACTTAATCTTTGGTTACTACTGTCAGAGGGGGGAGAGAGGGGGAAGTAGGTTTAATCAAATACTTAATCTTTGGTTACTACTGTCAGAGAGGGGAGAGAGGTGGAAGTAGGTTTAATCAAATACTTAATCTTTGGTTACTACTGTCAGAGGGGGGAGAGAGGTGGAAGTAGGTTTAATCAAATACTTAATCTTTGGTTACTACTGTCAGAGGGGGGAGAGAGGTGGAAGTAGGTTTAATCAAATACTTAATCTTTGGTTACTACTGTCAGAGAGGGGAGAGAGGTGGAAGTAGGTTTTATCAAATACTCTTTGATTACCACTGTCAGAAGGTGGGGGTGGTGGGGGGATGAATCAAATACTTAATCTTTGATTACTTCCGTCAGAGACGGATCGGCTTTGATGTGCAAGTATGACAAAACCCCAAAACATAAAATAAGTTTAACGTCTTCTAGTGACCGCCATACAAAAAAACTACCAACCACACTATATACTGTGGTCACAGAAATGGATGACTTTTCAGTAGTGACCTTATCCGTTCTTGACCAAGACACACAGGGCAGATGAAGTAGAGTTGGTTTGTTTCTGTGACCTCGGCATGGGAAGGGATAGCGTGGTCAGCACTATGCCAAGTCGCCTTGGTTTCCCTAACGCCAGTCAGGTACCCATTAGAGCTGGGTGGACTCAGTGACGTTCTACTGACTGGAGCCCGGATTGGAACTCGAGACCTTAGGGTAATGACATTATGTGATACATTTCCTTAGAACTTTATTTTAATTTTAGATCAGTTGTACACACACCTTTAATCATATCGTAGCTACTCCAACCAAACCACATTAGACCAGCGGTCTCTAAGACAAATTCATGTTTTAAAATGATTTTGTTATTTTTCTTAGTAAAAAAATGAAATAAAAGTGTTTTACCAAAAAAAAAAAAGTTTGAATGTCGAGATGTGTCAAGTGTTGGTTATTGGTGCGATTAGCATAGGCCCACTTCCATATAATCCGTATTAGAGAAAGTTAACAAGCTTCAATTTGTTAACAATTATTTGAGTTAATCTAAATTAATCTAAATTCACGTTGTTTCGAAGTACAGAGAAAGTCTTGTAATCGTGCAAAAAAAAAATCGAGATTTTTACAAATCTCGACGTTTTACACCTCACTGATACGGAAAACATAATTTTGCAATCTTGTCCGTATGTCTGTATGTCTGTCTGTGTGTGTATGTGTGTGTGTGTGTAAACACGATAACTTGAATACCGCTAGGTTGATGAAATTTCATATATAAGTATTTTATCAAAATCGTAGAGCCGTATCAACTTTTGAGCGATTTCCTATAACAGAAAGTGGTACTTTTTCTACTTTGAAGTTTTAAAAAGCCTATAACTTGAGTACTATTTCAGATACATAAATGAAAATTTTCCACATGTAAGTAAAAGATCTAATTCTCTGCATTCTGTCAAATTTTGAGTCATTTCCGTTGACCGGAAGTACTAATTTACGCTGTTTCCGATTTCTCAAAAAAAGCATGTAAATTTATGAAGTACTAATAATATTGCGCACTATTATGCACATTTTGTTTTGGCGTTTGGTGATGCGCAATTCTTTTTTCTACGAGATTCTATTCTATTTTAAAAAGTTTAAGTTTAAGTAATTAAAAATCATGTCTATATTTCGAGTTATATGAGAATATTCCCGAAAGTTTAGAGGAGATCACTCCCGGTTTATTTAAAAAATAATTTAATGAAACGCCTTGGAGAGCTGTGATAATGAAATTGCAAAGTAGTCGATAATAATATTCAATAATAGTCTGCTTAAAAAATATTAGGTTCAAGAAGAACAAAATGATGTTTATTTATTATAGTTCAATTATTCTTTAGAATGTGTAAAACTGTAGCCTTAATTGTATTTTCCATTAAGCCTTTCTGATATTTTTTGCGGAAACATCCCTACGTATTAGTTGTTAAATGGACGCAATACAATTTTAATAAATGCTCTACAGTTATTTCCCTTTCCTCACTTTCTCTCATACATATGACAACAGGCTCCACAATAGCACGCTTTTCCCCCTCAAGTTACTCTTAACATTAACATCGCTAATTAACTTGTGTGAAGTAAAATTGCGAACACTTAAGTAATTAGAAAATCTTCTATTTATAGCACGCACCACAGACTATCAAACAGATGGTGGTGTTGAGGGGGAGGGAGTTTCAAGGGGAGGGAAGCGATTGGCTTAGTATTGGCGTCTTCTTTACAAGTGTGTACGACGCTAACTACCGAAACATAACGGCGTAATGTAAACAATCCGAGGTGGGAATATTCATCAATCATAATCGCTCGATATTGTCGTCTTTGTATAGTTTTATACTGCCCGGATGGTTAGAGCTTTTGTATGGAGCAAATGTTTGGTAGTATTTATATAGGACTAATCGCTAGCAGTTTTATATAGAGATAAAGGTTGATAGTTGATTTATCAGGATAATGGTTTGTAATTTTAAAATAGAGACGGTGGCGTAGCGAGGTCGGGTGTCACCCGGTGCGGCACTTAATGGTGTCACCCCTCCCCCCCCCCCTGAGGCGTAGCGACTGTTCCCGGGGACAAACTTTCAATTTTCGATTTGCACCCCCCCCCCCCTCGAACTTTCGATTTGCACCCCCCCCCCCCCCTCAAATTTGTCTCTATATATTTTACTATTTTTTGCCTTGGTGTCACCCCCCTAAATGGTGTCACCCGGTGCGGTCCGCACACCCCGCCGCCCCCCTCGCTACGCCTCTGAATAGAGATACTAATTGGTAGTTTTGTAAAGGGCTAATCGTTACAAAACGATTTCTCGCCTCCTTTATGAATGAGTCGTTATTTATAGGCAAACTCCTGCAAAAACATTCACAATCACAACAGTTGATGCAGCTCAAATACATTTGATTATCGACCATTCATCACTCACATCACTACATCAACTCTCTTTTACCAATATCACAACATCATCCTACATCATTTACGTCATAACATACATTGTACATCAACAACATCGCAACCTAAGTTGTACACCATTTACACAACATCATATACCGTACATAACTAACACCACAACATTTACTGAACACAGCTAACAAATATCTGTTGTGCAACAACTTACGCAACATCACAACATCTATCATACTTAACGCACATATCATCTATCTAAGATGATTTACAAAACAACATTTATTGTAGGCTACATCAATAACAGTATCTAGGCTACATCACTAACAATATCTAGTGTAGGCTACATCACTAACAATATCTATTGTAGGCTACATCACTAACAATAATTACAATATCTATTGTAGGCAACATTAATAACAATATCTATGTTAGGCTACATCACTAACAATATCTATGTAGGCTACATCACTAACAATTTCTATTGTAGGCTATATATGTAACATCACAACATCCATTATATCTACACTTTTATCATCTCCTTTGAAATGCTATGCTATACATATAATACATCAACCTCATTTGGTAGGACTAAAAACCTCTTAGACACGCACAGCTAACGCATGCATCAGTACCCCCCCCCACACACACACACATAAAACTTCGCGATCAATCAAACACTGAATTTTTATCTCACTTTTCTAAAGGGACATAATCTACTACACGTTCGTTCCCTACACGGGGAGTTACCCGCCGTGCTGGGCTCGTTCGTGTAGCGAGCTACAGTACAACAAGAGGGAATAGAATCGTACTCACCTTTCAAACCAGCTAGCGGCTTGTTGTGAGCCGTTTTGTAAGTCTCGACAGACACTAGTGTGTATGTGTGTGTGTGCTGTAGGGTGGTGGGGGGGGGGGCGCGACGGGATGTTTACCTCACAGCCAACAGTTGCCGCTTGAAGCACGTGCGTGCGTGAGCACTGCTTGCCGTACACTGCCCGCGTGTGTTGCGTCAGTGTAGGTTGTCTTGGGGGGGGGGGGGGGGGGGGGGGTAGTAGATCTCGACGACGGAGAGGTTTTGTTAATATTGCGTGACTGACGTCAAAAGGGGAGGTAATCAACGACAATCTCGACATAAATAAGGTCGATAATTTATGAGAAGGTGGTCTCCTTTAATAGCGAAGTGTCGTCATTTTTTCAAGTACGTCACAAGGATGAAACAACATACGTCATGTTCTATGGTTTATTATAGAACAGTACATGAAATACTTCACTTGAATTCATCGCACAATTGGTTTAATCTCGAGAATGACACAATGGCTCCCCCCCCCCCCCCCTGCATGATTGTATTATAGGCCGATGGGTAGGTTTTTTTTATCTCTCGCCCCCTCCCCTCTTCCCTCAAAATGAAAGGCAAGCTTCTGTTTGTTTGCGTTTTTTTTTTTTTTTTTTTTTTTTGTTATTGTTGTCTATTCTTGCCTAAGATTTTGCACACATTTCCAACTCTTTCGTATTTAATAAATAAAAAATTAATATTTAATTACAAATTTATTACCCGTTGAAATTGTTTAATATATTATTCTGGACTTAACTTATTCTTTGTACGCCTCTATATTTATACTATAATCTAAACAATCTTTAAAAACGTTCGTTTGTTATAAAATAAATTAAACAAGCCAAGGACCGCTGTCTGCAGAGTTTCTTCCAGGCATCTCTTCGGGTGAAGGGGGGGGGGGGGGGCGAAGCCCCTCCGAAAAAATTTTACCGCAAAACCCAACTTGAACAAACAAGTAGGAGACAACTACGAAAATAAAATATTATTTTTTTTAAATTAGAGTTATTCGACCTTCCAAGATGGCATCCCCCTTTGACAAACTTTTTGGTTTTCCACTTCAGTTTGATTTAAGGTAGATAGATCTTTACTTTATCTGTATCTAATTAGTAATTTGACAGGGCCTATCGTTTATTATATTCTTAATAACCCTACTGTAGTGATTAGTTTAGTGATTAAGTTGATTGTATTATTAATTAGTAATTAATTACTAATTAGATAGTCTCGTCAGAGTCAGTGACTTTTTTAGTGATTTTTTTTTAGTCACTGGTTCAATACAACAAACTTTTTGAACAAACACAAAAGAGAATCGATTCAAATCAGACCAATATCTCAGCCACTAGTTAGTTAGTCACTAGAACTAGATTTTAGATTCAATCTAGATTCTAGAGACTATTAATTGTTTAATGTATTGTAATCAAATCTCAAATAACAATAATCAATAAGTGGGTTAGGCATACGTTCACGTTGGGGTTGGGGATAGTCAAACTCAAGCCACATCATATTTTAATTATTGTCACATACTTGTGCACTCTGGTGGTATGGCAGTGTAAAGTATAGTACAGCTTTTCTTTTTACTTAAGCCTTAGTGGATAGGAAAGTGGGCAAAGTCAACAACACAATACACTGGTGTTTTTACAATGGTAATCTATCGTTTTGGGTACGTAAAATCGCCCGCGGCTATTAATGTACGAAAACGTGACCTCATTGTCAAGGCTGTAATAGAAGTAGAATCTATATTGTGATATGTTTGTGTCAAATATTATAGATAAATGAATAATAAACCTAAATCAATGGCTAAATATATCAATATAGGCCCGAAATTAACTTTAAACAGCAGTGTCTGCAAGCAAGATTTGCTATATAAACAGCAGCCATTTGTAAAATAGAGTGACTTCCGCCTGAATCTTGCGCTATAAGTCTATAAAAATAAAACTTTAACAAAATGGCTGCTATAGTAAATGAGCATGGTTGCATCTGTTGGAAACATCGCTGGTGTTCATTTATTACTGAAAAGTTTTAATTCAATTGTTTAGAAACAGGTACATAAATGAAACAAGGAAACATTTTTGTATTTTTCAAAACATAAATCCTCCTCAAAATGTGAAATAATTGTTAAAATGTAAGGAGTCACCTGTTTTTCACATTACTAGTCGCGGGCGATTTTACGTACCTAAAACGATAGATTACCTTTACAATTACTCATTGAATAATATAATAGCCACTTAGGCCTACAGTCTACTCTATAGTTAACCTTTTCTTTTTCCTTAAAATATGCAGATGTTTGCCTAATTGTATATACTTTGACCTGCCTGACTGTAAGTGTAGTTATGTAATATTGATCTCTATTTATGTTATCATATAGGCCTATAAATTATTGTCTGGATGATAATGAACTTGTTAAAAATTTTCAGTAATGTGCCAAACTCAGATGCCAAAATTTGCATTGTTTCAATTTTTGGTAAAAGTCGTTTGAATCCATTTTGTAGCAAAGCTACTCCTCTAAACCCTATTGTCAATAAAGATATATTTCAAGTAAGTAATTTTTCCAATGTGTTTATCTTCATTAAAAATGTATTTAAGTATTTAACATTTATTACCAAGTGCCACTTTGGTCTTTTTTTAAAAGGATGTATAAGCAAGTATTTTCCTGCTATACTGTAATACAGAAAAGCAGCCATACTATAGTTATAACATGAAAGTACAAGTTAAGATTCGCAATCATACGAGTTATGTTAATTTTAAATGTGGGAAGGGAAACACAATCAAACAATTACATTGAGCATGAATGACATTTGGTGGGCCTATTCCACTACCCACAAGAATTCTTGCGGTTCTAATTAGGCATTTCTCAAAATTCCTCAAATTTAAAAGCTCCCTGTGTCCATGTGGGAGAATTATAAACGTATTTTAAATATTTTTTTGGTAACAGCGGATTATTTTATCTCTTGTTTTTTCAGGGATCTGAAGGTTTTATTCAAAAGCAGATCCAGGATGTAAGTCTATTTATTGCTCAATCACTTGCCATAGCTTCAATTTACCTTAGCTTTTGTTTCATGAAACATAACAATATCGTCATATAGCAACCATTGTCACATCTACCTAGACTGACATTATCTTTTTCTTATTAAATTATTAATGTGCTTCAAGTACAGCACCCAAGTTTTCTAAACTTTTTATTTTTATATATTTTCATTATTTTTTTAACTGCTAATTTATTCTATTGTTCTAGAATTTTTCTAAGCAATGTTTAGATTTTAAAAAAATTGGATACCTAACATGTTGTTTATGCTTACAGGGTAATATTGAATGCTATTATGATGCTGACAACAGAGTTATGTTCCTGCATCTTCTCTCCTTCTATGACACAAACCTTCTGGTCAAGAAATGTGAGCAGCTTGACCAAAATATCAATGCACAAGTAATTGTTTTGTTGTTTATTTTCTAGTGTGCAATTTTAATTTTTTTATAGTTATTATCACTTTGCGAGAAATATGACTCCATACTTTTTATTATTAATTTTTGAAAAACTCTTGTTAAAGTTAAAGACAAAATTTTTAGATTTCAAATTTAGGTAAATGCTCAAATGTGTATACAAATGTTAGATTTTACTGTCAAATTAAGGTATTTATTAGTATATAGTTCTAGTGTCCAGGATTTACTGTGTAATTTTATATTTAGTTATAATTTTAAAATAACAGGCACTTAATACTTTCAGGGCACTTAGTTTTTTTTTATGGGATGTGAACCACATAAAAAAAATTCCAAATTCTAGTAATTTTTATTAGCTGTATAATGAAGCTATTTTAGTAACCATGTTTCTCTTATGAACAGGATTTGTACAAACTTTGTAAAGACGACGATCTCCAACATGCTAAATCCCTTTTGCTGCTCTTCAACCTTTCTCACATTATACTGGTTGGTATTTTTTTCTAACAAATAATTTGGACTCAAAAAATTTGATTTTTTTTTTTGCAATTTACTCAAAACTGAATGTAGAATAAACGATTTATGAACATTCAATACTGAGTCAAAATGCCACAGTAACTTTTAACTGTTTAAAACAAAGTTTTTTATTCATTACTAGTAGCCTACTTGATATTTTGTTAAAAATTGTTTGTTTAGTTCTACGCTTAGCTAACATTTAATTTTTAAAGGTTGTTTCATATTTTTAATGTGAAAGATAAAATCATTACTGTGTTCATTTCTTTTTTAAAGCCTATTTTAAATAGAAAGGCTCATAACTTCTTATAACTACTTATACATTTTCCCTAGAGTGTTGCAGTAGCTAATGTTAAACCACCTTAACACAGGAAATTATAACTCCTTATATTTAATCCTCAGCTGTGTCACCCAAGTAGTACATTTGATTTGTCATATCTCAAACTATTTCATATATTGGACAACATAAGGTAACTTGTCATTTTTATTTCAATGTTTAACTTGTCATTCACATTATAAATCTGGTGGCAGAAGCCAGAGTTCTGTACTGACTGAACTAGAGCATCAAAATCAGTGAAATAAAATAGAAAGTTTCCCTTCAGACCAGAATTAACATGGAGTAGATGAAATAAAATTCATCTTTTTATTAATCGTCTGCATAGAAAGTGATAATGCCTTCAGCACTCTGCCCATGTGTCTTTACTTTCCCGGAGTCAAATCAGGTACCCATCAGAGCTAGGTAAACAATGGGACATACTACAGACTCAAGCTGTTGAATTGAATTTGAGACTTTTGAGTTTGTACTAGTGCGCTCTATCGTTCGGACATGCCTTTACTTAGCATGATTATAATGATAAATATTAACGTCAGATTTTGCTCAAAGAAATAACTGTAATTGTGGTTAATCATTTATTTGGTGGGGGAGGAGGGGTAAGGAATTATATCAAAACGTCAATCTTTTAAAAAATAAATCATTTTTACAGCTATAATGGTTATATTGACTCTGTAACTATTTTCAGATTGAAAGTACAAACAAGTATAGTTGAAATATTGGCCACTGTCTCGGGTGTCTCCAAGGACTGGGCCAACTTTGGTCGTGTCTGCACCCCCAGAATGCTGTTTGTCTTTGAGACGCCTGCCATTGATGTTCAACCTGAGGATTTAGACAGCAACTCTTTAAAAGCTTCAAAAGTAAACTTATCAACAGCTAAGCACAAGAAAAGTTTTAAAGAAAAATTTAAGAAAATCAATAATATATTTTGTTAATGAGGAATCTTATTTTATGTTGTCCGTATTTAGTTTTTTTACTTTTGACCGAGCGATAACTTTGTATCTACCAATTTTAAATTATATTAAAATATTTTGTAACTATTTTACAGAAATACCCACCGCTGAAAAAGCTACAAATGTCTATAGAAGATATGATATTCAGAATATTAAGAAAAACCAGAGCCATCACTAATATCTCGTAAGTTAAATTTTGTCATCACTAGCTTGTAGAGAAATGTTTGCAAGCAACTGATTTAACTTTGTCATCACTAGCTTGTAGAGAAATGTTTGCAAGCAACTAATTTCACATTGTCAACATTAGCCTGTACAGAAACGTTTGCTAGCGATGTAACCAAGACATTTTAATTTCAGCAACAACTCACTTTTCTCTGTACCAATCAACCAACCGTATGTCTACCTTTGTGCCAAGAAGAATGAAGTGTCTGACCCAGTGGATTTTATCCAGGCTCTGATGAGACAAAATTGTTGCCCTACACAAGAAGGTATTAAAATTGTTGTAGTAAAATAAAAATCCCATCAAGAAACTAATAACCCATTTTGTTCCATATACTTATATAATTATTTTAAAATATATTTGCTAATAATGAACATTTGTCATACAGTACTCCAAAGCATTATTCCCTTAATTAAGGATTTAAATCAATTAAAAAATTAAAATATTTTCTGTTGACTTCTACCCTTTCTTTTTTGATGAGGATCAACTACTTTTTCTTTTTACAGACACTCAAACAGCCAATCAGAAACCTAAGCCATACAGCTGCAGTAGAAGAAAGCTGAACGCAATGGTACCAGATCCCCTTCCTCTCTCGGCTCCGTCCAACTTTCCACCATCCACCCTCTCCTCATCCGCAGCCAAGTTTCCTCTTGTTACGTCAGGATCCCGGAACCAAGACCAGAGTTTCAAAGAATTTCTCTGGCAGCACATTGAGATGGTGTTTTCAAAAACTATCAATGATAATGTTGGCCGGCATGGAATTGATCCGATTTTTGAGGTTTGCAAGTAGGACAATAAACCTCTGACTTAAAAACCAAAATAATGTATACATTTTATCCCTTATATCTTATCTGTTAAATATGGACAATATTGTTTTGTTTCTTTAAATCATAATTTTGTTTTCTTCCACTTTTTTTATTCAGTTGCCAACCCTGGGAGTTTGGCTTCTTGCAGCCAATAAACTCCACAAGTACATCTTAACAGAAGCCAGCGATACCACACCAGGCCAGCCATTTACTATACTAAAAAATATGCTGGACGTTAGCATGAGATTCTCTGAAAAGTAAGTCCAAATATTTATTTGTTGAAAAATAATTTACTTAAGTGTAACACATTCATTCATTTTAGAAGTGAGATTATCACTAATTTTATTTTTTCAGTCGATGCAACAAGGTTCTTCCCATGGCTGAAAATGCTTACCAGCAGGACTTACCTCCCTTCTATATCACATCCTATCACCAGAGCAGGGTAATTTTTGAAAATTCTATCTAGAAAATACTACAGAAATGAAACAAATTATATAAAAACATTACGTATTGACAACATTGTGTTTATCTATTTGTTTACAAAAAAGATCAGCTTTTTAGTTGTTTTCTAAATGTTAATTTTTTTTTACTCATTAGGTCAACAAAGTTAAGCGCTTATTTGCCCAGTATGCCAGAGGACCAGCCTATGAGAAATACTTGATGGAGCTAGAAGCTTCCTGTGAGAGATACTGGAAAGCTGGAAGACAACAGTGTGAGGCTCTGTCTTTAACTGGAAATCTTTGTACAAATAAGGTACATTTTATTTTAGGCTTTTTTAATGAATAAAATTGTTTTTTATTTTTTTTATTTTAGGCTTTAAAGCCAATAGGTACGTTACATTTTTAATTAGTAATTACAGCTACTTTGATTTAAAACATGAGTTTAGATCTTTACTATTTATTTTATTATAATTAAATAATCAACTTTGTGTCTATGTTACGATGAAAATAATGAACATTATTTTTAGTGAATAACCTTGTGTATTTTTATCATGTATTTAAACTCTTTTTTCAGTAGTTGGATAAAGGGAATATTTATCCTCTATTCAGTCATGATAAAAAATAACACTTTGATATTAATTCTCCGTTCTATAGCAATAAAAAGAACATTGTATGATGTCCCCTGCCATCAGTAGCATGATTTTTACCCATTCAATAGTTCCACCATACACTTAAAGATTAATCCTCTGGTCTATAGCAATTAAAAGAACATTGTATTATCTCCCTTCTATTCAGTAGCATAATTTGTTCATTCACTAGATCCACCGTACACATTATTATTGATATTTATCATGATTTTGACCTATTCACTAGATCCACCATACACCTTAACATTAATGTAATGCTCTGTTATATAGCATGATTTTGACCTATTCACTAGATCCATCGTACACATTATTATTGACATTTAGCATGATTTTTACCTATTCACTAGATCCACCATACACATTATTATTGACATTTAGCATGATTTTGACCTATTCACTAGATCCACCGTACACATTGATATTTATCATGATTTTGACCTATTGACCTATTCATCCACCGTACACATCATTATTGATATTTAGCATGATTTTGACCTATTCACTAGATCCACCGTACACCTACTGAGAAACCCTCAGGCCCTGAAGACAAGAGAGCCGTGTCAGAACACTCAAGTCAGATAAAAACCAAAGCTGCTTGCAACTGTGGTAGACTCCAGGCTGATAAAGATGACCCTTTCAACCATAAGGTACTCACCCATCTTTGTGTGCTTTAGTCATGCCTATAAACAGAAATATGTTTGAAAATAAATATAAATAATCAACTGTTTCACCCTTACCACCTGCAAGAAAAATTAGGGTTGTGCCATAAAATAATTCATTCTAAAATAACTAGGCCCACACATTATTAAGTAATGAAAACCTATGTTAAAAAAAACCAAAACAAAAAAGTATTTGGCCACAAAAACTTCTTATTTATCTTCCCTCTTGAACAAGATATCTGAAACATTACTTAATAGGCCTTTGAATAATGTTGCTCTTACTAAGTAATGAAGGGATGCATCAGCCTCGCCTCTCGATTGCTAGAAACATTTTATAATTTACATTATTATAATAAATTTTGGAATCAGCTTTTGAACTGGAGTACATATCAAAAATAAATTAAATTTTAAATTTTAAAATAAATTTTTTGTGCAAAACTAGAAATTAGAGACATCAGTTGTTATAAATTAGAGCATGTTTCATATAAAATATAAATTTTAAAATAATTTTTTTTAGAGTGCAAACTATGAATTTTACCAGAGTCACCAACAAAATAAACTAGAACACTATGTATAATATAAATTTTTAAAACAATTTTTTTTTTGGAGTGCAAACTATGAATTTTACCAGAGTCACCAACTAATAAACTAGAACACTATGTATAATATAAATTTAAAAACAATTTATTTTTCAGAGTGCAAACTATGAATTTTACCAGAGCCTTGAAACCAGCTGCTGTAGTAGACTGGAACACATAGCCCTGCCAGTGTTCTCATCCACAACAAGTGATGTGCCTCGTGCAGCCAGCATTCCCTCCTCACCAGAGCAGCCAGAGACACAGGTGCTGGCTCAAGATAACACAGCCAAAGACACAGAAAAGACAGACGCGTTTTCAACTCTATCGGAACTAAGCTTAGCTTTAAGTTTAGGTAACTGTTTTAAGATTACTTCAATACATATGCTTATACTTCTAAGTTTGACGTACTAGACAATTTTTTATCTTAATTCTATGTTTTCTACCAAAATATCTAATTTTATTGGAAATGAAAGATGGTTTCATTTTACAGATGTTATAAGTTTTTAGAATTTCAATAGGTTCACTGTTGTCATTAAGTTAACAGTATCTTAAATTATTGGTAATTTAGAGAAAAATGTTCCATGTTTTTTTTTTAAATTCATCAGTTGTTTCCTTTTAATATCCCCTCAGGTCAGTATGCACCCACAGGTCCTGAGCCTGAGCCAAAAGTTAGCCAGGTTGAAGATTTAAGGGAAGAAACTCAGCCCCAGGAAGCAGACCTGCAGCTTGATGAAGAAGCAGAATTAAAACTCAGCAACCTTATTTCTACAGAAGAGCAAACCTCTAAAGGTGCACACACTTTACTGCATTACATTTTTATAAGTTCTCTTTAGATTATTTTATTGACTTGATATGATATATTTATAATGTTATTTACATTAACAAAAGCCCTTATTTTAAAAACGTTTACTATATTTGTTTAAACAAATGTTGATACAGCACTCAAGTAATTAACTATACAATTACTTTTTATTTGCTGTAGCTGTAGTTATATCTGCATGACTTTCAGTTATGAATTTCCTGTTTTCTTCAGCAAAAACCATGCCCAATCGTCAGCACTCAACAACAGAATATTTGCCGTACATGATCCATACAAAATCACCAGTTGGTTTGTTGCCCATGTTCTCCTCCTTCTCCTTGTGTAAGCTGGGATCTAGCAGTAGCTATGCCCATATGATTGGTTGGTTTGTATACATCTCCATAGAATAAATAAAATAGAGACAAATACATGTTTTTTACTTTAGAATCTGAATCTACTGTGAACAATAAAATTGCTTTGGATTTATTTTAAATGTGAATTGCACAAGGTAATGATTGAGTGATATTTATATTTACATTTTATACAAAATAGAGCTGTGCTTATACTTTTAAAATTCAATTTGTGAAAGTGGTTTTGTAAAATGTTTAATACTCTCAGACAGAAGTTGAAAGTGAGTACAGTTTGCTTTTTGTTTTTAAGTGTTAGGGTTTGAACAGGACAGTTTTAACGTGGAGAAATCATTTTTTTAAATGTCTTTTTTTTAATAATTTACAAAAGGAATTAATGCATCCTTTTATACACCACTGTCAAAATAACAGTTGTTTTATTTTTTTTTAATATATCTACAATAAATTTTTTTTTGTTTAAGATATCTACAATAAATATTTTTTTGTTTGATATATCTACAATAAATATTTTAATGTTTAAGATACATTCAATAAATATGTTTAATTTAATCTTACTGTCAAATCTGCTCAACCGTTACCCTATTTTCTAGTTGCTAGTTTCCCACATTTCAGCTTCTGTCTGGTAGCCTGCATACTTTGATGCAGATTTAATTAACCAAAAAATAATTTAGTTGATGACAATTTCTTAGGCTTGGAGCTGCCTGGATTTCTACCTGGAAGTAATTTCCTTCTTCCCTGGGACATCCCTGTAAAGTCTGAAGTCGACAAGTGGCCATCGGTGTCTGAAACATTTGGGGGTGGGAAGAAACGACAGCTGAGAAAGATTTCAAAACGTTAGTACTCCCAAAACTTTTTCATATTTAATAATATAATATAATAGAATAATAATAGAATATAACTGGTAATAAAAAGAGTGCAATGCTTAAGTGAGGTTTTTTATTAACATGCATAATAACTGTCACAGGAAACAAAGAATACTTGAGCGTTAATTAAATATTGAAATTCTATCTCAAATAGGCCTATAAGTTAAATAGATATTTAAATATTTGCATCATTATAGTCCAAAAAGTGCTCTTTACTTAAATTAGTCGTTTGGATGTAAAAAATCATTTTGTGGTGATAAAGTTTTGTTAGCAATATAAATAACCAGAAGCAATTTTTTTTTTCTAGTTTTTTGTTGTTCCCATGCAGAATAAATTTTTATCTATTCTATATAATAGTTTCGCTGTCTGTCAAGAACGCTCTGTCTGACAAGAACGCTCTGTCTGACAAGAACGCTCTAGAGAAAACACAAGCAAAATAAAAACATGCACAGTAATTCGAAAAACGAAATATGACGTCGACACATTTAGCGTAGAGTAGAACATAATCTCAAACCAGAGAGTGCACACAGTAATGTAATGACGTCATTGATTCTACATTGAAAAAAAGGAAATGTTGTCTAATCTAAATGGTTTGCGTGAAGATTTTCTTGCATACAATTCTTCGGGTAGGGGCGAAGCCCCACCCCCCGCGTAAGAACGTCTGAGCCCCCCCCCCTCCCCAACTCAAAAGAAATTTCCTCATCGATACTCTATAATAAAATTACCGCCTAATTAATGTGTCTAATCTAAAAAGTGGTTTTCTTGCAATGGGACGGTAGACATGTTTTTTTTGGGGGGGGGGGGGGGGGTGTGGAGGGGTGGGGGGGTGTGTGGGGGTGGGGGGGGTGGTGTGTGGGGGGGTGGGTTGGTTTCAGTGTTTCCTCCCCGGAGAGGGGTGGGGGGTACTTGAAATTTTCGGGGGCGGGGGTAGAATTTTCTGGGAGGGGGCGGACACTGGAAAAAGTATATAATTATATTTCGTTGAATGGGACGGTAGACATGCTTTTTTGGGTGGTGGGGGTGGTGGAGGGGTGGGGAGGGGTGGTGTGGGGTGGGGTGGGGGTGGTGTGGGGGGGGGGGGTGGGGGTGGTGTGTGGGGGGTGGGTGGTGTGTGGGGGGGTGGGTTGGTTTCAGTGTTTCTTTCAGACTTTTTCCTCCCCGGAGAGGGGTGGGGGTACTTGAAATTTTCGGGGGCGGGGGTAGAATTTTCTGGGAGGGGGCGGACACTGGAAAAAGTATATAATTATATTTCGTTGAATTGGACGGTAGCCATGTTTTTTTTTTGGGGGGGTGGGGGGTGGGGGGCGGTGTGTGGAGGGGGTGGTGTGTGGGAGTGAGGGGTGGGGGTGGTGTGTGGTGTGTGGTGGGGGTGGGGGTGGTGTGGGGGGTGGGGGGTAGGGTGGGGGTGGTGTGTGGGGGGGTGGGTTGGTTTTAGTTTAGAGAAAAGAGACAGCACTATCAGCCTAGCGCCCGTTGTACCCTTCCTCAACGGGCCATTTTTCTCGTCTTAGCATAAGCATCATATTTTGATTAAAAAATAACCCAGTTATTCTGTACCAAAATACATTTAAATTATCACCAAGTTACTATAGTTACTATAGTTGCTTACTTAAAATGTTGATTGTTGTAATAAACTTTAAACTATTATTTCAGCTGTCATAGAGACTGTAGAAACAGTCTCCGTCAGGGTATATTTAGGAATGGAGTATGAGTGTCCCAGAGGTCATCGCTTCTTCTGCAGCGGACCAGATAAAGTTATTAAAGTATCTTCCAATAGTATTGTCAAAGTAAGCTTTAGTGTCTAAAAATGTTATGATGCATGTCCTCAATATAGGTTGGTGCGAGTGAATATTGTTGCGCATGTATGTTGAACGAATGGATGGTGTAACGTGTATAGTGTGATAGCGACATTTTTGGGTAGAGACTGGACGCTGTGTATTGTGTGTGAATTAGTCTGATTTTCTTCGTCTTGGTGAAAGGGTATACGTGAATCCAGTACGAGAATAAATACAAGAAGAGGAAACCTATTTTTATCTTGTTGATTAGTCGTCACCTGTGTTGTCTAGATGAATAATTGTATAATGCTTGCCCACGGTTGCAATATCTTCTTATGGTAGTTGAATTTGAATGATATTGGATCAAGTAGTTCAACCCTCTCACTGCATAACTGCGGGTTACATAGTCCCCAGCTATAACATGGTGGGGTAGGAGGGGTGGGTTAGATCTTTTAATTACAACATGGCCGCATATAAATCAAGCAAACGGTAAATACTGGCTTTAATCTGGTGTTACGCAATCTGTGCGGTTTAAAAGTGAACATTTTCTTTAATCTGTTAAAAATTGATCTACAGGACAATGCTAGTCGTCTGGTGCAAATGGACATGCCACTTTACACAGCTTGTCACTGCAAGTAAGTGATCACTGTCATTTCAGCAGAGAGGTCTATATCACACTGCTTTAATCTGTAACATGATCCTAGTTGTGCATATGTTCTTTACTTTTTACTCATTGAAATAGTTTTAAATTTGAAATATTGTTTAAAATTTTAACTCTTGCAGACAACCCAAGGGTTGCATGTCTCAAATGATGAGGGTCTATATCGTCACGCCGCGTGATACATCAAGCTGTCAACCAATCAGAATTCAGATCAACCCATTCATTCAGCCTGGCCCCGCCCCTTGCCCTCTGTTCCATCCTGGGCTTGACACACCTGTGGAGCTTCCACCTGATGGAGTTTGGGTACTTCGGCTGCCGTATCCTTACATTTTATTGCTGTTGTTTTTGGTTCTTCAAAGTTTGATTTTAAAACACCATGATTGTGGGGGTTTTTAATAGCAAGGATGAAACTTTGTTTAAAAAAAACAAATTTATAAAAACCAAAATTTGTTTTTTTATTATAAGCTTGAAGGTTTAAATATAAAACACTATATTAAGTTTATTTATAGTAAGTTTGAAAACGATTTATTTATAGACCCATTTGATTTTTTTTTATAGTCAAGTGTGATTATAAACATTGTTAAAACTATGTTTGTGTTTTTTTTATAGTGACGTAAGGTTGGAAGACAGGTTATACAACACAATATTTGTTTTTATAAATAGTAATATTAAACGTTTGCAGTTATTGGTTTTTATGCAATCCCAAATTACCGAATGCTTACACATTATAAATCACAATTGTTTGACCCTTGACCCTAATGTCCAGACACATCTACCAAGATGAGCACTGCATCTACCTAATGCCCAATGACCATCAGCAGTTTCACAATTGTTTTGTGCAAAAGTCCATGTTTAACTACAGAAGTTTGTAATGTCTTCACTTCCTGACTTGGTTTCTAGCTACAGTAGCTTTTGGCGACAATGGATCTGGCTTGATTTTGACCTTTAATGTTTCCATTTTAAACTGGACTTCAGCTTCACACACTTTATCTGCAGGCCAACATTTTTTTGACCTGACTCAATGTTAGTTAATCTTAATCTAGACCTAACATCCTGTTAGTTTAACATAATGTTGCCATCTTGATCTGTTACTAGTCTTAAGGAGCACCTAATTTGAATTCCCAAATGTCATTTTAAAAAATCATGACTAAATTGAAAACCTTTTTAAACCCTGTCAATAGTAAATTTTTGAACAAAGATGTGTTGACATCAGGTTACTTTCCTTGAAACCTCTGTCCAGTATTTTTTTTTTCATGGCATTAGGATGTCATCATTGTTGCTTTATATTTTGTCTTTCTTGTAAATAGTTGATTATTATGTAGATAAATGTTTCCTTGATACATTTTACTTTATTTATTAACCTTGAACATGTTTTTTGGTTGTTTTGCTCTTAATGTACAGTGTACAATAAAGTATAAATTTTGAATGGTAATGAGTTTTTGTTGTATTAGCATTAAACTTTTTAAATTACTTTTACTTGCTATGTTACATCTATTTTCTCTGGCAGACTAATAAACATCCACATAAATTTATACAACCTCAAACAGTAATTTTTAATTGGTAATTACAAAACAGTTTTTTATTTGCTTTTATAAAATGAATCATTCCAGTCATGACAATTCTCTGAAGTTTTCTGGGTATATCAAACAAGGCTGAGAGTAAATTGACGAATCAACAAGCCATGCTACATTTCCTCACAGTGGAACTTGCAAAGGTGGTCGGTCACTTAGGAGAAATAGTTATCTTTCACAATAAAAGCAACATTAGGATCAACTTGTCAAGATTAAAAAAAAAATTGTTGTGGTAATAACAAACAAGCCTTAATTAACACTGGGCAGTGTGAGAAAATATTTCATTCCATTGGAATTTTTTTTTTACAAGTTTTACAGACAATTTATATAAGATTAATAAGCAAAATGAAGTAATCTCTTTATTGTTATACATAAACAATTTAATTGTCATATTGAAGCTGTTTTGAAAAAACAAAGTGTGGGGAAATTTTAAATCCCTCTAAACAACTTCTCATAAAAACCAACAAAAAACTTTAATTTATGTACACATTTCAGGTTTATAACTGGAACCTTTTATAGCAGCTAAAATTTAGTAAAAGTCACATTAATATATAAAACTTTCTACATTCTTCACATTTAAATAAAAAAAACAGTTGTTTGGTCTTGTTCTTGAGTTACAGAATAAAAGCAATACTAAATGTAACTAATATAAAAAGATCATAAACTCTACGTTAGAATAACGACTGCAGAAGCTTTTAAAAATATACTTGTGGAATTAGTACTAAAGCTTTTAACAAGTACTGATTTTCTCAATGGCGTCTAGATCATCAGCATCAAGTTTTTCTATAGTCCGACCTGATGAAGAAATAACAAATATTAGTGGTTAACATTGGTAAATTGAAGGAATAGGAAGTCTATATAGCTTGCTTACTTACTCCTAATCTTAATTAAACTTATGTAGTCTTAAACCCAAGTATATAAAAAGAAGGCTTTATTGAAAGATATAACTGTTTTTAAAGCAATTTTTTAACTTGCTTAATCCAGCTCAAGGTAAATCTTTTTAAAATTGTCAATCATGCATATCAAAAAATTAAGGAGTAGTATGTAATAAGTAAAAGAATTGAACTACTTTCTGTGAAATATACTTACAAATAATAATAATGTATAAAACTGATTCAAATTCAATCTTATAAATAACATCTAAGAAATTACACAATACAACAATATAAAAAACTCACCAAAGTGTTTTTCTATGTATCTCATAGTGTTCATAGAACGATGACCATCAACAAAATTAATAGCGATGCCATTTTTCCCAAACCTCCCTGTTCTGCCAATTCTATGTAAGTACGTCTCACAGTCAGGCTTGTGGTCAACAGTTAAAGGTAGATCAAAGTTAACAACCACTGTCACCTGCTCAACATCAATACCTGCAAAACACAAACATCACATCTGTGTCAAATACTTTAATGTAGTTTTTGATAAGTATTCAAGAAAAGAATCAAGATTTAACAATCACTATATCTAAAGAATACTTTACCATAGTTTTTAATAAGTAATTTCACTACTAGAATATAGATTATAACAGTCACTAGATCTATATCTAAAGAATACTTTACCATAGTTTTTAATAAGTAATTTCACTAATAGAATATAACAAATACTCTAGCAATATATTTTGAACTACATTTTCAAAAACAATTTTTTTTAAAAGGCTGTTCAACAATTACTCATCATTCTTAAATTACCAGATTCTTTTTGCTTATAAATATGAAATGCTTTGTAACAAAATCCCTAGCTTAATCCACTAAATTCACTACATACCCCTAGCTGAGACGTTTGTAGTGATGAGAACTTTCTCTTTGCCATCTCTAAATCTTTTAATGATATCAGCCCTCATTTCAATAGGCAACTCCCCAGACAAGAGACCCACTGCATGGCCATCTTTGGTCATTCTTTCAGCAAGAGTGGAAGCTGTTCTTTTAGTCTGTGGGGAATATGGTTGCATATTATCACAGTTACAATGTTTTAACTACTTTAGTTAAATGACGGGTAAACCCAATGAGACTAAGAATTTAGTTTAAACTCCAGTATCTACAAGTCTTTAGTAAAAGTTTTTAAAAAGTGTTTAAAGCTAATGGCAACATTTACATTATATGGTAGTCTTTTATAACTACCCAAAATATGAGAAGTAGAGATCTCATTGAGGCCAATAAAATAGTAACTTAGTGTAATTTCACAATTTACAAAATTTACAAAACAATTGCTCCTTACCGCACAAAAGATCATAGACTGACCAATAGAAATAGCCCCATAAATATTGGCCAAGGCAATAAACTTTTCCTCCTGGTCATTGCACTCAATGTAATACTGCTTAATATTCTCCAGGCTCTCTTCCTCTCGTCTCAGTTTGATGATGACTGGATCATTAGGGATGACTTTCTCCGCAAAATCCATCACACTGGCATCGTATGTGGCAGAGAACAGCAACATCTGACAATGAGGGGATAAACCTCTGAGGAGAAGATATGAGATTATTACATATCTGGATCAAAACTATTTGTGGGTAAACTATTTCTAATTCTTTATAATTAAAATTAATAGAGCTTCTCAAAAAAAATATTTTTTAATAATCATTGATTAAGCTTTAAACATTTTCAATTTCTTTTTAACAGTAATTCTATCCAGGTTTTTTTTATTATCTTTAACTCCATTAGGAAAGTCAAAATATTAACAGAAGAAGGATAGCTTCAGCTAATCATAAAAATATCCATTTTCATCAACAGCAAAAAGTTAAAAGTAATTTATCATTTCACTGACACATTTGCATTATTAATATTTTAAAAATAGTTTTTATCAACACCAAACTAACTTCTGTAGTCTTCGTGACTGGTCTTGGTGCCCTTGTAGACTGATCATCACGTCAGCTTCATCCAGAACAAAGACTCTGATTTTTGACATATCAAAGGCCCTAAACTTGAAGGCCCAGTCAAGAGTTGTCCCTGGTGTACCAATGAGCACATGACAGGTGAGATGCTGCCCTCTTGATACTTGCAAGAAAAAAACAAAAATTGTTTATAAATCACATATGTCTCTATGACTTGGTAAATAAACCTGGGCATAAATAATTATATAACAAATTATTTTTAAGTGTTCATTAATTTCATTTTTAAATTTATATTCCATAGAAAAATTCTTATTGTATTAAAATTCAACAGTTTTTTCTGTACTTACCTCTTTCACCCCTTACTGCATACTGTATTTCAATTCCTGTCATAAATTTACTCATTTTGGAAGTAACTTCTCCTATCTGTAAAGCTAGCTCATATGTTGGTGCTAAGCATAAACACTGAATAGAAGGAAGAGAATGTGTATACTTTAATTGCCTAAATTTATAAAACAAGAAAATAATTGCTGCTGTGAAGCAAATAGAGAAAAAATTTCAGTATGAAAGGCAAAGTGGAAAAGTACTAAAGTGTAATTTTTTGGTTTTGAGAAAAATGAGTTCGTTTTTTAAAATCATTTTGAAATATCTAGTATGTTTCAACAGTTTTATGAAACCACTTCAATGCCTCAAATTTACAGGGATGAGGTAGGGCATACAATCAAATATTATGCAGGTTTTAACTTATTTTTGAAAAAAATGTAATAGCACTTTTTCCACTGAGCCATTCATATTAACAAAATGTGAAAATAAATTGTTTAGCAATATAAGTTTATCAATAAGAGTAACATTAATCTAGCACTTGCCTGTGGGTAAGATTGTGAGATATCAACTCGACTCAACATAGTCAGGACAAAAGCTGCAGTTTTACCAGTTCCACTTTGGCTCTGTGCTATCATATTTGCTGGTCTTTAACATCAAACAAGATTTGTTTAACCAGTAATAGTTAATTATTAATCATGCTAAACTTAAGATAAGACACTGTTTAAGAACTCTTTTTCAAATGAAAAATTAACTTTATTTCAAACGTCTTCAAAACTGAAGTTATAAAAATAACAAATGTAGATATTACAGTTAAATTTTAGAATAAAGAGAACTACATAAAAATTTAACAACTTACGGGTCAGCTAACAATGCAGGCAGAGCAGTTTCTTGAATTTTGGAAGGTGCATTGAATCCCATATCATATATACCTTTTAAAAGTTCTGGTTTTCTATAAAAACATTGGTAGAAACATTTTAAACAAACTAAAACAAACACCCCTAAGTTTACTGTTGTAATTTCGTGTGACCTGAATGCTATGTGCTTGATTAAAAAATAAGACAGATCAACAGGATTTACCAAAAACTAATTAATTTTATATACAACTTAATATTTCAGAAATTAATTTTTTTTTTCTAATACCTGCTACAACATCCAAATGCATTTTGAAATACAGCTCTTATTAAAGTCAACTATTATTTTATCTGAATGTTTACAGTTAATATAAAACAAAATGGCTTAATTTACAAAAGAAGTTTAGCGGCTTGCCTAAATTCTTTCCTTATACTAGAGTGATCATAAATATAAGAAAATTCTGGCAAAGAACTCACAAATGAAGAGCTTCAAATGATTTGACTGAGTACAAGGGAGATGTTGGATCTTTGCGCAGCACTTCTAAATCTGACTTTGAGTTGACAAGTCGTGAATGTAGCAGCTTTTGTAACAGGGACAGGTCACTTTTTGAAACAGCTGGTAGTTCAAACATATGGGGATAATATAAGGATGTTAAAACCACAAATATAACATTAACCATAACATAAGAATCGGACAGAGTGGTCAGGTGGTTGACAGCAGGGCTGCTAATGTATCAAGTTTAGTTCCCAGACAAGAGTCCTTGAGTTCACCCAGCTCTATTAAGTACAAGATTCTTTTAAGGGAAAATAAAGGACATTTAATTGATTAAACTATCCCATCATTAGCAGAAGTCACTGAAACAGAAGAACTCTACTTCACACATCCTGCCAGGTCTGAAAAAGTATCTTTACTTTGATTTTTTTACATGGGAATATTCTAGCAATGTCATCATTAGAATACATGAGAATACTGAAACAATGAACTTTTTAAAATATATGAGTAAACTGCAGCAATGACTGTCATTTAGACACATGTCTTTTTATTTAAAAATGTACAATGCTTAAGTTATGGCAAAGTTATGGTTATACAAAATGATTGGCTTTACCTTTGTCATCAGATTCATCACTGTGCGTGTCTGCATCTTTAGGCACCTCAGATTCTGGATTAGAACGAGCTGAAGGGGTGTCACCAGAAATGGATGGAGTATTTTTTATTTCTATTTTTTCTATCTAAGAAGAAGAATCAGCCAAAAGATTTAATTAGTCTCTTTATAACAGTTCCTTTGTGTTCATTTAAAAGCAATTTAACAGTATTTATTAAATAAATAACGTTATCAATAGACTAAGTAGCTATGGTGTAGATTGCAAGATTCTATAAATGAAACTTATCTACTGCTAACCTTTTAATAAAACTATACCTATTCTAGCTGAAAAAAAGTAGGGTTTTTTTACCTTTGCTGCAAGTCCTTTTTCCTGCTGTGTTATAAGTTCTCCCCAATCTTCTGCCATTGTGTTGTATGAATTGTCTTCTCCACAAGTACTATCTAACCAAGACATACAAGATTCAGTTGAAAAATAGTAAATTTATCCAACATTCAAAAAATGTTAGGCTGTATGGTTTGTATGTTAAATAAATAATTGGTTGGAATATCTTTGGTTATTGTTGCACCAACAAATGGTTATGTAGCCTAACACTAAATGTATATAAAGTAACATAAAGTAAAATTAAAATTTAATATATATCTGATACCTAATTTTTCAAACATGACATCATTTTTATCTCATCTCCCCTTCCCCCCATGACATCTTAATGCTCTTCCCCCAAATTCTAATGAAATAAAGCATGTATTTTTGTTTCCAGAATATACAGAACTTTATGGCTTTAATTTACAACCTTTGAGCACAAGTTAATATAAAATATAGCTATTTAGTGTTTAGGCCTATTATTCTTTTAAAAGGTCAATGTTATAGCCTATAAATTGGCTAAAGACTAAAGAGTAATAATTTACAAATTTACCTAATCATCCACATAAAAAGGCTCTAGGCTCTATCTAGGTAGGCCTATTATATTATTTACAAAGTAACTAAGCAGTAGAGTCAACAGTGTGGCAGCTAACTTTGATACAAATTGATAGCTCTAGAGCTCCAAGTTCAAATCCAGGGTTATTGCTACAAGTAGCCTAATCAGTGTCTTTTGATATTTTATTTTTGTCATATCGCAATTTTTTTTTATCTATTCAAGTTTTAAAAAATAAAATTAGGCCTATTCAAGAATTTCCTACTATTATTACTCGCGTGATTGCTTGCTTACGTTTTCTTGCCCGCAGGCATAAAAATCCCACCACGTCTGCGGGGTCACTGAGTTCAGTCGGTCTATGGCATATGGCATAGAATGATTTATAATATTAATTGATTAATATTTTATCGGCCCTATAGCCCTATAGTTTATTAAAATATTAATTGGTAAAACCTTAGTTTAGCGTCGGTTATTATTCCGGAATCGTATAGCAGTAAAAAAACAGTAAAACAATGCCAAAGTCTGTCACACACTTCCGGAATTCACCGAAAGTACTGTAAACCATACTTTATTTGGCGTCATCTTTTTTTATACAGAATGTTTAAAATTTGGATAGATTTATTTTTTGTAATCATTTTTACATTTTGTAATCATTTTTACTATTTTCGTAATCTAGATTTTTTTACTTGGCCTAGCAGCTAGATATCTAGCTAGATCTAGATCTAATCAATTAATGGTCGCAAATCCGCTGCAAGCCATAAACATTAAATTATTACATTTGACTTAGGCCTAATTATTTATATTTATATTAATATGTTTTTTTTTTAATTTTTAGATCTACTAATTTAACTCTTTAAGACCGTAACGACGCTCCCAGCGGTCGGTCCGCCGGCCTGCCATACCGTAACGACGCTCCCAGCGTTCGATAAAATTTTCTCTATTTAATTCGTTGTTTTTCGGAATCCAAGTTTTTAATCGTAAATATAGGTCATGATATCGCTAGAGCGGCCATTTTTCGTTGTATTTACTTCTTGTAGTTTTCTCGTTAGATCGATTTTGTATTTTATAGAATTTTTTTTGTAAAACAACTCGAAAAACGGCATTTTTTAACACTGCGGAATGCCGTTCAGCGGCCGCGTCTAAACGTTTACGTCGCCGCATTATAAAATTAACGAAAATTAAAGTATTTATACTAAGACTAATCCGATCCATGATTTTTGTAGATAAATGGACGTACTTTCGTTATCTATGAATAAGAACTCATGAAAAGTTATTCTTATTATTAATTTTCCCAACAGACGCGTGATTTTTGCACGAAAAAATCAACTCTTTATTTTTTCTTCTTTAAATCTAATTAATTATCTTTCTTCAATAAATAAATAATTCCTTAAAGTTTATATCAGTGTGTAGGGTATTCAATTACGATTAATTTTTATCAATAATGTGTGGGGTTTAAATTAACGGGTAAAAAGATATGGGTCATTTAGCCGCAGGGGTGCTGAAAAAAAATGAGGGAAAAAAAATAATTCCGGTAAAACGTGAAAATAATTACGGGCTTAAAGAGTTAAATCTACTATTATATTTATTCTTGTTTCCTTTTGTCGATTTTTTCTTAAAAAATTAAAACATTAATTTACTACAATCGACTTTCAATTTATTTATATTTCAATGGTCAAATAAACCATGGTTTACCGTAACTCTAGTTACCGAAACTCAACAAACATTACCCGATAATTTCCGACGCTAAACTAAGGTTTTACCTATTAATTTATATTTATTATTTAGGCCTAGGGCTAATTTATTTTATTTGCCTAACTCCTAAATTTTTAAATTTATAATAAATTTAAATTAATAAAGTTTTGACTAGGCCAGGCTAATTCTAAGGCTAAGTCTCTAAGTCTAAGCAGCTTATGGTGGCTAAAATGAAAGTCAAAGAGTAGAATTATGATAGATTCTAGCAACAGGAAAAGAAATGTGTCTTTTGGCGATTTGTCATTTGAGTTTGAGAAAATGAAAGTGCTCAGTCTGAGTAAGCCAGTTGACGAGTTGCGGAGCTGGGCATGGATGAGGCAATAAATAAAAAAAAATATTAATAAAATACTAAATTACACAAAGATCGAATCCAAAAAAGCAAGAATCTGTTAAATCTATTTATAAATCTAAAAACATTTCAAAAGAGGCAAAACTATTTTTATTAGTCGAAAATAATATTTATTTAAGCCTACCGTTAGTAAGATCTCTAGCCTTAAAATATCTTTACTTTTTTCCGATTAAAAGCCTTTCTCAATTTTAATTTTCAAGGAAACGAAACAAAGCAGATATGGTTAAATCAAAAACATGAATCACATAATAATTAGAAACGATTTACACTTTGTCATAGAATGTTCGGTTAGTTAAAGATTTAAAATGAAGTTGTTTGGACTTTTTTTATGGTGTTCTGGCAGTTTAGGTATACTCTTATGTGCGGCCGATGATTTATATGATGTGCTAGGAGTTAGTAGGAGTGCAAGCAGTCAAGATATCAAAAAGGCATACAAAAATCTAGCCAAAGAATGGTACGACAACCAATGGACACCAGCGAGAAAAGTCTCAAAGGTATTTGAGAGGTGTATAAATTAATTTAAAAATCTTGCACAGCCTAGTTACAATTAATATGGTTATAAAATCCTGTATGTCTGGTTTTTTTCGGACTTTACTAAAGATTGGATGTATTTGATGTTTATAATATTTTCGGTAACTAAATAAAAATTAAAAAAAAAAGCAAAAACAATTTGGTTTTCACGTGTAATGGCGACATAAACAATGGCATCCTGTTATTCGATAGGCCGCCATTGATTTTATTGTACACATTGTAAGCTAAAAATAGAAAACTAGGTCATGGGGTTTTTAATTTGCATTGTTATTTAAAAACTTGATCTGCAAAGTTTTGTAAACAAATAGTTATCGATCACTAAGTTACTGTACAGCCAATCAATATTTGTCTTACGAAAGTGAAACATCCGGTTATAACTTAGGCTTGATGAAAATAAATAGAAATGTAGCCTTAAACTCAACAAATTATTTTCAAGTGCTCTGGATTTGCAACTTTTATAGCATTTATTCTAAAAATATAAAATTTCTAAATTAATTTTAGGCTTAATTTTTTTTTTTTTTTTTTTTTTTTTTACGGTCTAAATCTAAAAAGGACGTTTTTATTCCATGTCAACAATATTATGGAAGGAATCTCGTCAACTCGCTCGCCTCCATTAAAAATTAATTTTAAAATTGTAAAAAAAGGACCTGGCCTAGGCCTAGGCCCTAGGCTTGGTGTAGTGTGTAGTAGTGTATAGCTGAGGCTAGGCCCTACATTTTAAATTATAGATTGATTGTAATATAGTTGATATTGTAAGTAAGTAAGAAATAAAGTTTGTAAGAGTTAGATCTAGAGTGAAGGGTAATCTATCGTTTTGGGTACGTAAAATCGCCCGCGATTTGTAATGTGAAAAACAGGTGACTCCTTAAATTTTAATAATTATTTCACATTTTGAGGAGGATTTATGTTTTAAAAAATTCTAAAATGTTTCCTTGATTCATTTATGTACCTGTTTTTAAACAATTGAATTAAAACTTTTCCGTAATAAATGAAGACTAGCGATGTTTCCAACAGATGCAACCATGCTCATTTACTATTATAGCAGCCATCTTGTCTAAGTTTTATATTTATAAGCTTTTAGCGCCAGATTCAGGGGGAAGCCACTCTATTTTACAAATGGCTGCTGTTTATATAGCAAATCTTGCTCTCAGACACTGCTGTTTAAAGTTAATTTCTGGCCTATATCGATATATTTAGCCATTGACTTAGGTTTATTATTCATTTATCTATAATATTTGACACAAACGTATGACAATATACTTCTATTAAAGCCTTGACAATGAGGTAACGTTTTCGTACATAAATAGCCGCGGGCGATTTTACGTACCCAAAACGATAGATTACCGAGTGAAGTTCCCCAGCCGATCACACATAGCGAACTCCTGACTTTTATCGGGCGCTATTTTGAAACCGTTTGACACAGAAACAAACCCAAAGTACTATAATATTATTCCTCTGCCATTCTACTCTTAATATGTATCAATCATTTTATATTCCTACGCATAGAATTTGAGATATTCATGTTGGAAGTGGCTATTGGGACCCGGGTCCCAATAGCCTCGGCCGCTATTGGGACCCGGCATTAAGTTCATGTTTTAGTGACGTGCTACTTACGATATTTTTTCCCCTCTTTTTTTTCCCTGCGGACACCTGAACCGGCTAGCGTAATGATAGTATTTTATACGTTTTAATCCAATTTTAATAACTAAAATAAATATTTTACACTTTTAAACGTGTTGTTGATTGTATTATTAATTAATACATTGCAAAACCAAATAAAAAACATGTTGATTAAATTTATTAACGACACATTAAAAGTTGACCCAGTGATGACTCAAGGGACGCAAGTATAATAATCATAACAAAGGGACGTAACAATTACTAACAAGACATAACGTAACATTTGCTTAGATATGCTTGTATGTAGAGACACAAACTAGATTTAGAAGAAGTAGATGATCGAAATAATTTAAAACAACAGAAAAAAATAGAAATTATACAGATTCTAGGCTTAGCTTGAAATATAGAGCATCTAGAACTAAGCTATTCTAGCTCAAGTCCTTGGTTACGCAGTGATGTGAAACCACCCTAATCAACACCCAAGCTGCGGCCACCCCTATTCACCTCTCAGGTTGCTTTATTAGCCTTATCTATTGTATGTACAGTGTCCAGCACATATTGTAGAAGCTGTTTATAGTTAACCTAGTTATAAAATCTTTGATTGGTTGGTTTTATTCATCTCATCCGGGACCTGGTGTTTTTCATAGGGGGAACTAGAATCGCCTACAAAAAATCGCCTATGTAAACAATGCATGAGTGATTTTCATACGTTCTCGTGAACTAAATACCAGTTTCTTCAAAGTTGGAAGACGACGAATTCTTTAAAATAATAATCCAAGTGGAAAGGCTTTTGAAGATTATTAAATAAAACTGGTGCATTGGGTTCAGGTGTTGATTCTATAGTTTTCTAGAGTAATTTACCTAGTAAGGGGATGTTGAAACAACTGCCTTAGGTTGCAGTGTAGTGTATAGTATTCGGAAAATGTAAATTAAACTGCACAGATGCAGATTGCCCACAAGCTGTTAAATTGGTTTATTGTAAAAAGCATACTACTTACGAATTAGTTTTGGGATGATATTTTGAGTCGACCCTTTGAATCCCGGACAGGACATCCCCCGGCTTGGCCTCAGCCAACCGGCATGTGCAGGTGTACACGTCTGGTTTTATTTAGTCAATGATTATTTTAGCTCTCCTTATCCATCATGTATGGCGCTAGTATAGTATTCATTGAGGATTTCAAAATGTTGTAGTATTGAATATAACTAAACAAATTTGATTTAATGCTTTTGAAATAATTGTGAGTGTGTATTTGTATTTGCTTGTGTATAGGGCGTATGTATTTGCTTGTGTAAGTATGTATCGACCCTTGTATTAATTTTATTAATGCATTAATGTTTGTTTTTCACAGGCACCCTGATAAAAATAAGGATCCATCTGCCACTGACAAATTTACAAAAATTAACGAAGCTTATGAAGTAAGTACTTAAAGACTGCAGCTGATAATGGAAGTTAAAATGAAATTAGTTTCTAACTTGCTAATGCCACACTGTACCACATGGTCATGGTTAATTTCTTATAATCATGCCCATTGTATTGTATTATAGGAGTGAAACATTGATTATGCTAAACTTTTTGTAAAAAATTTAAGCTACTTATAACAATTCTACAGTCACCATAAAAAATAACTTTTTGACAAGCTAACTTGTTCTTTCTCAGACGTTAAGCGATCCACAGCGCAGATCAAATTATGACAAGTTTGGTTACACAGCAGCGCAGGAGCAAAGACCAGGCGCCAATCGAGGTGGCTTTAACCCGTTTGATGACTTTTTTGGTGGATTTGGACCATTTGGTTTTGGTGGTAGGGAGAGTAGTGGTTTGGAAAAATTTCTGACCACCATGCGGTAAGCTTTTCTATCCGGTAATAAACTATTATTTAATCAGGGCTGGGTTAACAATTAAGAAATATAAGCACATGCTTAGGGCATCAAGGAGAGAGGGACAAATTACAAATTTTCTCTTATATGTTAATTAGGATAGGCTACAACATATTAAAATTAATTAAAAATCTAAATTCAACCAATCCCTTAATGAAAGAATTATTTTTGCTCATTTTTTACAACACTTAAACATTTATGTAACTCCACTATGTTACCGCACTGTTTTCTTTTACATTAAACTTACTAGATGAATGAAATTTATCTACAGCCATTATGAAACTGTCCTACACCCAGGCTCTCATCAAAATCCTTGCTTTGTGTATGCATATTCAGACTTCTGTTTTAACTGCATGAGGCTGGAACCAGTGGTCTTTAAGTTTATGTCTGAGCTGGAGAATATAGGTAAACATTGATTTTTTATTAATTTAATGGATATTTTTAGAAACCAAATCTCCAATGGGTTTTTCCGGTTTTGTTGTTTTTTTTTGAGATATATAATTAGAATTTTGCAATTAATTTTAAGCACTTTTATTTATAGAACATTTAACATATATATTTCTTTTAAAAATAACAAGAGTAAATGGTTACTAGTACTGGATTTATAAAAGAAAAATTGTGAAAAATCTGGATTGATCTTTTTTTTTCTTTCTGACAGGAATGTGTGTTATAGCTGTCCACCTGAGGCGCTCTCCAGGTCTGGCTAGCCATCTCAGGATCCATGAAGTCCCAAATATTCTTGGTGTTGTGTCTGGTAGAGTCACGTTCTACAAAGAAAATGGCATTTCTTTTGATCATTTACGAGAGTTTGTCAGACGTCTCTTCCCATCAGGAACAGTAACTATGGTAAACATCACAGGGTTTTTTTTTAGTTTTTTTCATTAGGGGTTGTCTATAAATAATGCCGCACTCCTATCGCTGAGGGAATTCGGACTTAATTAATTAAATTAATTTTTACAACTGAATTGATGAAACAGTGTATCAATATTCAATCTTCACCCAGCCCTTTTAAAAAGTCATTCCTTTTTTTTTAAAAAAAATTGCAATTCAGGCTGAGGGGAGGGTAAATAGTTAAAAAACATGACATCTTATACTGAAAATGTTTTCAAATATTTAATCCTAACTATGGTGCTTTAAAATTCAAATTTTCATTTATGTTTAGTGAGGGACAATAAAAAAAGGCATTTAAAATTTTCTAACAGATCAAGGATGATACGTTTGACAGTTTCTTAGAAGGCTGGCGCGACAACAAGGTCAGAGCTGTATTTTTCACTTCTAGAGCAGAGCCATCTCTCAGAGTTTTAGCATCTGCCTTCTATTATCGAGATCGGGTTGCATTTGGCTATGTTCACACGATGGGCCCTGATGTAGACAAATTGCTAAAACGTTTCAGCATTAACAAACACAGAGAGACCTTATTACTTTGGAATGAAATTACAGATTCTACTCTAGTTTCTATTATTGTAAGTTTTATTTTGTGTAGTTGAAAAAAATTATTTGTTGTGAATTATACTATTTCAAAACTACTCCATTCTTTTTCTGAGTTTTTTTTTTTTGCCTTCCCCTTTTAAAGAATGAGATGTTTTTTTTTAAAGATTTATTTTTTACCAAACATAAGTAACATACTTATAATTGGTAAAAATTAAGTCGCTGATCTATAAAAAAAATGTCATTAAAACAGTTCAGGCGTTAGAGTAACTCTTATGTCAAGTATTATTATTATAGTTATAACATAAGTCCTTTGAATTTTCAGATGCAGCAGCTGTCAAGATCGACAATTGATGAGGTTTTGTCAAGTAACAAATATTTGGCACTCCCGCGTCTCTCATCACAAAGTGTTTTTGATGAGCTATGTCCTGTAGAGCCAAAGATGAAGAAGCGAAAGTTAGTCCAATTATTTTTTTTAATATCAGAATTAATATTTTTGCTCAAAAACTGTATTTGTTCCTAACTGTTTAGAGAATCAGCCAAGAGAATTTTTAAATCTCATGTTGATTTTGTAATGTTTTTAAAAAAAAAAATTTCCTGTTCTCATTCTTGGAATTCTGTCTTACCATGACAGTTTCTTGCCATTTTATTTTCAACTGTATTGTCTCCATTTCTCCTCGGGCATCCCCTTTTTCTTTACCCTTGTAGTGTCCATCTAATTGCTTTATCCTCAGTACATCCCAGCCTACACCATCTTTTTTTTTAATCACCTCTACTGGCCTAATTGCTCAAATTTAAATCTGTGTTTTCTTACCTAAAAACCAGTTAGGAATTCTCACCTGCTAAATTACTATTTCTTGTTAAAAAGGATTACATTTGTAAATTTTATTTGTTCCAAAATTTATCTTTTTTTCTCAGACTGTGTGTTGCCCTTGTGACCAAGAAGGTGGATGAACATGATGAAGCTAGAAACTCCTTCAGGCATTTTGCCATGCACACCAGAGTTCCCAATGAGAGAGTGAAATTTGTTTACATTTATGCAGATGTCCAGCAGAGCTTCATCAATGCTCTAACCAAAGGGAATGAAACAAGATCAAAGACGGTGGTTGAAGTAAGGCATTTTAGCATTCTTTTTTGTTTGCTTTAAAAGGGTTTTTCTTTATTGCTAATGAATTTATTCTGCTTTAATTTTGATGTTAAAATTTGAATTGCCTTAGATATGATATGTGTTACTTTAGTCATAACATTTTAACTGGCCATGTTTCAATTGTTTATCCTTTTAAAAAGATAATTGAAAGAATATCAGGGCATAAATTATGTATTGTCATTGAATTATTTTATTTTTTTTGCACATGTGCTAGGTTGTTATAATATGGAGACAAGATACTCATCGATTGAGCTATGAGTTCCTTGAGCATGGGTGGAGCTTAGACCCCGAGACACTGCCGTTGTCGAGGGAAAAATTGGAAGAGAGGCTGACCCAGATTTTAAATGGGGATAACCTTCTCCCTTACAAAGCCATTGTACCAGAGTTCTACAATGAGCATATGCTGGTATGGGATCGTTTTGTTCTTGTTTTCAAATTTAAAGTTATCTTCACCATTTCTATGTAATTTTTTAGAATTTTCAAAATGATACCAAATGCAATTATTGGTTAAAATTTAACAGTATAGTAAATAGTCCTAATTGGTTTATTGCAGGGCCTTTTTACAAGAATATTCTTTAAACTCTATGACTGGTATGATAGGATCATGTACTACTGCACCAGGTAAATGATTTTAACTTCTTCTAAACTGATTTTACACTGTTTGCATAACTTTGTTATTTTTGGCACTTGTAGTTACCACTAATTTACAAAACGTTTATTTGCTGTTAAATGTGTTTTTTAAAATAATTTTTTGTCTCTATTTTTTACTTTCTCTAATATGGAGTATAAAGTAAAGTAAATAATAGTGTGTAATTCATAATAACTAGAAGTGGTATTTTACTCTATTTTCCGATTACTTGAGTATTATTTCAGTTAGGTTGTCTAAATTTAATATATAAGTAAGAAAACCTTATACTTGGATTACTTTTAGTTTTTGAATGACTTCCAATATCTAAATTAGTACTTTACTCTGTTTTCCGTTTCTACAATAGTGATACCTTGGGTACTGTTTCCGTAAGGTGGACAAAATGTCATACTTAGGTATAAGATCTTATTCACTGGTTTCTGTCAAATTTTGATTGATCTCCCCTGACCAGAAGTAGTATTTTGAGCTATTTTCTATCTCTGTCTATTGTCAGTCGTGGGCGGAAACTTTAGAGCAAAATTTTGACCATTTTGTCAAAATGCATTGTGACATAAAATATGAGTTAATCAGATGTTAACTTTTAAAAAAATTAATCAAGGTTTTCTTTAATAAGGTATTAATTTTCCGCTCTATTATACGCACATTGTTTATGTTAATTTGGTGTGCAACTCTACTCGATTCTATTCTATTTTCAAAATTTAAGTATTAATAAATTAATAAAAACATTGCACCAGAAGGGCCATTTCTCTTACCTTTATATAAGAGTATGCAAGAAAGTTTAATGAATTAATGGAGGTCATTCCAGCTTTATTTTACTTATAAAGATTGTTTAAAAAAAGGATCAGATGCAAATGTACATTGAGAAAAATGAATAATTTTTATTTGTCCAGCTATGATGGCATGACCCTACTTACAGCAATAGCAGCTCTGGCTTTTGTTGGTGCTGTGTCCTACAGTATGAAAAAGTTAGCCCATGCAGAGGCTGAGGAGCTGAAGAAGAAAAGATTGGCAAGAAAGATACAAACACGGCCACCATCTTGGTACTTTTTTTATTCATGATTAATAAATTTGCACCTAGTGCAAATATTAAAACCTTCCCCATAAGTCTATACTGGTGGTTCTTAACCTGGGTTAGGTGAGCCAGTTTCAGGGGTTCAGCAAATAAAACTGGTGGGGTTCAATACAACCAAAAAGGTTAAGAACCACTGGTCTATACGGTAAAGGTTGACACTGGGCATTGTTTTCCTACTGAGAGTGTTATTAAATTAAAGACGGCCTGATTTACTCCTAATGGACCTGAAAGACATTATTTTTCTGACTATAGCATGAAAATTATCAATGGTTTCCCTTATTAAACTTTTTTTTTTAAAATTTCCAAACCATTTAGTCCAGAAGACTTTTACTCTCATCTAATATTTCATCATCACTATTAAATTATCAAGGTTTTTACTTGATACAGAGTAATTAAGTTGCAACTAAGAAAATGATTGTATGTGCTTCTATGTAAATTTATTTTATTTTCAGCTCTCCAGACAACCAGACAATTCACATATACGAATTAAGGTATGAATCTTTCCAGAATTTTGTCTCTGAGGCAGATACAGGATTAACTGTGACTTTGCTTGTTGATGAGCACACCAAAGATAAATTATTACACAAATTTGCTGAGATCATGCAGCCCTTCTCAAGGTTTGTACATAAAATTTATCTAAGCCTTTTTGTTGTTTTAAATGACTAGGTTTTCTCTATTTTCTGAAGAACTTTAAACTATTTATCCCTTATTCCTTACTAGCTGGAATAGTTAGTACTTCTCTTGATTTCTTTAGGAAAATTTATATTTTATGTTGAAATGGGATCATCTTATATCTCTAAAAGTATATTTAATTTCCTTGGTCAGACAATTAGAAACTAAACTCTAACCATGCTGTTTTTATATGCCTGCACATTTCTTACCAATACTGGTATACTTGTTGTTTCATTTATCTCCAGATACAGTGCATTAACATTTGCCTTCTTACAACTGGAATACTACCTAGACTGGTACCGCCATCTCCTAGAGCTTAGCATGGATTTTAAGGTGGCACTAAAGAACATCAACAACCGCAATTGTGTTGGCACTGTACTTGCCATCAATGGCTACCGCAAATACTATTACATTTATCATCCAAAGCGAGCAAGAAAGTAAGTTATCCAATCTACGTCCTGCCTTGTTTAGGGTTTTTTAAAATCCAAGTTTTAAAACCTAATATCCAAATAGGAGTGAAGAAACTTCTGCCATATCTGCGAATTAAAACATACATTAAACAGTAAAAACATTATATACGTTTAAACAATTTGCAAAATACAACTTTATAAAAAAACTCAACTTTAGTAAAAAATATATTTTTCAATGTTTTTTTTCTCTCTAGATGGATGAGACGAGAGCATGGGAAAAATATAACAAAAGCGATCGGATTTGGTGACTCTGATTCTAACAGCTCAGAGGATGAGGGCACGACTAGAGAGGAAAATGTTTTATTTGAAGATGAAATTTTAGCAGGATTGTCTATCTGGATGGACAGAGTATTTGACGGCTCTGTGAAAAAAGTTCGTCTCAACTACTGGCCTGAGATGAGTAAATAATGATACAGTATAAGTTAACACAATTTTTTAGATAGATTTTTCTTTTCTTCACTCAGATTTGTGATTTTAAACTAAACACATCTGTGATTTTTGTCAGTGTCACATATTAAGACAGTATTTCGCTTTTATTTATATATTTTTAACCGTAAGCATGTTTGCATTTTAAAGCAAAATTTCCAATTTTTGTTAGACTGAAGGTTGAGATTTTTACTTTTTGGTTCGTAACATCTGTGTCTATTTAAACTAGTAATTACTTTACAGTTGTATATTCCATGTGTTTTCTGCTTTAAGTATATGTTTATATTTATTATCACTGCCAACAAGAAAGTAAAGGTAAATACTGTTTAATATAATGCTTTTGGAAAGCCATCAAGAATCAAACATCTGTTCTTTGTATTTTAAAAAAAACTGTTCATTGCTTAATGCTAGCAAGTTTTTTATATATATTAGTTTTTTAAAATAAACAATCTTACAAGGCTGTGAACTAGATAGTTTGTGGCAAACAGATCACGGTTGTGTTGCAGCAAGCCTATAACTAACTTGTATGCAGGTTGTAAAACTGGATTTTGTCAACCTGCACCCATTCAACTCACAACCAGGGGATCCTGCACATATTGTATAACACTAAAATATGACTATGTACGCTCCCTCTCTGCATAACAAAATTCAACAATTCCATAGACCTACATTATGTTCCATATTTTATAACATTTCTGGGAACCTCACCCTCAATGTTATATGACTCTGCTCTATACCATCACCCTGTCCCATATTAAAAATAAACAAATAATAAACTAACCCAACCCCTTGTGCATTATATATGTGCATGATACTAGACACAAAATTTGACCATATATTCCATAACTTATCAGGTTTTACACTGCCAAAATGGGCTGTAAATCACTTGTGTGTAGAAATTGTATGCATTGATTTTTTTTACCAAACCTTCAGCATTTGTTTTAACTAATCACTAGTAAATTTTTGTTGATGGAGCATTTATTCTTGTCATAAACATGAAAGTTAATAAATACCGGTACTACTTTTAAAAAATTATTTGTATTTTAAAATTGCTTAATTATTATTCTTTTTTGTATTCAAATCATGGAGTTAAAATTTTAAGTTTAGGCTACCATAAGAAATTTAAACAGGATGCTGAAATATATAAGTTCAGAATAAAGAAAATTTTTATTTCCTTTGGTTGGTAGTCTTTTTTTTATGTGGTTTTTTTTAAAATCTTTGCATAAAGGCAGATAAATCAGTATTAAATTTCATCATCTATTTTTATTCTAAACAGAAATCAGTTTTATAGAAAAGGCAATGAAAAAAACTGCTATTTAATTAAAACCGTAAGCTTAATGTGTTGTATTTCAAATCCTAAGCCTTAAATTATAGCTACTTTTATTACAAGGTGTCGATGAGAACAAAATTAATTTTCCAAACTTAAAAAACTAAAATGTTTGACTAAATAATTCGTACTTGTTCAGTGTACAACTAAGAAAATAACTATTTGTTTTAATAATATTTTTTTAATTTTTAACCTGTTTGCCATGCATTTATACTGTTGTAGTTGGCACATACCAAACAGCAGGATTCAACAGGAAAAGGAATGAAAGATTACCCATGGTGGCTCTTATTAAATGTTTTGTATTTCCTGTGTCACTGTTATTATCTAGGTATTTAAAAACCATTTTATTATATCTGATGTATGGCTTACACATGAAGATCTGATACCACCTCACATTGCAATCATTTGTTCATCTTGTTTAATGTAGGTTTATTGCATAAAACATTTCGCATTCATACCTATAGATTTAGTTAACTTTCTCTGAAGTAGATTTCTTTTTGGTTGTTTTATTTATTTATTTTGAAGAACTAAACAGACGTTTTTTTTTTTAATTAAAATAGGTTTTTTTTTCCTAAAATTATATGGGTTGATTCTTTAGCTTAATGAATTTTTCCCTATTTTCAGTAGCATTAAATACTGAGTACTGCCATCTGTTACATATATTTTTGCTACATCTAGCTGTGCTAGTCTTATTTCTGCAAACTCATTTTAACCACCCATAGTTTATCAATCCTTAACAAAATTAAATGTTTGAGTACAGGTTTCTTACTCATACCACTATAATTGTGGTCTAGATGTAGATCTACATCTTTTTAAATATTTAAAAGTTCTGCCATTGATTGGAAATACAAGGTTATCTGAGTGCAATATATTTAACTGGTGACTTAAGCATGATATCAGCTGACATCTTTAAAATGTACATTAACCTTCAATGGTTTTACCAAAGGTAATTAATCCTCAAGTTGATCTTGAAATGTCCAGAAGTAGACATCAAATTGGCTGGGTATGAATTGGCATCTTTTTTGTTCCATTTGGGCAATTTGGGAGGGGGAGGGGTGAAAGGTGTGGCAGAGCTCATTCTTTTTAAGCATTCTTGTAGTGGAATGGATTTTTTTTAATGGGCATACAAATATTTCACACTAAAACTACAAAGGTTATTATAGCTGGTCTTATTTTTAAAATGTATATCTTGCCCACCTATGTGTCTTAGTGCATTTTTCTAGCTCCCATTCTTTTAAAGCTAATAGTATATTTGATATATGGAGGTGTATTTTTATTATTATTCATCCTGGCATATTTATTCCATTAATATTGTGTTATGTTTTTTTCATGTGCTTTTTTTCTACTTTTACAAGTTGTCTATTTACCTGACTGGGTGGACAGTTCAGTTTGATTTGAAATAAAAACATAAAAATCTGTATTTTTAAATATGTAATGCTCTTATTTATTTCTCAGATAATGATTTTTTAAAAAGCATTTTGTTTTAAAATTATTTTAAAATTATTAATTATGCTAAATATGCCAGTTGGTATATCATCTAAATTGATGTGGCATATCAATATTTTGGATATAGCCAATAGTTTTTTTAAATCCTAAAAATAAACTTATTGAAAAATATGCTGACCATAAAGGCAATAAGTTTAACAACTTTATAAAGTGAAACACTAAGATAGAATTATTCTGCATGACTTCACAGGTATCAGTGTGAATCATCGTAAGAAGACACAATATTTTCAACAAGAGTTAAACAACTTCTGACAATTCTCAAGGCTGTATTTAATTTCAAACTATTCAATATAAAAACACTTAGTGCATCTTATTACCAAACTTTCCAAAAGGGTAACAACAAAAATTATCCAAACACATGATTGCTATTTATACAAGTTTTAAGAACAGGCTCACAACACTAAAACTTAACATCATACGGAAACAAATGGGAATGCTTGTATGTATATAAATGCTAGGTAAGGTTTCAACCTTATAGTGGCAGTGTTATATTCCTTAGACATTCAGTTATTTAAAAAAAAAAAAAAAGATTCCACAATTTTAAAAGTAAATTTAATTTTATGAATCAGAAACTCGCATACTTGAACTTTTGTAAGAAGGTCATGCAATCTCTTGATACTAATATTTCAACTTCCCATACCCATAATATATGAATCATCACATAAAATCAAGTATTCTATATCTGCAGTGTTAGAAGGTTGTTTTACTATCAATATTATATACACACACCAGAGATTACACAATAGCTAAAATGAGTAATCAAAATTGTTTCAAGATGATAACTAAATTTTATGTCAGGGTACATAAACTATGGTCATGCAACTAATACATCAACAGCCACTTTTTCAAGCATACAGCAGTTGAATTTCTAACAAAACTCACATTACAAACACCATTTACAAAGAAGCAACTGCAAATAAAGTTTTAAACCAAACCCATTTAAACATGCAAAGTTTTTTTTAAATATTTAAAATGTAAAAATTCGGAATTTTATTAAATGTTCAAGTAACCTGATATATAAAGGGAGAGGAAATTTGCTGGCCATATGCAGAAAAAAAAATAAATTTGAAAGGCAAAATCACAAATCAGACTCTAGGGAATCTGGACTTAAGTTAGTTCAGTAAGACTATACAATATCTGAGATCTCAGAGGACTGATTATAAACTTAAGAAATGTTTGGGAAGAGGCTAATGTTTTCTTTATGTAGAAACCTTGCAGCAATCTTCCATGTCATTTACTTCTACAAGCTGTAACATAATTTACCTTCATCAATCTGTTCATACAGCAATGTTTCATTTGTTCAAAATACAGTATTTAAAAATTTTAAACGATGTTGATCAAAGGCAAAACAACACATTTAGATTTAACCTAAAACTACACAAGTACACATTTTAATTCTGGTGTATAATCCCAAAGGGCAAATCAAATATAACAACTTGATATAAATACAATATCTGATAGGAAATATTTAACATAAATAATGGATGAACATGAAGTGATAAATTAAACCAGACACTGAGTGAGCAATGTCAGAAACCTGGGCAAACAAGCCAGGGTGCAATGGAAAAAAAAACATCTACGCATGATAAATGAAACCCTGTTGCAGGGTTTGTATCACAAAAATACATGGGACAATTGAGATGCTAGCAACTAAACAACCCTGTAGAACAGGATTTAATGCCAGAGACTTATAAAACCTGAGTTATTCATTCACCACCAATCTATGTCAATAACTAATGTGCACCAGACATCTTCCAAATGACAGGCTCCAAAACACACCATCCACATATTACTTCAATGAATATTCAGTTTAAAACATCCCAACAGCCATTCATGCTTATATGTGAAACAGCCATTCTGATTATTTTTTTCTAAAAAAAAAAGTTTTCATTAAAAATAAACAGCAAAATAATAACAGGTTTCAATACATTAACATCAAAATATTAAAATTTTACAGTTTATTATTTTTTCCCAAGTGCACAAACCAAGATCAAAACAGAACTTTTAAAATATTTGATTATTCATTTCACATGGTCTACTAGTAGCTTCGCAACAGTAAAATTCAATAATAATACTAGGCTAGTAATCACAATGTCAGTTGTGTTAGATGTACCTAAAATAACACTGTGTACAAAAAGTAAACATGTTTCGTAGATTCTGCTTTTAAATAAATTTCAGACAAAACATGACAGTGTAAGTCAGATTCAGATAAACAGTTCACTAAGTTACTTCCAAGCTCGATTCAAAGCTTTCCTCGCTGCCAACTTCTGTGTTATAAATGAGAATAAAATCATCAACCCCAAGACACCACCAATGAAAAGATAATCAAAGTCTTCCTTTAGAACATCAAACATTCTGGATGGCATGACACGGGTGTAGAAGATATCTGAAGAAATTAAGTGAATATCTCAGGTCAAATTTTTTTCAGCCATAATTTTGCCCTACATAATGTACAACTCTACACTGATGTGACTCAACTAAGTGTCTATCAAAGAACAAAACCTTGAGGTAAATGTTCTACTTTATTACATTTAAAAATTGTGACTATTAATTACTAAAAATAAACATGCAGTGCTAATTTTGCAACTATAAAAAAGTTGGTTTACAACAGTGATTTAAATGATACTGAAGTAATTTTAATGGACATACAACCATGACAAACTAATAGTATTTTGTCTCATTATCATTACGCATAACATGGTGTGCTCATGTTCTCAGTAAGGAAATATCTATAGAGTTGTAGAAGCAAAAACTTCTACGTCAATTAAAAAAAGAGTTTTTACACACATTTATTGCATATCAAAACTATTATTGATTTTTAGTATCACTACCTTAACCAAAGCCATAACCCTTGATTATAAGCTGCCTTGACTGCTATTAAAAGCACCCAAAAAATGTGCTTGTTAAAAAGGTTGCTCCAGAGCTTTCAATTAAAAAAATAAATCAATATGTAAGACAATATATGTGGCTCACTCACCTATCCCATAGACAAAAACAAGTGAAGTAGATTCAAGACCTGCAGGAGATGTGAACACACCATTCACATTGAGCACACTCCGGTTGTAGTTGACCAGTGCTTCAGTGGCTAGAGGTATCTCTGGTACATATGGAATGGTTCCCTCTTCCCTGAAAGTGTTGCAAGCTCAGTTGGAGTAATAGTTTAACAACTAATGACTGGTTCATAAACATTAAACAAACAAAATTTTTTTTTAACTGATTGTAGTAACATGTAACAACTTGTGACAGGTTTAATTTCATAAAGAAAAAGAACTTTTTATTTAGCTTTTTGGGCACTGATGTGGGTTCTATTACATTAAAACTATACTCAAGAAATTTAATTAAAATACAAATTTTACCACATAGCTTACAGATGTATGCTGAAAATCTCAATGTAAAATAATGTAGTTTATGCCTCTTGTAAACAAGGTAGTGTTTAATGACTAACAGACAGTGAAACTTACATAGTGTCTTGAGTTGGTATCACAGGCCTTCTAGGGTCCAGGAATGCTTTAGGTAAGGATAAGATTCCTCCTGATTTTAAAGACACTGTAAAGTAATAAAAAAAATCTGCTGGTTAGGTATCTAAATAACAAAACAAAATTAAAATTTTGAAAGTGTACACATTATCAAAGAACTGTTGTAAAAATGTGCAGCTATAAAAATTTAACTTAATAATATTAAACTCTCAAAGATATCCAGTTTTGGATAATGGTTTTGAGTAAATAGAACTTAAATTATTAACAGTATCTTAATAAGCTTTTAAATTATACAACAACATAGTGAAAACAAAATGCTTGGCTTCAGCCTTACTCATAATGTTCTTGCTAGCTATTCCCTTCTCTGTTACTGTGGCTTCCATGGCGTAGATGGGGGCAGGGAAAATGTAGGACTGGCGTAAAACAAGGGGAGGGGGTGGCGGTGAAAAAGATGAAAATGCAGTGGAGTTGCTTTGTTCTTTTCCTTCATAAAGTTCTAAAACACCAATTTCACTTCGACGATGCTTCTCATTATAATATGAATACTGAAATAAGAGAAAATGCAAGCAAGTTAATTTTAATACCAAACACATGTTACTAAATAACTACAGGCTACTAGCAAGAGGTACAAACCACAATCCAGTTCTCTGAATGAATGATCTTGATAGGCCCTCTAGATCTTTTATGAGTTTGATGATAAACAATATGACCAGTGACCCCGTCAATAAGGTAAACAGAAAAAAATGGTGTTGGGCCTGTAAAAGCACATTTTTAAATTGTAATTTATATATTTGGTGGTACATTATTCAACAAGAATCACAATTAGTTTTTTAGGCAAAAACTAGTAAGTCTTATAGTAGAAGGTGAAAATGGAAAAAAATTGTAATTTTTATGATAAACTTGTTGTAATTCATGATCATTAAGGCTGTATCATGCTCACCTTTACTGACAGATGACTGCTGTTGTTCTTCACCCTCTGCCACCAGGGCCACAATATTAGGGTTCAAGTATTTGTACAGGACACTGCGATCACCCAACACACGCCCCTGAGAGTGGACATGCTCTGAAAATGAACATTATTTAAAAAGTTAATTAACAAATTTATAATTAATATTCAATATCAAAAACTATTTTTAAAACATATGAAGCAGGTTAAATACAATATATTGGAAATAATATAACTGCTAAAATTAGTTTTAAACAACTGAACTATACTAAAATGCATAATACTCGAAGATATCAATGTACTAAAACCAAACCAAGACAACAAAGTAAAAATAAACGATTTTTAAAAGTGTAACAACATCATAACAAAAACTTAATCCTACCTATGGCCCTTTTACCAAATACACCCGTGATTGTCTGTTGAGACTTTTGTAGATCGAGATTCCAAATCTCTTCAATGTCCAGGTGATCTGGCTGTTCTGACAATATTCTAAGCACAAGAAAAACAAATCACTAGTCAGACTCATTGTTCAAACAGTTCATTTTTTAGTTAAAAACTAAATGCATGATCATTTGTGATGGAATGCCTAACAATAGGACACAATAGGCTATATTCTAACCACACACAAAACAATCACTAGTCAGACAAATTATTCAAAAAATTTTAGTTAAAAACTACACACGTGATCAATAGTGATGAAATACCTTATAATAGAATTCATACCTGTAACCTGTCATTATTCCAGTTTCAGGATTGACAAGATGGAAAAAGTATTGCATGGATGATTTCCTGATAGCAGACTCACTTGTTGTAGGATATACATGGGCCTAAAAACACAACACATGATAAATCAGTTTATTTGAACAATCTATGTTTTTTTAATCCCTAAATGAATTAGTTAATATAAAAATAACTTAGTAACCTTGAGTGTGTCATCAATGAGAAAAATTCCTTTGAGAAACTCATCATCCATGTCAGAGATCATCTCTGCCTGCAGGACTTTATAGCCAGTGTCCTGACCTCCCTTTTGATGGCCAGTAATTAGAGACCCAGTCACAGGGTTAAAAGAAACCAGAAGTCCATTGCCAGTTATCTGACAGAAATTTAACAAAATTCAAGATTTTACACAAATTCTCTCAATTAGAGGATTTAACAGTAAACATTTTGCTGTAAATATACACAAAATCATTTCAGCAATGAGTCTTTTTCTTTCACTATGTATGTTACAGGTGACCAAAAAAAATTGTTTGAAAGCAAAAAAAAGAAATTTAATTTTTTTTTAAAAATGGGACAATATTGTAACAAATTATTTTTCTACCAGTATTGATACATGAACAGTAAGAACCAGGTTTATTATAGTGGTGATACTAGTAAAACAAAAAATAAACACTTTGGTAGACACCCAAAGAATATTGTAAGTGTAAAATTAAGATATTACAAACGGTTGTAACCGTTAAAGCATAAGATTACTAGGTAATATAAAACTTCCCTTACATGTGTGTACAGCCATCAGTAGCTGATAACCAAATAAGAAAAATATTACTTAACTACCATAAATAAAAGAACTACAAGATTTCAACTCACTTGGTTGACACCCAACACAGTACACTGTGGCTCATGAGGGAAATGAGCAGTTGACCTCTGTACCACCACAATCAGCTTCTCATTTCCAAAGCGGCTGAAGGGTGTTAGATTGGGCACTAACTGTTGCCAGGCTATTTTACCAGTATGACTCCTGATGCCGTATATCTAAAAATATAATATTTTACTCAAGATTAAAATATAACAAGATATATATGTAATAGGCCTACAGCTTCTAACAAAAATTTGTGACCAGAAAGATGCGCAACGGGAAAATTGTGCAAAAAAAAAATTGTGCAAGGGCATTTTTGATTTCTTGAATCAAGCATTTATTGAAATTAACAAAGCATGACCACAAGTACATTGTAGCCTAATAAAACATACTTCCACAAAACATGGAAAAAAGTAATAATTACTTTCTCAACCACCTTGCGGTATGAACGCGTGGGCCTACTTGGGGTCACAGTGAGTTCAAGAAAGCCCTTATTACCCCAGTTACAAGTATTTTTTTTATCTCCCCTCCCATGAAATAATTGTAGTTGACCCATCTACGCATTTCACATTGTTGGTGACGTCACTAGCCTTTAATTTTTTTTTCTCATGAATGCGAGAAAGGCTGGCTTTTGCAAATTTCGTTTTTTTTTTTTAAATCTGTGTTTCTCCCAAATTCAGTATCACTGGTTAAATAGTCTGCTAGAACAGCTATCATTAAAATAATATTTAACAGAACTGTACTCGCGCGCGATCCTAGTCCTTTTAATACAGTTTATTTAGGTCCATATCTAGACTTTACGGCGAGTTTACGGCAAGTTAAAAAAAAATCACGTGTTGTCTAAACTAAATTTTAAACTAATCCTAAAAAAAAAACTGAAAAAAATTACGTCACGCCAATGATGGGTAACCCTAAGCTAGCATAGCTGTAGATGCACCATGTACGCATGTGTGATGGGCGGAAAACAGATCAACGGTAAAGAGGCACCACGAGAACCGGTGAGACTAGTTTTGTACGTCCTAACTAGTTCACGAGTCACTGCGAGACTAGCGATTGGATAGGCCAAAACCCGGTTCAAATGTCGCGACACCCAAAAGAAAAAAAACATGGGAAGCAATATTTCCCGGTTTTTAAAGATATTTCCCGGCTATTCATCAAAATTCCCTGTTTTCAAGGCCGGGAAATTAAACCTCGGAATTCCCGGTTTTTCCCCGGTTTCCCGGCTGCGTGGGAACCCTGGTAATTGTTTCAGTATAATTTGTATTTATTTCAGTATAATTATTATGGCATTTTTCTATTTGTACAGTTTTCCCGTTATGCAGCTTCCAATTGGGGACCAACAAAAACAGACCAATCTTTACAGTTTTGTTAAGCTAACTACCTGAATTAAAACATTTTAAAATTATGTTAACGATTATAATTCTTTGAAAGTAGAATTAAAAATGAAAAACTGACTTTTCCAGCTGCTGTAGCCACAACGATAATTTTATGAAGATTGAAATCATCCCTAATCAAATCTTCCTCTTCAGGCTCCTCTTCTTCAATGGATTCAATGGCTTTGGCATGGTGGTGGTGATGTCCTAAGGCACGCTCCATCAGAGTATGGGCAACATTCTATACAAATGAAAAGACTAGATGATTATTCTTTATTCCTTTTATTTGTTCTTTAGTGTTGAGTTTAATAGGTTTAAGGGGAGGTTTTGGATCATTTGATAGTGAGGTGATGTGGGTCATTTTAATTTGTAGCCTAATTATGAGAGAAAAATGTCTACTTACTTTCAGCTGTGAAAATTGAGCCTTTAGTCTCTTAAAAAACATTGCAACTATGTCTTCTGAAAAAAAAATGTATATAAATGGTTTAATCTGCTCATATTTTTAATATATGTAGATATTTTAAAATTGTTTTTTTTTCAAAGTATTATTGTTAAAATAAAGGTCACATTTGTTGGACAAGCAGGAAATAGAAATGTTTTTAATGCCTAGACAATAAGGGGTTAAGTATAATATTGTATGTGGAAGATTCTCATACCTTCTTTGGTCCCAAATTCATCCTCAAATTTAGCCTGATTCTCAGACACAGGCAGATCAACCATTTGTACACCAAGTATGTAAGCAAGAGCTTCTTCCCTCCTCCAATGTGATTTACCTTTAAAACAAAATTTTCAGAAATTTTAAATACAGAAAGGTGAAGCAGTTATTGAATAATATAAAAAAAGAAGTGTACTTTAATTTAAATGATTACTAAATCAAATTGAAATTAAATATGATATAAAATTGACAATTTTAATATATAAAAAATGATTTTTGATGATTTTAATCAATAATCAATAGAAAGTGTTAGTAAATATTTTTAAATTAAAAAAAGCTGTTTCAATTTTAGAAATGTCTGACTGTTAAGGTTATGCAGCTATAACTCAAAATGAAAATAAAACTGTCAAGAATCTTAATGGAACACTGTCCTCTCTTTAAACCAGGAACTGGAAACATGAACTTCAGGATGAAAAATAATTCATAACAACTTTAATTAAAGGTAACTAGTAACAAATTATCCTTCTACTTACTTTTCTGAGCAAAATGGATGGAATAATCTTGTGCCAAAAATATCAACTTGCAGCCTGGACGCTGACTATTATCCTTCTTCTTTGAGAACAAAAATGGATACATCTGCAAGAAGTGCAAAAAGAAATTGAATAACTAAACCTCAATGCATTATGAAACAATACATGGCGCAAAGAAAGGAAAAAATAATTGTGAACTTAATACTCAAATCAATGAAAGTCTAAATAACAGGTGTCCAACCTTTGTAGGATGACCGTGGTAGTGGGCAAATGGAATTTTTTGAGACAAGTCTGTGATCTCTGTATCAGATGACTGATCAAAAGCACTTAGTTTCAAAGACTGGGGAATAAAATTAATTAGACTGCTCCCTTTAGCAAAAATTTATATAAAACCTCAATAAACAAACATGAGCAATGTAAAGTTTTAATATTTGCCTACATTTAACAGAACAATAAAATTAAAAAATATATAAAACTAACCAACACTAATTCTGTTTAAAAATACACCATATAACATAGAAACAATAGATTTAGATTATTTACCTCTGAATCTGACTGAGAAAGAGTCAGCAATATACTTTTGTCAGCATGTGATACAACCTCTGCACTGTAAGTCTGTAGTTTTTTAAATAATTATGATTTTATTTTTATAAAAGAAATCTGCCCAATTCATAACTATTTATTAAATATGAACGATGTATACATTTTAAAAAAATTAATACCAAGGCTTAATTATGAGTATTTCAAAACTATTTTTGCAAATCACCTTTTCAAGAGCTTTGTGCACAGAAAAAGAGCCCTGAGAGTTGAGTTTCAAAAACACTAAGCGATCAGGAGTGGATCTGAACAAAATAGTCGAGCTTAATCCAAGAACTTGTGATTCTATACGTGACTCTGGAGTTGTTTTTATATCTAACAACTGCAACAGAAGAAAAAATAGATGGGGCCAGTTTAATATAGAGTAATGAAAAATTGGAAGAAGGCATTGTGAGAGTAATTGTACAATTAACACAATGTTTCTTTAATAGTGATTACAAGTCCATCCCTAGGTTTGACAGCAGGGCAAAGGAGTGCTGATGTAGAGCTTTTGCTGCCTGTCTTAACTATATCTACATTTGTTTGATCAGAAATTAAACTGTAAGTTGGTAGTCCTCAAATATTACTTACTTCAGAAGACTTAAAAACATTGGCATTTTCCAGAGTTAGCAGCTGTAAAACAGACAGTTGTGGTGAATAGCATGCAAAGTGTGTGGCCTCCTCCATTATTACACAGCTGTTTTTAAAAAATGTAAAATATTTATTGAATAAAGAAAATAAAAATTATATTTTATGGTAACAAAATTTTAGTTAAAGTTTTTAAATACATTTTTAAAATATGTAAAGAAATGGGCGGAATAATTCATCTTGTTGAAATTTAACAATATTTAGCGAGACTATAGCTTCAGCGATAGTGAAATATGGGATATAAGGACATATGAAAGAGAACTTCTTGCTAATACAAAAAAATGATGAGCTAACCTTGAGTCAATACTAATCCAGGCTGCTGGCACATTCTTTGTTGATTTGCTGACAGCCCCATCCAATGCGATGGAGGTTACTGTAACCTTCTGCCCTGGTGAGATCCCAACAGCAATGTAATCATCAGCACGCTCCTTGACATACCAGCGGCTCACTGTATCACTGGGGAACACATTTTTTTAAGTAAGTTGCAGTTAACTAATAATGGTAACAAACCTAATAATTGTAACAAACTTAAACACTGCTATTTAAAGAGTATGACACGGCCATTAAAAAATGTGTTTATTTAGGAATAATGTTTACTCACCTGTTGGGCAAATCAGCTTTCCATTCTTCTGAGCCATCAGACAATTTTAAACAATAAATAACACCAGATGTTGCAACAATCAACAGATCTAATAAACAAAAAAAACAAAAATATATATATATATATATATATATAATTTCGATTTTTTAAAACATTTTCAGATATGATACAACATATTAAATTCAACAATCATTTGTACAAACAGATGTAAAGATAAAATAATAATAAAGATAAAAAATAATAAATGAAAAAATACAAGTATTATAAATATTTTACCTTTTTGCTTCTTTACAGTAAAAAAACCAGAGGCCCTGAAAATAGCAATTGCTAATATTATTCCAAAAAATAGCCTTCCTTCAATGAGCCAAAAAGACTTTAAAACAGATGAAGGAAATACAGAAAATACATAGAAAAGCTTATAAACACAATGTAAATTAACCTGCTGTTGACATCATCAGACAAGCTTTTCTCCCACAACAAGGACCCTGACAACACATCCCATTTCCTGACAAACTGCCCACCTGCATGGATGCTCACCAGATCTGAAATTTACACAGTCAAGTTTTTATTTCTTTCAAGAATAAAAAAAAAAATACAAAATTATTGTATATCATTTTCATTTTTGTTTTTAATTGCAACACTGAAGGGGGTTTCCACCAACAAACTTAAGTGTTCCAACCTCTCAAGTTTTGAGTTAGCAATCATGCATTCTCCCCTCAATTGTTTAATTATTTAAGGTTATTACATAATCACTTACAGTTATCATGATGTAGAAATGCATCAATTCTACCACGCACTGTTGGTTCAAATATTCTTCTCCAAACTGAAACGAAACAAAGTGCTCACATTTGTAAATAATCTAATATCAAAAGAATAAAGTAATTTCAATTAAAAATATGGTAATTGTACTGTATGTTTGGTACTGTGGTACTGATTAGTGATTAGTTTTCAAAACAAATCTAATAAATATGCTTCCATCAATGTGCATTAAGATATTTTTTTCATGTTCTAGTATTATAATAAGTAATAACTATCATACTAGAATCTACCAAAATAATTACCTATGCTTCCATCATGTGCATTTAAGGAAGCTATAACATTTTTTTCAGAGGCTATTAAAATTTTTTTTCCATTTCCTGATTGTGACTGGTCCCAATAAAATTCCTTGATTTTTCCAACATAGTCTTGTTTCCTGCAGAGAAATAATTAATATGTATTACAAAGTGTAAACAAAACATTAGTAATAAAATACTTAAAAAAAACTTTTTAAAAAACCATGTTTTTCTTGTGGACTAAAAAGTAGAAAATAACTATTTACATACATTTGATGACAAAAAACGTGGGTACGTTCACCATCAAATTTCCCGACCCATCTGCCCGACCCACGTTTTTTGTCATCAAATGTATGTAAATAGTTATTTTCTACTTTTTAGTCCACAAGAAAAACGTGGTTTTTTAAAAAGTTTTTTTTAAGTATTTTATTTTCTCCTTTTTAGTCCGGTTCTACACATGAAAAACGTGGTTTTTAAAAAGTTTTTTATATAGTTTATTTTCTACTTTATCTAATCACTTGATTAAGTATGACTTGACTAAGTGTTTTTAAATACACGGACTAAAAAAATCTTGAGCGACCGATACGCTTTAAACAGAGAAAGGGTGTAATTTACGTTGCTGGCGTGGAGATCTACTCACGAATCACGTGATCAAATCTCCCATAAACAAACAAATAAACGCGAAGCTGAGTTAAGGAAAAACGTGTTTATGTGTATTTAGCATGCCCAGCGTACCAACCGTGTCATCGTTAACAATGTGTTACCGTGTCCGTTCTCCTTTTTAGTCCGTTGCTACACATAAAAAACGTGGTTTTTTAAAAAGTTTTTTTTAAGTATTTTATTTTCTCCTTTTTAGTCCGTTGCTACACATGAAAAACGTGGTTTTTAAAAAAGTGTTTATAAATACACGGACTAAAAATCTTGAGCGACCAGGATTCGAACCTGGGTTGTCGCGGCCACAACGCGAAGTACTAACCACTATACGATCACGGCCAGCGCGCTCACATCGATTGGGGCCGAAGTAACTGTGTCAATAGGCCTCAAGTCTTGTCGGTATCTTTAGAAATCATGTCCTCAATTTTATGGTCCTTGGGGCGTAATTAAATTAAGATAATTACTGTCACTAATTGCTAGTTTTTATGATTGCATCTGAAATTGTTAGGCGAAAGTAGCATGCATGCCAAATTTCAGGTCTCTAGAGCAATCAGAAGTGGGCTAATTTTCGATGTCAATTTTAACAACAAACATCCAAACAAACAAACAAACAAACAAACGCGAAGCTGAGTTAAGAAAAACGTTTTAAAAAATTAACAGTTTAGGGATTTTAGTGTTCACTGTTTAAAACTCTAGCCAACAAGGTTTTTATATGAGCAGAATCTGATCTACATCTTTGTAAATTTGCATTCAAAGAGAGATGGAGTAAAAATATGAATTGAATGAAAGATAGAGTCGACAATTACAGGTGGTAAAATTGTTATACTGTTTTAGATGTTGTGTTGATTTGTTTCTCCTTTTATAATTATGTCAGTTTATTTAATATTCCCTGAAAAAAATATTGTTTTAATATAGGCTAGACCTAACTACAGTTTTTAAATTGCCAGTAGGGCCTACTTCAAAATCAATCAAGATGAGATAAAACATCTGTGTGCTGATCGTGTTTATTTCATGATTTCTTTTTTCACAAATATTTAAGAACAGGCATACAACTAAAAAATTGGTCTCACAAACTAGACTACATCTAGATCTACCTGTGGTGTAGGTAATGTCTCAATTTTTTATTTCTAAATAATAGACATCCATATTTTATTTATCAGGCACTAATTTTGAGGGTTTTAGCTCGATTTGGACTAGATTAATTTGTTTTTAAAATTCATTGTCACTTACAGCCATGGCACGCCACATCTTTCCATTACAACCATATTATATCACTCTTATGTTTGTAGACATAGCAATGGGGGGTTAGACTTATAAACTGGTTATGTATGAGCATTCCTTACTAGTATCAATCAAATAGCGGTCACGTAGTTTTAAAAAACAATTAGTTTGTCATTTTGATGCCCATCTTATAAATTATAACTGCTTGTTATATTTGATTATTTTTTTATAGACTGATAAGCCTAGTAATTATAATGCTTCATTTTCTGGCTCATTTTTGTACCTACTCTGTTGATATTTTAAGAGTTGTATTAGTTTTAATGAAACAACTTTTAAATTTAAACTTCATTCTCCAAAGCAAATTTTAAAATGCTTTCTGGCATAGGCCTTTAGGCCCTATTACCCTGCTTCCTATAGTTTGTTTTATAACGTGAAAAACCAGCATTTTACTTGTGGTAAACATTTTTAAAGTAATTCTAAGTTGGTCACTGAAACTAAGACGAAAAATCATTGATAGTCATAGGGTTGTCGGTATCGGCCGAGATCGCGGTAAAAACATGACCCGAAATCGCCCATTACTTTCTGATACCGGGCGCACGAGATTTGGTTTTGCATACTAATAAGTTTTTAATTTATGGTAATTAATTAAGTTTAAAAGGTCATTCCCTAATGTTAAATGAAAAGTAGAATGGTTTTCCCATTGTTTTGATGGCTTAGCGATCTGATTGCACGCTGTCTCTGCCTTGGTCTTCCCCCTGTATGAAGGCTAGTTTCAAATACGTTGGAATCACGATTTTTTAAAAGGTTATTCTAGATGAGTGAAGATTACTGAGCAGACATATCTTATATATGTGGAAATGATATTTGTTTTTGGATATTTTGACTCTGACATTAGATATACTCGTTTAGAGGTGGTCACTGTATGTAGGTCGCGTTGCCACCATTGTTATATTTTTTCATCCCGATCTTCCGGCCTTTAAGTTTGATCAACTAACAACAGCATTCTTATGGAATGTGCAAACAAATCTCCTAATTTTTTTATTTCAGAATATATTTACATACCCATCTTTAATTTTTTCAGCTCTAGTTCTAGTTTTGCAGAATGTTTTTCCTAAAATCCAATTTTGTCAGACTAGACTGACAAGAGTCAGACCTAGATCTAGGTTACCTGTCTGTTGCTAACTATACACTAGCATTGTGCTAACTGTAATTTTAAGTATTCAAGTTCTACTTACCCTTAGATATAGTTATATGCTGAAAATCAGAATCCATACACAATTCACACATAAAAACATTGATCTGATAACTTCATTTAAATTATTACAAAATGGCTTATATGGGCTCTACTTCACCTGCCCAAAATAACAAGGCAGTTATATACACATTACAGTGTTCAAGTCATTTAGATTTCTAACTATGTAGTTCTTACATTCACTGTATTTATATAAAATATTGCTTTAGAAACATTTTCATATTTGCGCAGCAGTTTTATAACAAAATGGCTTAAAGATGGACTCTACTTCACCTGCCCAAAACAATGAGGCAATTATAATATTATATGCACATAACAGTGTTCAAGTCATTTACTTTAGATTTCAAACTTTGTAGTTCTTTCATTTGCTGTATTTATATAAAATATGGCTTTAGAAACATTTTCATATTTGCGCAGCACACAGTTTTTTGGGGTTATGGGAGGAAGCCAACACAAAAATATAAGTTCTGTATTATTTTTATTCATTTCAACAACATTTACAAGTTCTATATATCATTCTAGCTAAACTCTGAAAATATGAACAAAATACAACTGCAATTAAAATAACTATGCTCAATTTATTCAGGTATGCCATGACTTGTCACAATTGGCCAATGCAAAAGTAAGGGGATTCCACCCCTCACAAAAAAATTCGCAAAAAAAAAACTATTTGAGCTAGACAAAAAATCTTTTTTGTTTTGTTTTCATTTTGTTGAGCTCTACAAGAATATGTAATTTTTATTTTTATATGATGATTAGTGCTTTTTTACCAAAATCCCTAATAGTCATCTGGTGAGGACACCATTCACCATATTGAATTGTTGTTAGTTAGCAACAGGCCCTGCCTCCAGGTTTGCATGTAGATCTAATACTTACTCGCCATTCTGCGTTTTATCCCTCCCTACCCCTCTGGCTAGCTAGATTCTACTAACTAATCCACGTTTAAAATCAAAACAGGACATACTACATAGGGCCTAATTATTTTAGGGTTGATCATTGGTGTGGAATGTGGATCAATGACTGATTGTGGCTCGTACTGTTAAAAGTAGCGATGTCGGCATCGCCGCCATCTTGCTTTAAGAACGGCAACCGGGGAATTTCGCTATTGTAAAATTTCGTCGATTATCTTCCTTATTGAAATACATAGTGAGAAAATATAGGGATTTTAAAGTAATCGATTCAATTTCGTAGTCGGGCCAACTTTTCACCAATTTAATGAAATAATGTGTGATTTTAAACTGCTAACTGCATTACTTTTCTCTCTTCCTTCTCCAAGTTATAATATTGCGAAACGTGGTCTAATTTTGTGCGTGTTTCAACGACAACTTTTGATAGAAAGGTGAGTTTATCAAGCTATCTCTTTGTATTCTCAAAAATTACATTATGTATATTATAAGTTAATAATGATTTCATCTAATTTGAGGTACGTTTTCTAGTGGTATTTTGACCGAAAAAAAGGGTGTTTGATTCACCACAATAACGCCATTTTATAATAAAAAAATATGGCGAGACCGGAAAGCCTATAGGGGCGTGGGGGCCGGCGTCGCCTTTATAAATGTTCACTTGTTCCTTAATCGTAGAGTTTATTGCAAATGAATGATTGCCTTTTAAAAATAAAAGATGTATAAATATGTTAAAGGCTGTTGAAGAAAGCCAGTGGTTTTTTTTTTTTGCACATCAAGCTAATAACCAATAATAAATTACCACTCAAGAAAAGAAATTATTTTAAGCATATATTTCCTTATCCCTTACTTTATTATGCTACACACTTGCCTCTATTAAAACAATAAATTCTACTTTTACAGTAGTATTAATGTTGATTTCTTTTCCTCTAGATATATGATCAAGAGTATGGATGAGGAAATGAATACTTCAGCAGGTGGTAAATCTACAGGCTCTGGGAGCCCTGATAAGCATTCTGCCAAAGATTTACCAATTCTGATTAATCAGTATTCTGACTTTCGGACAGCAGCTGGCATAAAGCAAGGCCATATAATTCATGTATGGTATGAAAATAAAAAACAAATTAAAAAGGCAGTGCAAGTTTTGGAAGATATAATACCAGCGTCAAGTAACAGTCATCAACTTTATAATAAAATCAACAGATTATGTGTTAAATTTAGATCTCTTAAGCCACAAGCACAATGGGATAAAATTATAAATTTTATGGAAATGCCATTTCAAGAGCCTGTACCTAAAGAAAAGGGGATTGTCTCTAAGTTAGCACCTGAATTAATAACAACACTAATCCCCCCAAAACAAGCCTCACCTTTAAAACTTAAACAAGACTGTGTAAGTTGTGCATACAAAAGAAAGTCTACAGAACAGTTATTGAAATCAAATAAAAAATTGAAAACTAGTTTAAAATTCTATCAAAATGAACTTCAATCAAATAAAGTTTTTCAAATTAAAGATCTAAATAAAAAAATTAAACGCCTCACTGACAGACTCCTCAAACAAGAGAAAAAGAATAGGCAGTTGGAAGCAGAGAAAGTAGAGATTAAAAAAAAACTTAACTGCAATCCGTTTGCAGATTCCATCCAATACAAAATGAAACTGAATCAAGTTGCCAGTTTAAAGAAAAAATTATCAAGAAGAGAAAGAAAAATTGAAGCACTAGAAAATGTGGTCAAGATCAAAAACAAAACCATCAAAAATTTAAAATCAATGGTCAATGATTTAGAATTAATGTATGATAATGCCATCAACATGCAAGAACCCCAAGAAGAGGGACAAACTATTGTAACCAAAGAAGGAAAGCATTATGGTACTTCTATGAGAATTTGTATGTACCAATCTTTGTTGAAAAATGTTTCTGTGTTAGCTGCTGGACAGCTATTACAGTTTTTCCTGGAGCAGGAAGCTGGAATGAAACTTGACTGCGTGCCTCGCAAATCTACAGTGGCTCAAATGGCTTATGAAATAGGCATTTTAGCTGATCTGCAGGTTGGCGAGGCACTTGCATCCCACCATTGATGGAAGTCATGTAAATGAAATCCATATTTCTGCTGCAGGTAAAACTCTTGCTGTTGATGTAAAACATTTACCTGGTGGTAAAGCTGTAGATTACATAGAACATATTAGTGTTAAGTTAAAAGATATTGTAAACATATATTGTAAATACATAAATCATCCAAATTTAGAGCAGCTGTACAAAACTCTTATGTCCACCATAAAATCCACTGTGACAGATAGGGCAGCTGTGAATCATTGTGTTGTAAACCAGCTGAATACTTTGTTACAGACACACCTGCTGGAATTGAATTGCAATGTTCATCCGCTAGATAGTTTTGCTGCTGGTGCCAGAAGAGCATTGGAAAATGATACTGAGATAGGCAACAAGACATTGCACTGTATTTTGAGTATTTCCAAGCTCAGATACAAGCAATCCAGTGGAGACCCTAGCGGGTTCAAGACCTATTTTAGAGAAAAAAATATTCCAGTGGGAGTTTTCCTTCGGTACGTCGGTAACCGGTTGCACATTTTATTCCATTCAGCTGGAATTATAATTTTATATCTGAAAGAGCTGAAGAAATTTGTTGAATTAGGAGGCACCAACCTTAAAAAAAGCATTAAGGAAGAGCTGGATGACCCTAGGGTTGTTGCTCAATTAATTGCACTCGGGTTAATCGGAAAAACAGTCACAGGGCCATGGATGACTAAATTCTATGCAAATTCAATGAATTTAGACATGGTCCCTGTGATACAAAGCTCTAAAAATGTTTTGGACAGGTTTGCTGCTGAGCCAGAAGAGTTGTTATGTCCCACTGTGAATGTTTTTAATGAACCCATTGATGCAGCTTCAGACATGGTGCTGACAGCAATCATCAACAATATTGAATCCCACAGGGATAAAGTAAAGCAAACTTTGAAGCAAATATTACATGAAATTGTTAAGGTCTTTGACCGCCAGTTTGTTCGATATACCAGTGGCGACCTTTCTAGCCCTACAGTTGAGCAGTTGACACAAGCTTCAACTGCTCCTTCACACAACATGGCAGCTGAGAGAATATTAGGAATGACTGACTATTTATGGCGTCGGGCCCCTAATGCGACAGCTGGTTTTGTAGACGGAAAGGTGAGAGGACGGACAAATGATACTGTAGGATGGCTTCTGCAACAGGACAAAATGACCCAACATAGATTAGTTTATTTTGCAATGAAAGAGGGGTACAGAGCAAGGGAACTTGCAGCACAAAGGAAGAAGATGATGGAAGCAGTGATGATGCGTCGAATGCTAGAAGCTGGTCAGAAACATGAACAATCCAACCGTAAGGCTCTAGAAAAAGAGGTTGCTATGGCTTTGAGTGCTAAAGATCTGAATGCTAGTGTGTTTTCATCTGCGTCATCTGAAGTTATGGGCCTCATTGCAATGTATATTACTTCAGAAAATCCTATGTCTGAACTGACTGAAACCTATACAGGACATCTACTTAAGCATTTATGGACAGAGGAAGGAGTTGATAAAATGTATTCTGGCAGAGTGGTAAATTTTAAGCAGCAGAAGACTAAGACAATGAAATGTACAATTACTTACTGGGGACCTGATGAATTGGAAACTGACAGTGTTGACTATGACATGACAATGACATCTCTAGTCACTGATTTACTGACAGGTGACCTTGTGTTTAGTAGCTAGGATGACAGTAGTAGTCCATGTTGTACAAAGCTTAACTTGGTATAAGTCTCACCTGTTATTGTATTGATGTAAGCTATGTCTACCTTAAAAGTTTATTGTTTTGATGTATATATTAACTTTGCTTTTTGTTTAATTGTGTAAATTTAATTATTTATTGAGAATCATTTAATATAAAACATTTATCCTAATAAGATAATAGTCAGAGATGAGTTGTTTTTTTACTTGCGATGTTATTAATTTGGTGTAGGCTTCCTGAAATGTTATTTAAGTTATTCTACTTGTTGTGTTGCTAATAATAATAGTTTTTAAAGACAACCATTCAGTAAATAAAACTCCTGGCTTGCCAGTGTGCCTAAGATAAATTGTTCGGTTTAATTTATTAAAAAAAAATTAGTGCCTACTACCTTTTTATTCAATTTGTTCTGCTACTGGCAAGTCTATTAATAATTAAATTAATAAATGTAATTCAAACATGCTGAAGTAAGATCATGCAGAGTTTTAACATTGTACCTTGAAAAACAACTGAGCAGTGCAACTTAGAAATTAGGGCCCATAATAGTCAAAATGTATCCCTTAAAGGAATGCTAATTATTCTGCTCCCAGTGAATGAATTAATGATTTCAATTAATATATGTAATTCAAACATGCTGAAGTAAGATCCTGCAAAGTTTAAACATTGTAGTTTTAAAAACAACTGAGCAGTGCAACTTAGAAATTAGGGCCCATAATAGCCGTAATGTATCCCTTAAAGGAATGCTAATTATTCTGCTCCCAGTGAATGACTTAATGATTTCAATTAATATAAGTAATTCAAACATGCTGAAGTAAGATCCTGCAAAGTTTAAACATTGTAGTTTTAAAAACAACTGAGCAGTGCAACTTAGAAATTAGGGCCCATAATAGCCGTAATGTATCCCTTAAAGGAATGCTAATTATTCTGCTCCCAGTGAATGACTTAATGATTTCAATTAATATATGTTATTCTAACATGCTGAAGTAAGATCCTGCAAAGTTTTAACATTGTATCTTTAAAAATAACTGAGCAGTGCTATTTCAAAGTTAGGGGACAGTGATTTTCATGACTTACAAAGAAATATAGTAGTATTTCTCGCTAACCCGGAGGCGTGGCCGGTTGCTAACAACAATATGGCGCCCGGACCGGACGCTTGACTACCGACGATTTTTCGGCCAAATTCCAGAGACTTTCTACTAATTAGTTTTTAAAATGTTTACCACGCGCAAAATGGCGGGACTTTCACGTTATAACAACAAGCTATAGGTGGCAGGGCTATATATGCCAGAAAAGCATTTTAAAATTTGCGTTGGAGAATGAAGGCTAAATTTAAAAGTTGGTTTCATCAAAAATACTAGAACTTTTTAAATATAGATTTCCCTATTACAAAATTGATTTCCCTACTAAAGCATTATTAGTTTTATCAGTCTATGAAAAAATAAATCAAATATAGTCAACCCTTTTTTTTTATAAGAGTGGCCAAAAAATGACAACCAAATTTTTTTTATTTTTTTGACCACGTGACCGCTATTTGATGATCACTAGTGGGGAACTCTGGGTACATGGCCACTTAAAAAGTCTAACCGCATTTGTGGTTCTCTTTAGCTTCAAGTGCCTTCAGGGGTAAGAAGAGTTGTCATGGAGAGATGTGTTGTCCATGGCAGTGAGTGTCAATAAATATTAAATTAAGTAATTTAGTTTAAAACGAACTAAAAACTTCGAAATTAGTCCCTAATGGATTAAATATGGATGTCTATCATTCAGTAGTCATGTTTAATTTGAAATTTGGGTAAATTCTAGATTTAGTAAGAAAAGCTAAAATATAGAATCTAGTGGACATTCACCCATTACGTAAAAAATTCATAAAAAAAAAACTACTGAAGCTAGAAAGAAAATTTTTTCAGTGTTATTCTAGTTACATCAAGCACAATATTTTTGCAATGCTCAGACATTTAATTAGCCAATTTTAATTTTTTTAATGGAATGCCTAGTTAAAAGTTAAAGCCGCTACTTAAGCAAATAATTCGCTTTACTAAAACGAATCGTTTGACTAGCTAGATCTAGCAGCAATCTAGATCTAGATTCTAGATCTAAAATCTAATCTAAATCTAGAATTTTCTAGCATTTTCTAGCTGCTAGCCGTGGCCGTAGTCTGGCGTAGTAGCCGGTTCTGCGTCGATTCAATTAAAATTCCAGGACAGGGAGACTAGTCCTTTACAAAACGTAAAGAATCTGGTTTAATATAAAATAACATGGTTACAGTAGATCTGCCTACCAGTCAAACAATCCTGCTTGATCCTCGAATAAACAAACAGACGTATCTAACAGATATGCGAAAGTCACAGCAAAAAATACAGCACCAATGATTCTCGCCATGTTGTTTCTTATTTTTAATTATCTCTAGTTTGGTGAAAACAAGAAGAAGTAAAAATGAAAATGAAGGCTGATGTACCGAAACAATTATTATCTATCTACATCTACGTTACAGTCATGGGGGGGGTGAGAACGACTTTTGAGAGGAATTATAAGGCGGGAATGTGGAGTGCTGAGAAAATGTCACGTCGCGCTTTTATATTTTGAAATTTAATTTTAAACTGAATTTTTGTAGTTATTTTCAAATTAAAAACAAATATTTTTAATCAGAATAAAACTGAGAAATGAATAATAGCCTATTACTTATTAGGGGTCATCCATAAATAAATGACATCACGCTTTTTGACGATTTTTACCTCCTCCCCCCCCCCCCTCCGTCACACATCGTCACAAAAAGCTAGCCTCCCCCCCCCCTAAAATGGCGTCACACCTCAAGCTACAACCCTCCCCCCCCTCAAAATTGCAGTTGAATTTTTCTTTTGATACGATATTTTCCAAAATCTTGTCTGAGCTCTGTACACATAGAGTATTTTAATCAATTCCTGTTACAATTTATTACAGTTTTCTGAAACGCGAAATAACGGCTAAAATCCGTATTCAAACATTGCTTTTTTATAAAGCAAATGTGTGACGTCACACCATCTGAACCACCCCCTCCCCCTCATGACACACTGTCACAAAATTACGGAACCTCCCCTCCCCACTACAAGTGTGACGTAATTTATGGACGACCCTATTTCAAATTGAAATAGTGCCCTTCTTTACCCAAATAGTATTTGGGTAAAGAAGGGCACTAAGAGTAGTATATGAGCCACACTTTTTAGCATCCGTACATTTTTATAGATTAATTTTGCTAGGGCTTATCACACACGGATTTACTAAAAATTACATTATTATGTTTATTAGATAATTAAATAAGAAATTAAAATAGTGATTAGCCACATTTTTTTTTTTTGCTAAATGAGCCAAGAAATGGCCAAGATCTAGATCTAGATCTAGGCTTAACTAGTAAATAGCAAACGACTCTATCGGACTAACTGTAGTTAGGCCAGATCTTTATATCAATTTCATATTATGTAATTTTATTTGCCAGGTTTTTTAAAATAGGGCCAAATACATGGTGGAATTTTCCGACAGAAGATTTTCGGGTTTACCCATTGTTCCATGTCTTGTGATAATCTCCTCAGTCTTACTCTTAGCTTAGGGCTTAGGCCTACTCGACTTTTAACTTAAAAACTCTTATTACTTTTGGAAATAAAACTAGATTTAGATCTAGATCTAGAAATGTTTACATAATGTGGACAAAGATGCTGTTTAAAATTGCACTATACCATTACTAACCTACTAACAACAGGCCTTAAAGTAAATTTTTATTTTAAGATATTCTATTATATATATTCTATAGAATTTTGACAATTTATTTAGTTATTTTATTTTAATCTACAGTACAACTTACCAGAAATCTAGATTCTATAACAATAGTCAATAGGCCTATATTCTATAAGTATACACTATACACTATAGGCCTACTGTGCAGTGTTTCTTCCAGACTTTTTTCTCCGGGGGGGGGGGGCACTTGAAATCTTCGGGGGGGCGGTAAACTTTCTTCGGGGGGGCGGACACTGTTAAAAGTATATATTTTCTATATAAATTATATAAATTTCATTTCGTTCGGGGGGGCGGTAAAAATTTTTCGGGGGGGCTTCGCCCCCCCGAAGAGATGCCTGGAAGAAACTCTGCTACTGTGACTATTCATACTGGACTATAATATAGTCTATTATTACTAATTCTATAATTTATTTTTATTGATTTACTTCATATATATATACTAATACTATTAATATAATATAGATCTTTTAGTATATAATATAGTATATAGAATCTATATTATATATTAGATAGTAAAGCTCTGACTATGGCCTTTTTAAAATGTAGGTTTTTCATTTAAAATTTAAAGCTATTTATTTTAAATTATTAGATACTCCCCTCCCCCCCCCCCCCCCCCCCCCCCCCCCACTAAATAGAAAACATATTTGACTTATAGATCCGAGAGTCTAGATCTATACGTTTTATATCCTATACAAAATGCATTGGCTACTTTACCATTTCAATCTCTCCCCTTCCCCCCCACAATCCTTGGAGATAAATGTCTGAAAGAAATTCTGGATTAGATAATATGATAGAGTTATTAAATGAGTATGAGACTACCCTTATTAATGATCACATGGGACATTAAAAAATATTATGACCTGACTCACTCAGATTATAAATGATTTAATTAATTATAATATGTAGTATAACTGGACTACTGCAGACCTAGATGGCTGTATACTGTATAGTGCCCCAGAAACCTGATTACAAATAAATATATATAGGGCCTATAACACTTCTCAATCATCCCTCTCTCTAAACATTTACACTGCACATAAACAACCCAGTAAGACATACATATTGATATAGGCTTATATGTGCTAAGTATTTTAACTACGTGAATTCTCAAAGACTAAAAGCTATAACAACTAACAAAAAAGTAATCAACAATACAGGAAGACTCAACAATTAAAATGTATTATTCTCATTCTCAATTGATAACCTTTAACTAATACCATTAAGTAAATATTAATATTGTTCCTTTCAATTTTACATCTTTCATGATAAACAAGTAATAGGGGCCTACCAAGAAGAAATTTTCTGGTTCAGTAATCTGCTACAAGTAGGCCTACTTCATCACATTTCAAAGAAATGTTTGCCTCAAAGCTACTGAAGGATCACAGTAACATAGTTCAGGTCATGAACTGCTGCATACATGACATTTCTTCAGCTGTTGATTATGCAAAATTAAAACCCCACATAGCGGACTTGATTTCACCTATTGTCATTGGTAAAATTGAGGTACAGTAAACATTACATGTAATTGTATAGTCCATGCATTACATACCTGGGTGAGTGTTTCTGACTTTTGATGAGCTACATGGAGGGGAGGAATGCTAAGAAATTTTCTTCAGATTGTTCTTAGGTGAACAAAGGCTATGGAAGGAAATACAGAAAGTAAAGCAGGCTGAAGTCAACAGGTCATATGGTGCATAACATGTTGACATGTCTATATATATAATTCTCTTCTTGGAGACGATAGAAAACACCAAGCTGTAAGCGCGCTCCCTACCACCCCCACCCCTACATGGTCTGGTGAGCTGTGGTTCACGCTAAATGTTTACAATCATAGAGCCGGGTTTAGTGACGGTTATTAGGGGCAGATAATTTAGTTTGAAACAATTTTAAACTTAGGGGAGCTAACTAAGAGGAAGCTGCTTTCATGGGGGGGGGGGGGTGGTAGGGGGTTGGTGGAAAGGAGGGTGGGGGGGGGGGGATATCGTCCCTAACGTGCTACTGATAGTGTTTTAAAGCAAATATTTTCAGTGGCAGCATTGGTACTGTCAAATTTACAAATTATGAATTACTGAAAAGTAGAAAATGAAACAACTAAATAGCTGCGTATGATACGCCGCGGGTCTGCTCGTAATACTTAATTGTGTTGGAGGAACTTTCCTTCAATATTAAAATTTTGAATGACAAAGAGGAAGAATTGAAAACTAGGGGACTCTTGTAGTTATTTTTAATTATATCTAAGATTTCATCAGTTCTAATTAGTTATTAAATTTGCTTAAAAAGGTGTTGATTCTACACTTTACTGAATAGTAATTTTTTTGGGGGAAGAGAAAATAACTCTTCTGGTTTTATACTTCAAGCATTCAAAGACTACTTTCAAAGGAATGTTGTTACATTTTTTTTAGTGTGGAGAAGGAACATATGAGAAGATGACAAGAGTTTGTGATAGTGTCAAACAATTATCCTTGGAAGATTTTAAAAAGTTTGTTGATGCTGTTTCAAAAATCAATAACACTGCTGCAAACAAAATTAGGGAAAAATACTTTCAAGTAACTTCAGAGCCATTAACACATGAGGTAAATTTTAAAAGCTCTAGATTTTAGGAATCTGTCATTATTAGCCTACTTAAAATAATTTTTTTAAATAAGGGGTCGTCCATAAATGACGTCACACTCTTAGGGGGAAGGGGGGGTCCATAATTTAAGCTTAAAATTTAACAACATCAGAAGTGAAGAAATTAATCATTCCAGCATTGTAAACAATAACCAATATTTGTAGGTTATTGCCACATTGCACACATCCACCACCTTTATAAGATAAATGGCCATTATTTTAATGGCAGTATTGGAATTCTAGTAGGTTTAAGGTTATGCATCAGTATCCATTAATCACAACTAAAGAAAAGGTTTCTCGTGCAGATGAACAGTTTACATATCAGATTTGATTAAAATAATTAGCAATAAACTAAAATGTATTTTAGGATTGGGAATCATTCTATTAAAATTAAAATTTTCAGACTGACACTGTACCAGTTCCATGTTCATATGATGATCATGATCAACCACCTGTTGTATGTTCTAATTCAAATGCAGCTTCTTCAGTGGCTCCAATACCGACCTTCCCTCATATAAATCAACGTTCATTTATAGGTAAGGTAATTTTGGAAATTTATGTCAGAGGATTAGTGCATACAAATACATACTAACTCATCACAGCAATTAGGCAATCTTCAACTTTTTTCATTTTTGTGACTCAAGATAGAGGAAATAGAACAGCTGAATTGTATACAGGTCACAGTGTATCTTGAATTGGCCTTAATTCAGATTCTTTCATTACACTATTTTGACTATTTATTCTTTAAATTAAATTTTTGTAACATCGAATTAATATATAGTTAAAAATAGTATGTAAAGAATATTATTGATTAAAGACACATGACCACCAGAACTGACTTCATAAATATTATTTTGGATCTGACCAATTTTTATACCAATAATACCCACAGTGTAATTAATTCATTTTCAAAACTTGCATTGTGTTCCTTTTCTTCTTGTCTTATACTTTACACTATTTTTTCTCTGGCTTAAAGTTTGATCATTAGATCTTCAAGCATCCAAATCTTGGAAAATTAAATTACCCTTTTAGAAAGCTAAGATTAATTATATAAAGACAGTGATATACAAAAAAAAGAAACTTTGTTATCCTGATCTTAAATATAACAATATATGTAAGATTTTATTTAAATTAAAAATAATAAACAATTGTTATATTATTATCTACTTTATTTTATGTCATATTTCAGGATCACATCATGAGGTAAGAGCTTATTGCATGTAGTTAATTTCTTTCTAAAACATTTTTACTTATTAAATGTAAATAAAAGTGCAGTGAGTGACTAATTACTATAAATCTTTATTTCAAGCTTCAAAGCTTTTTAAAAAATAACTGACATTGATTTCTCTTGTTACCAAGGGTTAAAAAGCAACACATTATGTAACAAAATAATTTGGTGTTATTACAGGTGCAATAGTTTTTTGTTTTTTTTCAGGAATCAAACTATCCAATGGACACAGACCCCCGTGGATTTGCCCTTATAATTAACAATGTGAATTTTGGAAATACTAGTAATGATAGAGTGGGAAGTGATGAGGATGCCAACAGATTGCATAACATGTTTAAGTATTTGGGGTTTGAAGTTTCTACAGAAAGAAACAAAACAGCAAAGGTAGGTTTTTGTTTTAAAAGAAGAAAATTAATTGAAAATGCACCATTGCTACCCCCTAACCAGTCATAACATCATGTCAGTTACTCCCTCCCCTTTAAGACGCACAAGTAACACATTAACCTACTGTCAATTATCCCCACCCCTCCTATGTTAATACCACTACCCATCACTTCTAGTGCACTAGGTACATATTGTACTTTGGGGAGATGCCACATGTGAAGGAGTGGATTTTATTGGCTAATGAGGTGAAACACCCTAATGTGAAGATTGGGTTTGATGCCCTGTCAATTTTTTCTTTGAAGTACTTGTCATTGCCTGGCATGACCATCATTTCTATAGAGCAGTTCTCTATAAAGAAATCTACGCTAATACATTATGAAATTATATAGCAAACAGACGTTTTTATAAATAAAAACCACACTCTTATGTTTGACTAAAATTTTATTTCAATCACTATAGTGTTTAAGTATACTGTTCATTTCTAATGTACTATATAATTGTTAATATTTTGTATAAACTTTTAATACTTCTAATTAGAAATTACTGATAAACTAATCCAAGTATCTTGATCACTGTGTGATAAATAATGATTTTGTTAAACTCAAACAATCACTCGCTTAATCATGCCAAACTACACTATCGGTTTCATTTTTAACAAGTAAAATGAACATTAGAATGGACACTGTAAGAGTCCTCATTCTTTGTCTTTTTTAATGGGTATAATCAGGTCATGTATGTATAGTTACGCCATTAGGGTTTCTACCTGGTTTTTCTTCCTCCACTAGTGCATTACACCACCTGGTTTGGACATAGAAGCAGAGCTCAGGTACAAAGCATGTGACTTGGGTTAGTAACTGCACATTCTCCCAAACACCAACCTGTCTCTTTTTCCTTTTTGTTTACGTTAGGAAATGCTGCAAGTGTTAAAAGCTTTTGCACAATATAGACACCTTCATTCTGGAAGTGCTCTTGCTGTTGCAATACTGACACATGGGCACGAAAATGAGAGGCTTTGTGGTGTAGATGGGCAATGCATTTCAAGAATTGATATTCAACAAATATTCAAAATTGGTAATTGTAAACAGATGAAGGGTAAACCCAAGCTCTTCATAATTCAAGCTTGCAGGGGAGGTAAGTTAAGATATTAAACTATGTTTTAGAACATTTTCATTTTATATTGTGTGCAGACTTTGTGAACTAATTTATTGCAGATTATCATTGGGGTTTTTTTTACAAATGAAAATACTATAGGTGCATTTTGAAATTTAAAATATTATACTTGTAGTGTAGAATAGATATATTAACTCTTACATAAGCTTAATGAGTATTTTTAATAATCTTTTTTTGGGTTAGATTCTGAAGATATATTAACAGATAGTGCTCAACAACTTAGCCATGACAGTCCTAGCTTCTATGCCGATTCCAACAAAATTGGAACAGGAGCTGCTGAAAGGGATCTGGATCGTACAGCAGAAACAGCTGACATGTGCTTTGTTTATTCTTCTTCCTTAGGTGTGTCTTAAATGCATTTTATTTATTGGAGTGAAATGTGAACTTCTAATATTTTTCTCAGAATAATATCTTTGTCAAGACTTTCCAATTCTAAAACATTTCTAACTAGTAAAATGAACATCAAATGAACACTTTAAGTGTTAAGTAACATGACCATAATCGGCAGTGCAAAGCTACTTAAACTCTGGTAGAAGAAATGCATTCAAAAAAATTTAATAAATTTTTGAAATAAAGAAATGTAAACACATGTAAAATGTGAAAATTTTTAAATGAATAATTTTTAGCTTCATGCGCACACCATATTTTCATTTATTTATTAACTTGATTTTGTTTTTAGTTTTCAACTTAACCTGTCTTCATTATGAGCCTAAATTAAATTCACATGCACAATCTTCTATCTTAACATTTAAATGTGGTATTTTTTCACTTTGAAGCTCATGATAGTTAATTAAATAAACATGATAATAAATTAAATAATATTTTCTGATTAAAATATAACTACGCCCACTTTTAATATTAGCTTTAGAGACTAATTATAGACTAATTCAATTGAACTTTAAATGTCTGCTATGTAAAAACAGGTTACAAAGCATACAGAAGACAAATGGGAAGTCCTTTTATTGAGACTTTGACAAATTGTATTGTGCAGCGTGCTCATAATACTGAATTTTCCGAAATTATGAGAGAGGTATTTAATTTTGCGTTATCAATCCTTTATAATGTTTGTCTAAATGGTACCACTAAATCAAGGGCAGTCGAATTGGATGAAATATTCATACAATTTTTATAATTCTATTTTCCATGAAATGTTATCTTTGGGGAGATAACTTTGACAACTGAAAATCTAACAAAACAAACTTTGGTGAGTAAAGAAGAGTAACAGGGGCAAAAGGGGACAACCAAAAAAATACTGAACACAGAACAAGATAAGACATGGGAAAAGGGAAAATAAACAAAGGACTTTTTGTAATCTTATTTCTATCCAATAATGTTTTAAGTTTGCAGCCTTAAACACAGAGAGTGTTATGGATATTGATGAGAAATTGCTAAACGATTTCAGTTTAATATTCAACCACAGTGCTGATAATATAAAAATTGGGTTATTTCAAAGCAAAGGGTAATATTATAACACACAAACTGAAGCAGTGTTTTTTATTTTAGGTTCAGAGAAGACTGAGCAACATGCGTCTTGGAGCAGATGAGAGTGTCATGACACTACCAGATTTGACAACACAGTTGCTTAAAAAATTATATTTTAACCCTCCTTTGTCCAGTAGAGATGCAGCAAATTATTAAATCTAGCTGTATACTTTGATAAGTTTAAACAATCCTTGATAGTTGAGTATAAGATAGTTTACCACAGATTAAGTATATTCAGCATTTGTTTAGTGGTATCATATTTTGAACACAAATATTTTGTAAACAGTCTGATTTATCTGGAGCTATTTCATAGTAGAATATGTATGAATCCAGCAATTACAGATAGAACATAGTCTAAACTATTCAACATCATCTCCTATTAATAATATATCTAACAGAATACTTTTATTATCATAGGCTAACAGAATTCCAGTTTTCATGGTTGGTTTTTTGTAATTAAATATTTTACTGAAAGGTAAAGCTAATAAATAATAAACTAATCACTTATGATAATAATAGACCTGAAATGTTCTGGAACCTTGTTTGATTTGTGTTGAATAGAGCGTAACAAAACTCTTGGTCCAGAAAGCACAAAAATGGTGTGATCTTTTAATTCATAGATACCTGTCTTAAATGTAGATATTCTATATTAAAATTTGTAGATATTCTAATATTTATAGATATTCTATTTTCATATATATCATTATTTTTCTAACGTGATGGTGTGGTTAAGTGGAAGACGTGACCAATAAGTTTTAAGTTTGGTTAATGGGTTTGAGTCAACAGGACATTCTTGAGTCCACCCTCCTGTTCAAATGGGTACCTATTAAATATATTTTAATATAACAGTGTTTTACAATCCCAAATGTTGATAATTTGAAAAACAAATTTTTAGAGGGTTTTTTTTTTACCGAAACTAGCCATCTGACTCTAATAGAGTTAGTAAAAGAAGAATCAATCTTTATATGATAAATATACATGTTAATTTTTTTTAACCTTAAGACCTCCACAAGAAATTGTTTTTTTTTAAGATGGCTACCATTTCCATAGCAACTATATTTGCAAAAGAGTCCTTGCATGCAAATATTTGCCCTTAAGTATCCTAACTTAGGACACATCAATAAACAAAAAAGGCTTATTAATTCAGAAGCTTTTTTTTTTGGTAGCTTAACCCCCTAAGTCAGTGATTTTTAAATGGTGGATGAGTATACATATGAATAACTATTCTTTCATGATATTCTGAAGTCAGAGAAACAAGACAAACTATACTTCATATGTTCAAAGACTGCCTATTCTGAAAGTATGCTTTATTTTATTTGGACATTTTCTTTTAGCAAGCATTATTATATTACTTTTATGTATAACTAATGTTTAAAATGCCCTAAAAATGTTACAATAATTCTTTTAAATTGATTTTTAACAAAATGCTTTGTAATCCAATGGTGGAGAGTGTTCAAGGGTTCAGTGGCGTAGCGAGGTAGGGTGCGGCACATAATGGTGTCACCCCCCAGAGGCATAGCGACCATTCCTGGGGACAAACTTTCAAATTTTCAATTTGCACCCCCCCCCCTCAAACTTTCGATTTGCACCCCCCCCCCCTCAAGTTTTTCTCTATGTATTTTGCTATTTTTTGCCTTGGTGTCACCCCTCTAAATGGTGTCACCCGGTGCGGTCCGCACCCCCGCCCGCCCCCCTTGCTACGCCTCTGCAAGGGTTGAATAGTCTAAGACCTAAGACATAGTAGTAGGTTGGATTATATATATATATATTTTATTATTGTTAAACCGGTCCTAGCCAACTGATGTCTTTGAGATTAGATGCATTGGTTGTTTATTGATGTAAATTTTATATTCATTAAAATTATACTGTTACAATGTTCACTATTTTTTGTATGTGTACAAAAACCTTATGTTGTGTTATGTGTTATATGTCTTGTTTAATTTATTAAATTTATTCAAGCCTGCAACAGCTGTCAAAATATTAAAGTTTTCATAGTGCTAAATATTTATTTTGCCTTGGACATTTAATTTACAACATACGTTTGCTTTACCATATTTGCTTTGCTATACAGTTGTCATCATTGTCTTGTGGCGACTGATACACATTTATAATAGTAATACTTCTTTTTGATTTGTACTTTCAGTAATTGATAGTGGTTTAATTTTATACATAATACAAAACAAGTAATTTCAATTTCTTAACATAAATGACGTCACGCTTTTTTTACGATTTTTACCTCCTCCCCTCCATCACACATCGTCACAACAAGCCAGACCTCCCCCCCCCCCTAAAATGACATCACACCTCAGCCTACAACCCACCCCTCCCCCTTAAAAAATTGCAGTTGAATTTTTTTTTTAAAACATCGATATTTTTCCAAATTCTTGTCTGAACTCTGTCAAAATAGAGTATTTTAATCAATTTCTGTTACAATTTATTAAAACAGTTTTCTAAAACTGCGAAATAACGTCTAAAATTCGTTTTCTAACATTGCTTTTTTATAATGCAAAAGTGTGACATCGCACCATCTGAACCCCTCCCCACACACCGTCACAAAGTTACGGACCCCTCCCCCTACGAGTGTGACGTCATTTATGGACGACCCCCATAGACCTAAGTCAAGTTTCATGTCATTGAATTGACCCACGTGTAGTGGCGTAGCGAGGTCGGGTGTCACCCGGTGCGGCACTTAATGGTGTCACCCCCCCCCCCCCCAGAGGCGTAGCGACCCTTCCCGGGGACAAACTTTCAAGTTTTCGATTTCCACCCCCCCCCCCTCAAACTTTCGATGTGCACCCCCCCCCCCCCCCCCTCAAGTTTTCGATTTGCACCCCCCTGCCTCAAACTTTCGATTTGCACCCCCCCCCCCTCAAGTTTTTCTCTATATATTTTGCTATTTTTTGCCTTGGTGTCACCCCCCTAAATGGTATCACCCGGTGCGATCCGCACCCCCCGCCCCCCCCCCCTCGCTACGCCCCTGCCCACGTGCAACTGGTCGATATTTCGCTCGCCAGTTGTTTCGATCCATGACGGACGAAGCACTAAACACGACAGACATACGCATTAAGCACGAGGAAGCAAGTTAAATAAAAGCTTGTAAAAAAATATTTAAACACATGAGGTAGTTCTGGGTCTAATTATAAATTTTCCATTTTAAACTACACTTTGGATTAATCAGAACTATAACTATGTAAGTAAGACAAGGGAACTAACCATGTATAAGTGCGCTGTACAGGGTAAATCGGGTAATCCCACTCTTACTTGTCCAGATCACTTCTAATGGCAACAATTGTTATACAACTTGTTTAGCGTAGGGGCTTACTCAGTGTTGCTTTTTTTTTAATCAATCAGCAGTAATTAACTTATTCTAATCACATTTCGCTCTCTTAAAAAGTGATACAAATTGGAAGACCGTGTTTGGCATAGTGTTTAATTACTTGATTATAAACTATCTTAAAAGTAACGTTTAAAAAACATATATCACTATGTAGCTCTAGATATTGACTAGCTACGTCCAAGTAAGGTTACTCTAATGGCTGCACGGCGGCGCACCGCCTTAGAGGATCACCAGGACATAACTGATGTCATGAACTCATGTACTCACTCCATCGCTACTGATGTGGATTTTCGTTACTTAAGACCACACTTAGTCCCAATATTTTCTAGAAACGTGCTTAGTATGGCAGAGGTAAACTTAATTTTCAATTACTTTAGTTATAGCCTAATCAGTGGCGTAGCGAGGTCAGGTGTCACCCGGTGCGGCACTTAATGGTGTCACCCCCCCCCCCCCCGAGGCGTAACGACCCTTCCCGGGGTCAAACTTTCGATTTTCGATTTGCAACCCCCCCCCCCCCTTCAAACTTTCGAGGGTGGGTGAAATATTACATCACTGGAAGAAAATTGTGTGTGTGGGGGGGGGGGGGGGGTTCAGGGCAAAAGTTGTTATGTTAACTCTGAATAATTCCCAACGTCAATTTTTAATCTACTGTGAAAGGGGGGGGGCAGAGACATAGCGACCCCTCCCGGCGCCCCGGGGACAAACTTTCAATTTGGCGCCCCCCCCCCTATATTTTTTTATTTATAATTTAAAACTGCAGCTAAAATGATACTTCTAATTTTTTTTCAACCTATTTTGGCGCCCCTTGTGTCGACATCCGGGGACATATGTACCCCCAGAGGCGTAGCGAGGGGGGGGGGGGCGGGGGTGCGGACCGCACCGGGTGACACCATTTAGGGGGGGGGGTGACACCAAGGCAAAAAATAGCAAAATATATAGAGAAAAATTTGAGGGGGGTGCAAATCGAAAATTTGAAGTTTGTCCCAGGGAAGGGTCGCAACGCCTCTGGGGGGGGGGGGGGTGTGACACCATTAAGTGCCGCACTGGGTGACACCCGACCTCGCTACGCCACTGTGTACCCCCCCCCCTTCCGTCGCTACGTCTACGGGGGGGGGGGGGGCGATGCTGTGGTATCGGGGACATTTACGCTATTCGTTGAAAATAATGTTAGTGTTGTGTTATGTCACGTACTGAAATAGTTTCAATAAACGAAGTACTACTTCGGAAGTAGCCTATATAGGCATAATATAAGTTGCTTTAAAATATGTAATTTGTATTGAGTCGTGGTCAGATGTTAGAGCGTACGATCGACAGCCATGCTAACCAAACAGTTTCAAGCTCGGATCCCTGAGCCCACCCAGCTCTGATGGGTACCTGTCTCACGTTAAGGAAAGTAAGGCGGCTGGGCTCAGTACTGACCACATTATTCCTTCATCAGAGGCGTAGCGACCCTTCCCGGCGCCCGGGGACAAACTTTCGATTTGCACCCCCCCCCCCCTCAAACTTTCGAATTGCACCCCCCCCCCATTTTCCAACCCATTTTGGCGCCCGAAGGTCGGCGCCCGGGGACATATGTCCCCCCTGCCCCTCCCCCATCTCTACGCCTCTGCCCTTCATATCCATATACACTAATGAGGGTCATGCTGTTTTAGACGTGGATATCTAAATTATTTTCAGGGTTCTGGCAGGTCATCTTTTGAAATTATGACTCGAATATGTGATGATGCTAAAAAACTGTCCATGGAAGACTTTATAAAATTTGTAATTGCATTAAAAGATGAGTACAAAGATGTGGCTGACGTTGTATGCCAGAAGTACCGAGAAAAAACTGGGCAAAATTTAATTCCAGATTGACGAAGAAGAAGGTTAGTTTATTTTAATACATTAATTTTACTCTCACAAAAATAGAATTATTTTAATTATACCTCTTCTATATTAAATCATAAATACTCTTTTCTAATTCATATAACAAAAACAAGTGGGAGTCATTTTGGGGACTTGAACGGATTAATGCCATAGAAATTAATTTCAATTGGAAAAATTGCTTTGAAATTTAGAGAATTTTGAAGTAGCTCAATCAGCAATGTTACAGACTGAATTAAATTCGTATCTCGAGGTAATAAAAAAATTATATCATTTTTTTTATATCTTTTGATATAATATTTATTTTTATTTTGCAGATATAGATATTCAAGGCTACGCGTAAAACAGACATATTCTGATACATTTTTGTACACTTAAAATATGTCTAGCTGCATAATTATTTGGCTTAAATTATTATAGTTTCACATTAGCAAATTTATCTTTTTATATTATTCTGTATATTTTTTAAAGCACATTTTTTTACACGTTACAATACTAAATGTTAGACCTACTATAATAATTATATTAAATAACATTGTAAACTATATTTTCCATGAATCTGAAATAAATGTTGCATATTATTATGTAAAAGACTTTGTTTCAAATTAATTTTAGCCTGAAAATACTAAAGCTCACCATTTAATTTTTACAAGCTTTCAAATTTAACTTGCTTCCTCTGCCAGTCTGTCTACAGTCTGTATGTCTATCAGTTGTCATAGATCGAAACGGGCAAGCGAAATTTCTGGCACTTCTAACTGATATATTAGTTTCAAATTTGGCATGCGGTTCGAGACTCGAAGACAATGCAATCTGACATTAAATTTGAATTAATTTATTGACTAATACATTTTTTATGAATTAATTAAACTTTCTGAAATAATTAGTAGGCAATCTTGTACTGCTTTTTCCGTTGTCATGTTCATTTGGTGTTTAATAGTTTTTAGTCATGCAACTCTATTAAAAATTTTAAAGTACTGAAAAAATGCATAAAAACGTTTTAAATAATAAGTTTTTATTTAATAGTGCATTAAAAAGGAGAAAATAAATGATTTTCTTTAACTATATTATAATACACTAATTTTTAAATAACCAGTAAAGGTATTTGATAGATAATACAGTGACCAAACAATTAAACTGTAAAAGCATTATATTATGTTTTTAATAATAATCCAACTTGATTTTCACAATAAGTAAAAGTTCAAAAGATAATTACATAGCAGCCTCAAATTTTGTTGCATATTTATTTAATTACCTGGTAGAAAATTAATTATATAAGAAATGAAGGCACATTGTTGTGTTTTGCGACTTTTTTGCCGTAGTGCTTGCGTTTGTCGGCCTAGGTCGTCCACATTAAGTATTGTTGACGTTTTGCTTCAACGACAGCCTTTGTACCATGTCGGCTTAAACTTATTGGCTTGATCCTATGCTTTATGATAACATGTGGGCAATAAATATGGGCAGTAAGGGTGGCAGAACTATTGTTGCGACGAATTGAGGACAATAAATTATTATCATATTAATTACGTTCTTCCCATTTCAAGCTGATTCAAAGTTTGAATTTTAAAAACACGATGAAAACCGAGTATATTAGAACATTCTACTTAATTCTATTCTATTACCTAAATATTCCAGACGGACTAAATATTTTTAAGTGTGTTACCCTACAAATACAACCTACGTACATAAATATGTTGGTTGATTTGCAATTTCTGAAAACACACGAATTTTAACTAATTCCGTGCAAATAGACATTTGCGACTATTTTTCCGACAATAAAGATTAAAAATATTAAAAACGAAAGAGTTGTCTGCTAGTAGCTAGAACATCCGGTTCTCTATAGTTTGTATTTGTAAACTAAACTCTGACTTTAGATTATAGATCTATTGGTATTGATTACACTACACTATTAATTAATACTATTAGTATTATATCTAGATCTACATTTAGATCTAGATCTAGTATTGGATGATATTTTATTATTTAGAATCGGCCGAACCGAGTAGTGTTTAAGTGTAAAGTACTGTAATAAAGTGTCAGGTATCTCTCCCCCCTCCCCCCGAAACGAAATTACAATTTACTAGCTGCATCCCGTGCTCCGCCACGGTAAATCTTTTTTAAATGTACCAACTTGGGAACAGAACAAAACTAAACACAACATAAACGAACGCAAAAAAAAAAAAAACAAAAAAAAAACGAAAAAACAAACACAACACTCATAACATAAACAATTTAAATGCAATCATAAAGGCATATTGCTCACAGTCTAGCCCGTAGCGCCAAATCGCGCCCTTTCCAGTGATTCGCACCCCCCTCAAACTTTCGATTTGCACCCCTTTCCCCCCCCCCCCCCCCGCCCTAAAACTTTCGATTTCCACCCCCCCCCCTCGCAAATTTTTTCCAACCCATTTTGGCGCCCCCTAAGGTCGGCACCCGGGGACATATGCCCCCCCCCCCCCCATCGCAACGCCTCTCCTATAAAACCCCTAGCTTGTCCGCAAACCGACAGAATAATAATTAGAAAACAGTATAAATAATAGGCAGTATTTAAAATATCCGTGTTTTACCTACAATATTTCACTTTATCCATTCACGCATTTTTTTTTCCAGTACTTTAAATTTAAAAAATTTACAATTGAGTTTCATAACTAAAACCATTGCGCACCTAATGAACGTGATGACGCGCCTATAATAGTGCTGAATAGTTGATTAAAAATTATAAGTAATAAAAACAGTAGGGCCTACATTCAGTGAATAAAATAAATAGAAGATTGCCTTTTATCAATCCATGCTAATTATAATTTTCTAACAATAATTTCCTCTTACACATCCGAATAATTTGCATTCACATTTTGCTGATTATATTATTGCAACACTAATTCCTTCTATGACGACCGTATATTTGCATTCACATTTTTTATTAGCGTGAGTTTAATGTATTTTTAAATTACCTCTTTTGTCAAAATTAGAAAAAAAGAGTTATATTAATTTGATTTTTCTACCGTACTGTTATTATGTTATTGAAATGTATCCATTTTTTTCTGGGAATATTAACGAAAACTATATTTGACATTGATACTTTTAATATGTTTTAGCCGTGTGTGTATATTTAATATTTTCTTTAAGTTATGCAAAATTGTACAAACAGTGGAAATTATAAAATAGCTCTATGCCGCTATATAAACAAACCCTACTCTAATACTTTTAATAAGACACTGCGGTGCACTGAAAAGCACAGCATGGTGCGAATGTTTACTTTTATGGTTTCAAAATCTATAGCGATGACGGAAGGAAGGACTGACACACTACCAGCAGCGTTATATTATAGATATTGAAAATATATATAAATAATATAGTTTTACTACTGTCAGCCCCCCCCCCCCCCCTCCCCTGAGAATTGAGAATTTAAATTTAGTCTGCATGAGTGAGGTTTAGTGGTGAAATATAGTCGATAATACTACTAGGTTTCCATTATGGATTTTTAAAAATAAAATATTCTGTTATTTCAAATAGTAAATATACGGCTACGCTATTAAAACTAATAGAAGTAGGGTCTACCTTTAGTCTGTATGATATACAAATGCGACCAGTGTTTCTCTAAGACATTTTTCACAGACCAGTTTCCTACTTTTGGCCGATAAACCTCACTCACGCAGACAGTGTTTCAGACCTTTTTCCGGGGGGGGGGGGGGGCACTTAAATTTTTGCAGGGGCGAATACAATTCTCCGGGGCGGGGGAGGCCGACACTGGTAATAAAAGTACTATATGTTCCATGTGATGTCATGTTTCGTTTTTGTATTACTGTGCATGTTTTAACTTTGCTTGTGTTTTCTCTATAGTAAAAGCGTTCCCAACAGACAGCAAAAGCGTTCCCAACAGATAGATAGACAGACAGCGAAACTATTATTATAGATGTATCTAATACCTATTTTTTTAAAAACCTTTTTAATAAATTGTTTTTGTATGTGCAAAAGACTCATTTAAATTAATTTTTAAAAGATAATTTTTTTCTATTTTGTATTAAAATCATTTTAGGATAAAGGTATTAGAAAGATTTTGAAGGGGAATTAGAAATTTTATTATCTTTTATCAACTTGCTTGAAAAATGTAGTGTTAAGTATTTCAGTCTAGTAATAAAATAAATTTCCACTTTTTTTTTCAGTATCAGCAAGTATGTCTGACAAGTAAATCTGACTGGTAAATACAGAATATGGAGCATTCAAAATTTCCATTTCTGCAGGATCATAGCACAGTTTTAGCATACAACCAATGTGTTTTAAAACTGAAACTCTCATACCATAACCTAAACCATGTCAGAAAGGAGATTTTAACAAAAGCACTTACAAAGAACTCAGCTCACACACAGATTGAAGATGCCATTCGAGCAATTATTTATAATTTAGAAAGAGAATTTGATCTGGTAACAATTCAAACTGAAAATTTTGTTATCCACCCTGAAGAGTGCTCATGGCCACTGGTCTCTAGTCAAAAGTTAAGTCACCTTGTCATCAAAGGTGAAAATTACAGATTTCACCCTAATCTAATTTTACTGAATATCTATTCCAAAGATCCAATTGTTGTAAGCAAACAAATTTCTAAAGAAAAGAATGACATCCTGAATAAAATATTGATTAAAGATAATCGGACTAATAAAAATATAGCCCTTTTACCAGAGCTCTCCAACACATCCCATAACAAACCACAATCTTCTGATGTGACCAATGATCTAAATTGTGGCAATAAGGTTAACACTCTTATTCTGGCCACACCAAGACTTGCAACAAATGATGTTGGAAGTCAGAGCCCAAGAAAGCACAATAAAATTGTTGAACTTCTTCACAAGCACGACTCTTCTGCTGTGCAGAAATCACAAAGTACTGACAATGGTATGAATATTGCAAGCTCGTCAAAGAAATTAAGGGGCACAAATTACAAAAGCAAGTTACATCTATCTAGCACAAAAAATAAACAAAGGGTTTCTTCCCCAAAGAAAATTTGTCCTGAGAGCTTAAGTACAGAGCAATCAGTTGATTTTGAAACAGATGAAACAACAAGTTCTAAAGGCAGCAGTATGAAAAGCATTCCATTAAAAAGAAAATCAAAAGAAGAAAATGGTAAAGGTATAAAGACCAAATTAGATCATTCTCCAGTCAAAAAAAGAAAAGTTACCAAACCAGATTATTCAGTTCCTGTTGACACAAATGATATTAATTACAATATTAGCCAGGAAAACGATGATAACATTATTATATGCCCAGAGAAAAGATATGATATATCTGAGGCCAATGTTACAAATGTGAAACCTCTATTAAGGTCAGTAGCCAATAAAAACCTTAAAACTTCCAGTTATGATATATCAGAATTGAATGATAAACAGCAGAATAATGAAGACAAGTTTATAAGAGATGTAAACAAAGAAAAGAAAAATCATTATAATTTAAGTGAACCTATTTTTCAAAGCAGCAGTAAAAAGATGTCTAAAAACTGTGTTATTGAAATTTCAAAAGATGGCAGCATTATAGAAGAAGCTGAAAGTACAGAGAGATGCAAAGGTTTTTCTAATGAAACTCAGCTGAATGGAGGCTCAGATGTTAAGAGAAATGACGGTGAATACGAAGACAAGAAAAGTACAACTTTATCTGGTGCTGCCACAAATAGCAGGAATAGAAAGAAAAAGTTAGACAAAGAAACAAATCATGCACATTCTAATAATGTCCTTAACAGTGAGACTCAAGCCAAAGAAACAAGGAAGACGGTTCACAATTCCGCTATAGAAACAAGATCTAAAAAAACTCTTCCCTCAAAAATAACCAATGCCAGAAAAATTAACAAAACAAACATCGTACAAGGCAGCTTGAGTGATATTAGCAGTAGCAGCATGTCATCTGATACAGAAACAAAAAAACATGGAATAAAATCCAATGTTTTCAAGCAAGCTGAGTCATCAAACAGGCCTCATACTAGAAGCACATCTAGAGAGTCTAGCAGACAGACTAGAAGCAGCTCCTCCTTATCTACTAGAAGTGGCCAGAGACACACAGGAGTGTCATCAAAACAGTCTGCACCAAAAGCTGAAAATCACTACCCTAAAGTTAGTGTTTGGCTTTCTAAGGTAAAATAATTTTTTTATCTGACATAAATGATTGAGTACAGATAGTAAGAAAACAATGTGGCACTTCTCATTTAGGCACACTAACCATATGAAGTGGAGTTGCGAGTAGAAAGCAATCAATCACTTTGTCAGCCAAGTTGTATTCCAGCTTGAACCCTGAAACTTAGATTTAGCTCATATTTTATTTTGATTAGCTACCAAGTGATTACTGTCAACCTATTTAATATACATATTCTTTTTTCTAGTTTGTGGCCTTCTAGGGTTTTATACTAATCACCACGTAAAAATAGTGCTAACCACATTTCAAGTTAAGAACAAGTCTTGTTTATAGTTAATAGAGAATAAACAAGACCTTAGTGATAAACTGATCACTAGCAAGGCATGTTCAGTGAACTCTTGGGACTAATTTTTACTTATGGTGTTAAATTAACACTAATATTAGAAATAATAGAAATACTAATGTTCACTTATATTTACTTCTACATTATTTTTTAACAACCTGTTAAGATATTTTTTACGGAGTTTTCTCAGTGATTTTAATATAACATTGCATTTTGAATTGTGTATATTAATTGACTGAGTGTTCATTTTTTTCTCTAAATCTCAACCATCCTATCTCGTTAATAGATAATTACTTTTACATATAGATCTAATCTAGATATTTACTTTAAAAAAACCTATTAGACTACTTTTCAGAAAAACATTACAGATAGTGACCCCAATCAAAGGTAAATATTTGGTATACCTCTATAACATGAAGGTTTGGCTATTTTGATTCCTATAAAACAAGAGATCTGCTTAATGTTCACCTTTAAAATGACATATTTTTATTTAGCAGATTTATTCCAAATAAATGATCTCCAACTATTTTTCCTAAAAAATAATTGTTTTCATTTACTCAGGTGCTAACAAGTGGAGTAATCTTGAAACTTAAACACATTTTTTGTCAACAACTAGTTCAATTCAGTTATAAATATATTACTGTCATATAAAATATTTTTTTGTTTGTTTTCCTATTTATATCTTTTCATATTGTAATTGTTTTGCATTTCTTTTGTTTTTAAAACACATTTTTGTTTGTGATTTTCTAATTTTTTTTGTTCTCATTTTTACTAACACTTTTTTTTCATGATTTTAACAGCTGATGTTGAAAAAGGCAACTGACTGCTATAGTTAATTGTAATGTTCACTAATGATTATTAAAATTTTATTTTCTTATTTAGTGTACAAAGAAATAAGCTACCAAAATGGCTCATTATATCTAATGTATTTTTTTTTCAAATCTGTAGAAGGCAAACATCCCCAACTAGCTTGTGGAGATCAGGTGGTGCTACACATGAGATACCCAAGCAAGCAAAGAACACTTCTTTTTTCAGCGGAATTTTGGCTCCATATTTCACTGGAATTTTGGCGCCATTTTTACAGAGAGGGCCAAGGAAAATAAAATAACGGAGTTGCTAGATTCTTTTTAGAATTTTAAAATGCATTAGTGATAAGATTTCAGGGCAGCTTTATTCATGCTATCTTTTCATATAAGGGTAGTTCATATTTGTGCCATTAAAAAATTATTTTTATCTGCCATGTGCCATTTCTTGGCATTTTTTTGTGAATACCCAATGTGTTTAAAGAATCTTTAGAAAAATGTTGTTACTGTTCAGATATGGTGTGATGTATTATGGGATGGAGTGGTCAGATGGTAACCTGAAAGTATTGAGCTCAGTTCCCAGACTTGAGGCTCTAACTTGAGTTAGAGAAAGCAAAGTTAGGTGGATAGAGAACTTACCATACTACTCCTTATTATTATACAGAAGTGACAGAAACAGGTCTCTTCCTTATTGACCATCTAGGTCTAATAAGTTAACTTGACTTATGTTTTGAATTCCCTATTTTACAAGAGTAGTATTTTTTTCTTCTAAAATTAATAATAATAGTTTTTCATTAATTTTGCATACTTTTTATTAATGCAAATTTAATTGAGCATCAAAACTGTGAGCTTTGTTGCTCCAGTGGTTTGATGTACGGTAATTTTATAACATCAAACATTTCTAATTTTTTCCATTTTGTCTCAAATTAGTTAATCAAACAATATGTTGGTTTGCAATTCAAAGTTGATTATTAATTTTACCCAGTGTATATTGAACTTTTAAACTTATAGAATTTTGAAAAATGAAATAGCAAGTTGTTGTATGTTCCATAATTGCAGTTTTTATCAACTATTAATTGAATTTGAGCAGAAATCTGTTCTGAGTACCAAACAAAATTAAAGCGTGTACAAAATTGCACATCTCATAATCGTTTTCATTGTTTAAAATGTTTTATTTTTATTTGTATGGTAGCAGCTGTTCTATTGAATTTTTTTATGTTTATAAACTTGAAAAACCAATTTGACAGCATTTAAAGAAAAACTAGAGATAATACTAAAACTGTGGTGTCAGCAATGACATTTATTAAACATGTTACAAGAATCACTTGCTGGACTAATTTAATCTTTATCTTCATGTAGATATATCAGATCTGTTCAGTTGGCACCATCCTGCTTTACTATACATTTGAAAACTGCTTTTAATCATTTAGATATAACCTTTTAGTTGTACCCCTTTTTGTGGAACATCAAAAATAATGTTTACTTTCACAAAGATGGATGATTTTGAATTTTGAGCTTAATCAACTGAAAAGTCTTCATTAAAATTCCAACGACTAGAAAAAATGCATATGGTATTTTAAAACATTTAATTGTATTAATGTGGCGAGTCAACAATGGTACATATCCAATGACATGAGAGAAATGTCAATAAATAAAAATTGTTTCATGAGATAAAAAAAGAAAACCCATTAAACCAGATAAATACTTTAGTTCAACTTCATTGTAAACCAGTTACCAGAACTAAATTATGTAAGAGTAGTAGAGTCATTTAGAATTTAAAACCATGTTCAACTTTAAGAATACATCAACAATAGTTGAACAGAAACATTTTTAAACAGTAAGTTCAATGAGAGGGACAATTTTACCTTAAAAACTTCAAGCAAATTGGTGGAAGTCTGTAAGTGTTTAGCTAATCTTAAACTGCTGTAATTGTCTTTAAATTTTAAAATCAAATTGTAACTTTGTTGGGGATAGGTAAAAAGTTGTTATTAATATTATTTACATTTTTAAAAATAATGTTTTTAAACTCCACTATTAATGATTTAATGTTTTAGTTCTGATGGCTTACTTAAAGGTTGCAGTTTTTTTAAACAAAGCAATGGTTAAGTAGCATATATATTAAAAAAAAATCAAGTAATTTTAAATTGATAGCAGTCTTCTAAACAATTTGTTTTTACTTTCCTATCTACTACAAAAAAGCCAAATCATAAAATGTAACAAAAGACAACAATAAGTAAATAATAAAATCATGCAATTTCCCTCCTGGCAATAAGAATGTTCTTTATTGAATGAATAAAAAATTTCACTTCTTTTTCTTTGATTCTTTTTTGCTTTTAAGTGTCACTTCTGAACTACTTTCATCATCGTGTTCCTCGCTATTTTCATCAACAATGTTTTCGTCATCTTCATCAATGTCATCATCATCCCTGTCTTGGTTGTCGTCATCATCATATTGTTCTTGGTTATCATCATCTTCTTGTTCTTGATTATCATTCTCATTATCTGGATCCTCTGTTTGATTATCCTCATTAACATTATTTTCACCATTATCAACTAGATCTTCTTTTTTGACCAATTCAAACTCATCTGAATCTTCCTTATCACTTGATTTTTCTTTACTTTGGCCTAGAAACAAGCACAGTGAATTAATTAATATGTCATAAATAGTAATTTACAAAATCAAATTCAGACAAAAAATAAAATACTTATAAGGATTTGATATGTATTTTTAACTACTAAAACTATTGTGAAAATTAAAAGACAGAAAAGAATTGCAAAAAACACCAACTAAATCTAAATTTATTCTTAAATTCAAACTTTTATAAAGCAGAATACATTTGAAAATATGTACAATCCGCCAGCCATAATACTGACAAATTAAAACCAAACCAAGCTGTTTTACGCCAGTTATAATGAAAAATATATTAAAAGAGTACCATCATAAAATCAATTCCTCTGAAGGTATTTCTTGATTTAAAAAAAGAAAGATCATTTAATTTTTTTTTCTTCAAATTCTTAAAATAACTTACTTCACTGACTCATTTCAAATGATAAGAATTCTACAAAATATACTAAAATGAATAAAAGGTGTACATTTTACTACGCAATTTACTGAATTAAGCTACATCAAAATTGTATCACAAACTGATGAGAAGCTTATCAACCTTACCACTTTTGTCAATCTTTTTTGCTTTCTTTTTCCCATCTTCTGCTTTTGATTCTCTGGTGACAACATCATGTTTATAAAGAGGTTTGAAAGAATCAAAGAACCCTACATCTTCCGTCAAGTTAGGCAGGAACCAGAAGTGATGCTTTCCAAATGTAAGTGCCCATATACAGCAGAATAAGATGAGACGAACTGAGGAAATAAATCATTTTCATGTTAGCTGTCTTAAAATATACTGATTAAATTAATCCTAAAATTTTAATGCAAAAAATCTTAACACAAAATCTATTTTTACTTTTTATTCATTAATACCAAAGAGCTTCATACACATGACAACCTAATTTACATTTTTTTCCAAATGCTATTATATTTTAATCTTACGAGTCAGGCAATTTTTTAAATTAGGCAAAAAACTACACCCAGACTTGTATTTTAATAAAGTGATATCAATAAAACAGGGTACCGGTAAATAAAAAACATAAGATTCTTCAACTTTAGAATGAAGAATGTGCATACAAGTAACAGCAATAAACCATTTAAGATCTACTTTTTAAACAAAGTATGCTAAACGTAAAACTTACCAACAACAAGAAACAAAATAAATCCAACAAAGCCTGCAGCAGCCAGACTGAGATAATAGACACCAACCCTGACCTCTTCCGGCCACAGTGGAAACATACAAAGTGCGATGGCTCCTAGCACTGTAACGATACAAAAAAAAGTTGATATTGGTCATAAAATCTTAAAAAAATATAAAAAAAAGAAGGCAGGTTATAATATTTTACCTACCCATTAAAAGACCAATTAAGAAGTTTTTAGCATTAACAGGGTCATAGATCCAGACATACACCTGAGAAAGAAGAACAAGAAATTTGTTACGGGTGAATTTTTACAACCATGCTTATACAACAGTTGAAGTAGCAATAAACTTGTTTTAAATTTTTTATTTCACTTCTTTGTTTTGTTTTGTTAGATTACCTCATCACCATCTGTAAAATGTTGGTCTTCAGGCATGATAAGCTTTAATCGTTTTTCTTTCTTTTTTTTCTCTTCCTGTCAATGGTATTAAAGTAAAATTGATTAATCTAAAAATGCTGAAAAATAGACAACATTACCAAAGGTAAAAAGTGGCCTACAAAATAGATTATTATAATGAAACTGAATCAACCAACCTTTTTCTCTACTTTATCCACTTTCTTTTCACCTTTGTCATCTTGTTCGATTTCTTTTTCCTTATCTTTTTCTCTTCTACTCCTTTTCTCTTTCTTTCCTTTTCTTTCCTATAATAAAAATGAGAATTAAATATGGAATAGTTAGGTAAACATTAATGTTTTTCTTTATATATGTACTTATGATAATCTTATCTATCAATAACATATACATTGTTTGAAACCAAGGCACTACACAAGCTTTAACTAATAATACATGGTGGTCTATAAAATAAAAATGATTGGAAAAAACTTGGTTACCAACATACAAAATATTCATCAAAGTCATTCAAATGACATAATTAACTTTGAATGTGTTTATCTAGTAAAGTAGAATCTTACCCTCAGTTCTTCATCTCCTTGGTTTGTCTCTTCTTTTTCTCCCTCTTTCCTTTTCTTTTTAATCGGCCGCTCCTTTTTACGTTTTTCCCTTTCAGCTCTATGAAAAAGCCCTTTCTCTAACAACCTGAAACAAGTTTTATCTTTAGCCATATACCTCAAGTACTTTTACACACTATAATGAAAATAATACTATTTATTAAGCTTTGTCTTAAATAAAGTTTATTGTTATCAATTATTATTATTATAACTAAACACTCTTTAAAATGTGCATACACAAGTGGGTAAAAGGCATCAAGATAACTAAAAAAGTGCAGATATTTCTAAAACTATTTTTAAATCCCCTTCTTCAACATTTAAATAAAACTTTGTACCTGACCATGTATGAAACACATGCATTACGATTAGGAAAGAGGAAATCTTTTTCATTCTTTGCTTTTGACCACTTTGACTCCAACAATTTATCAACAGCAGCACTGCCTGAAATATTCATTAAGAAATACCATTCTATATTTTACATATATAAAAGTATGCATAATTAAATCATTTAAACTATACAGTTTAAACATACAGGGTGCTGAAATAAAATTATAAAAGTTAACCCAGGGGCTATACAAGTGTAAACTGATGATAGAGTGTGTGATGGACATGATAGGGTGGAAGCAGGTGTAGCAGAGAAAAACAATATTAGACATCAGGTGTAATTACAATACCTTACAAGACTGTATTACAGAGAGATTGTGTAGTAAAGACAGAGGAGTATAGCTGGACAGGATTTGAAATTGAGGTAAACCTGCAGATTTCAAAGCTTAAAAAAACAGTCATAAACATGTTTCTCTCTTAGAACTTGAGGAAAAATGTCCGACATTAGAAACTGCTGGCTAGTAACCTTTGTACAAGTGGATATAGAAACACACTTGCTTTTTTTTCAAAATAAAATTTTATTATGAACTGGTTTCTTATTTTTCAAAAAAATATCTGCATTAAACTTTGTCTTATTTTTGACATACTGAAATACTTGACTAAACCAGCTCTTGCCAAAACATATTTTAGAGCTATTTTACAATACTAACCAATAAAACATTTCACTTCCATTCCAACAAGCTTTCCCTCTCTCACAGGTAGGTTAAATCTCAAATATTTAGCAACTGCATATTCTTCTTTAGTGGGCTTCTCCTAAGAAGTAGAAAAGTTAAAACGTGAATTTATTATAAATGTCAAGATAGTTTTAAAATTGTAACAAAAATCATCACATCATAAAACAGTATTAATAAACAGGGGTAACTCAAGTACCGAAACAAGACCTTAGAGAGGCACATTACTATTGGCCTATACTTTTTTTATGCTAACAAATGTGATATCATGAAGACTGCAAGTTAACAAATTGAATACACTCATAGAATACTAATAGCTTTGATATCAAAACAACCCTTATTAATCAAATCAAATGCTGTAAAATGCGAGAAGAGTGCTGATACTCTAATCTTGTGACACTTTGGTCTTAAATTTTCCTCTCCCAATTGGCAGGTTGGGTGGGGGTAAAATGTGATGTTTTAAAAAATAAACCAAACCAAACTTCCTATGATTTACAATGAATTTTGATACAGACTTTAAAGTTGGAGCTGCTCTGATGCAAACGTAAATTTCAAACAATTCTGATTTTTACTGTACACAAAAATGTGTTGATGATTGAATATCTATTAGAAATTTGAACTGATATTTTTCAGGGACATATTTAATGGTACTTCCACAAAAAAGGTATTGCTCTCTTGTGCCCGGTTTCGGCACCATTATGATGTTTGGAATTTGTAAATGTATTTGATAAAATATTTTGCATTAGGCCTGCATCTCTTTGTAAAAAAAAAGATATTAGAAGAAACTCATGCATCTCAATAAAAATAAATAATCAGCACCAGCATAATACCAAAAGCTTAAAAAAATATATGTCTCGCAAATGAACTATTTATCTATACTTTTTCACATAGGGCCTTGTCTATACACTCACATTTTCTTAGTAGGCCTATATTTTAGTAAATTTTACCACCTAGTAATTTACTATTTTTACCAACCCCTGGAAGAATTGATGATTAGGCTTAATATTAATATCAATTTGTATTAAGTTTGCAGAGGTTTTCAGAGGTTTGGCTACTTCACGACTACCAATGTAAAAGTAAACTTGAAAGCTGTACACTGTACTGTCTGTAGACTGTAGAGTGTAGGTAGACAGATGACTTAGACAGCAAATATTGCTCAATCAAGGGCACGTACAAATTTGGGTGGGTATATTTAAAATACCTAGCCTACAATTTTCAGTCCTTCTTTGCACTTTACCAGATGTTACTTTTGTTAGCCTACCCATCGACAGATCTATTTCTAACACAAGGTAGGCCTAACAAACAATTAGTTTATTTCTGAATATTGTGAAATATAAGGAAATAGTTTTAGTATAGTATATAATAACATATAGGCCTAATATATATATAATTATAAAATAGGCCTATTTTTTATGAATCTATAGATTCTAGTTCTATAGTCTATAATAGGCGCCCTGGTTCAACAAAACGTAATCAGGATTTTTGGTGTGATGTGGCTGTGGACTCGAAAAAATAAAATGGTTTTTAAATTTTAAATGAATGTTGTCTAGAAACTTTGTAAGCTGAGTGAATTGAACGAAATTATATTCGTAAATATGTAACAGCATTACAGACTGAAATTACACTTAACCTCTTCAATCTTTCGTTGCTTTCCTTTCTTTTTATCTGCCATATTTTAATAATATTAAATATTGAAAGTAAATAAACGACTTCTTAGTTTACATCACAGGCGGAAGTAACAATACAAATTTTCAGAGTGTTTTCCCCTTAATTAATAATGAAGAGGAAAAAAAAACAAGACCGACGGTAGAAAAGCGCTAAGAACCCTTTTAACTGTATAGGTAAAGCACTACATCTACTGTAAGTTACCCGCTAACTTTTTTAGCTGAAAAACTACTGATCAAAGTAAATGAAGTTCTGGCGATCAATTACGTTGTATTTTTTTTTGGAATATGTTCAATTAAATCCACATCTTGCGTAAGTCCCCGTAGCGCAGTGGATAGCGCGCTGGACTTCTAATCCAGAGGTCGCGGGTTCGAATCCCGCCGGGGATGAATTTTTATAAAATTTGATGATTATTATCTTTATTTAGTAGAAAATAATGTCAAACGAACCTTTACTTAAATCATCAATATTCAGACATTTTCTATGTGACATTTGTAAAAAAACAAAACAAAGTAGACATAGATCTATCTATATTCTATGTGAATTCAAATAGTATGTTATGAGCCTATATTTTTTTTATATTGTTTCATTTATAAAGCCCCCCCCCCTACCGTCCGAGAAATTATGGAAATGAGACAATAATAATAGACATTGATAGATAGGTAGTATTTAACTAAATTATTGTCTTAAATTCCGTGTTTTTTTTTTTCAAGGTGAAGCCTATTTTTCTTATTTGATTCTTTAATTAAAGAGGTACTAAAATTTTATTATTTCTACTTCCAGAAATAGATTCAGTCATATAAGGCATCTGTTAAGTCTAATAAATATATAAAAGCGCTGACCATTTAAAAAAAGAAAAATTAGATAATTTTAATCAACATCTTTGAAACTGTAACTGCTTTTGTGTGAGTTGGCCCAAACAGACGGAGACTACACAACAACAGCTGTGTTGGTAAATAACTCACGAGAGGCCTACCATTGTGTGTTAACACGTGTGTAGCGGGGTCAGGGTCAGGATACTGGCTTGCTCTCGCGCAGGTTGAAACCACGGTGAAAGCTTACTCATACTGTAAAACTTAAATGGGATGGTCTGCTGCAAAAGACGTTACTGAACTTTCATCTGCTTATATTCAGTTAGATATACAGAACAGTCGAACGCGCACGCACTCATATATATATATATATATATATATATATATATATATATATATATATATATATATATATAATGTTTGATTGATAAATGTAAGCTTATCAAAAGTTAATAAATCTCTTACATATTTATAGTTTTTTTTTTTATTTCATTTGAGCTGTGCTGCAGAGTTTCTTCCAGGCCACCCCCCCCCCCCCCCCCGAATGAAATGGAATTTATATAGAAAATATATACATTTAACAGAAGCAAGTCTACCGCCCCCCACGAAAATTTCAAGTGCACCCCCCCCCCCCCCCCGGAGAAGAAAGTCTGGAAGAAACACTGCTTTTCTGTCCTTAACATATATGTTACTAGTTGGGCTACCCCTCCCCCACCACCCCTGAGTAACTTGATATAGGCTGTACATCCTGCACCCACAAACTCAAACGGTAGATTCGCCTTTTACCACTTGTAACTCTAGTAAGTGCGTGATTGTAAGGCTATATTGATTGCGCACCAAAACATCGCATATCGTTCTTACAATAAAATACCAACTAAAAGTATTTTTTACCTACCTTTGTCACCTGAAACTGTACATTCATGTTCAGACAATGTGGTGAGTTATAATAGTTATATGTATTCTTCAAAAAATCATCGAAGTTTCCAAGCGTGTACTTTAAATGTAAAACTTATTCTTGTTTCCAACTATAATTAAGGCAGTTTAGCTTATACGTTATGCCCCTCATTTGGCCGCATCATGATTTTTAAGTTGTCTGTACTATTTATTTATAGGCATGTGCGCATATATATATATATATATATATATATATATATATATATATATATATATATATATATATATATATATATATATATATATATATATATATATATATATATATGTGTGTGTGTGTGTGTGTTTGGCAACCCTTTCAGAAGTCTACCAACCCACAAACGTTAAGCCTTACTATCATATATTCAGGGGGGGGGGGGGCTGTTTTTAAATTTGACAAACAATTTCCTGCACCCCCTCCACCCCCCCCCCCCCCCTCCAGCTCCGTGTGGTTATGACCGTACTTTTAATGAGCTCATCTTTTTACCACCCCCGCCCCCTTCCAACACCCCCCCCCTCCCCCCCCCACCTCCTGACCTGATGGTGCATTATTTGGGTCATAAGTTTGATGAGTCTACCGTGGCTAGCGGCGGGTGCCGCTGTTGTTGGAATCCTCTCACACACACAAGGCGAGTCAGCGCTTAAGATACGGGTTCCAGAACTGAAGATTCTGCCACAAGGAAGTCACAATGACTATCATTGTTTACATTACATCGGTGACTTTTAAGAAAGAGGTGAGTCTATGCGTTCTTCTATTGTTTCAGCTAATCTTTATCGAAATTTGAAGTCTAAACAAAACAGACATTCTTTTTCATGAAAAACTTTTCTGCAAGATTTCACATTTTATTTTAATTTCGAGCACCGGATGAATCTCGCCAACTAGTAGTTACTCACTGCGCCAGGTGAGTTCGGCTTCAATACCAATAACAAAAATGCAGTGTCTCTTTAAAAGATAGTCTAAAATATAATAAAATTCGTACCAAATGTACTTTAGTTAGCTGATTTCAACAGTGACGAAACTCATTCATACATAACTTAACTAGGGCCAGGTATCGTTTGCAGAGATAACTCACCCCCTCACCGGTGTGTAGCGAATTTACTGCTCACGGCGTGTTGTTTTAGTTGATGTGTTCCAGAGGCTTTGTCGAAATGTTCTGGAAGAAAAGAAAAAGAAAAGAAAACAACACCAAAAGCAGAAGAAAGAATACTAAAATAAAAGTAGGCCCTATATTCGAAGTAGATTGGGATATTTTAGAGTTTTACCAAACTCTTTAAAAATGCGTAAATAACAGCTAACTTGTCTTTATGTAATAAAATATAGTTTACTTTTTAAAATGTACATTTGTGACGTCAAACTTTATGAACACTTTCGGACCGCCCCCACCTCAGTCACGTAGGAGTGTACGGTCATTTATGGATGACCATAAAGACTATTTCTTAAATATTATATAGGCTACTGATTTTATTGGAGCATAACGCCATTAAGCTCTAAAATATGTCATTTAGTATAGGCTACAGTAAACATTTTTAACAATCGGATTTATAACGGTCTGTATAGGGCAGTCTATGCCTATATATGTATATATAAATATATAAACACATACATAAATAGATGTAAATATATATATGTATTTATATATATATATATATATATATATATATATATATATATATATATATATATATATATATATATATATGTTACGGTCAAAGCCCGAAGTCGGCCAATGTTAGGATTGGCCGGCCAATCCGCGCATTGGCCAATATCGCCTCCCATAAGTCGGTCAAAGTCCGAAACTTTGCTTGATTTCGGCCTTTGGCCGGCCAATCCGCAGACTGGCCATGGTGGACCAGCCAAAGTCTTAATTTGAAGATCATCTGGTTAGGGACGACCGGCCAAAGTCCGAATTAGAAGATCATGAGCAGATTTTGTTTTTTTTAATGCCGTAAGGATCATGAAATTAAGTCTTTATTGATTATTAATTAAAGTAAATGACAGAAACATTCAAATTTTTTATTGTACTATAGTCTCAATCAATCAATATTATCATTTGTTACAACATGTTGAACTTTTATGGCATTTAGAATTACATAGTAGCTTGTTATTTTTACACTTGCAGCGATTTGTTGTGCACTTAGTTGTGCAATTGCAGCGAGTGTAGCCTTGGCCCCCAGTCAATGATTGTGAAGATGCGATGGTTCGTAGTGATTTTTCCTCAGTGCCAACTGACGACAATAAGAGCAGTTTTTCGTGGAGAATTGAAAAGTCACTTCTAGCATACAGTTGTTTTAGAACACCATGTTCCGTTCCTACATTGTAGAAACCGCCCTCGACGCTCATGACAAGCGCAATCACGCTTTGGGGATCACCGTGACCTCTGTCAACATCTAAAAAACGGATGCGTATATTGTCACCCACTTCACCATCTTTAAATTTTGTATTTAATGTTTTAAGCATCTTAGCACCTTGAGTTTGCAAGCCAGTATGAGCTGCTGATCTGTGTTCCATGATGTCTTGTTTATTGTGACACAATCTGCAGGTAATATTTCCTCCGTAACCTTCGTCTGCTTCATTGGGTATTCCACAAATAGCATGGACATCGTTGCCACAGGATCCAAAAGAATGAGCTGCACTACAATGTTTTTCACAAACTATACAGAATCTGTTGGCCACATTATTGTCACGCAACTGGTCTGGACGTTCCGCCACGGCAGCAGATGTGTTAGCTGAGGAAGTCGTTGCATTTATGGCAACCTCCATTTCTTGTTCAATGTTCTCAAGATCTTCCTCAGTAACTATTTTATCGAGATTCCATATATGGAAACTAACATGGATTTACATTTTTTTCTTTTGACAGCCATCTGCTATGTCTGTCTCATGGTCTGACGGCCCTTTTGATCCATGTCGCCTTGCATATAGAATGCTATACAAACAAGAGCTAAACAATACGTTACTCTCAATGAAAACGCACCCAGAATAATGAAAATGCGATCACATCTTTAGTCTAGATAGAACATTGGCCAGGGCATACCGGCCAGTGCGCGCATTGGCCGGCCAATGTACGAAATACGATCTTAGTGCTAAGTTCTTCGGGCTTTGGCCAAGAGAGCCGGCCAATGCGCGGATTGGCCGGCCAATCCGCGCTTTGGCCGCACTTCGGGCTTTGACCGTAACATATATATATATATATATATATATATATATATATATATATATATATATATATATATATATATATATATATATATATATATATATATATATATATATATATATATATATATATATATATGGGGTCGTCCATAAATGACGTCACACTCGTAGGGGGGAGGGGGTCCGTCATTTTGTGACGGTGTGTGATGAGGGGGAAAGGGGGGGGGGGGGGTTCAGATGGTGTGAGATCCCAATTTTGCAATATAAATAAGCAATGTTAGAAAACGAATTTTAGCCGTTATTTCGCGTTTTAGAAAACTGTTTTAATAAATTGTAATAGGAATTGATTAAAATACTCTATGTTGACAAAGTTCAGACAAGATGTTGGAAAATTATCGTTCTTTAATCAACTGCAATTTTGAGGAGGGTTGTAGGCTGAGGTGTGACGTCATTTTAAGGGGGGGGGTAGAGGGATCTGACTTTTTGTGACAATGTGTGACGGAGGGGAGTGGGCGGTAATTATCGATGTTTTAAGAAAAAATAAACTGCAATTTTGAGGGGGGAGGGGGGGGGGTTGTAGGCCGAGGTGTACGTCATTTTTGGAGGGGGGGGGGGGTCTGGCTTTTTGTGACAATGTGTGACGGAGCGGAGGGGGAGATGGTATAAATCGTCAAAAAAGCGTGACGCCATTTATGGATGACCCATATATATATATATATATATATATATATATATATATATATATATATATATATATATATATATATATATATATACACATATATATATATATACATTAGCAAATAATCTCAAACTCCCCACTTGGTTCTCTCCCAGCTCCACACTCAACAAGGTCACATAGAGACAGTCCTGAAGGCCAAACAACTCCCCTATCAGCTGATTGACATTGCCCAAGATGCCAGCAAGAAGGATGAGATGAGAGAGAAATGTGGCAATGACACGGCTGTAGCCCCCCAGATTTTTAACGAAGATTTCTACTGTGGGGTAAGCTCAGCATGTTAAGTAAATTGTGACTTGTGTGTTCAGTCAAAAGGGAGAAATGATGATTGTGATTTGTTACTCTTGAGTCTGCAAGGTTGATTAAAAATATTGATATCTACTCCTATTTATTATTTATTTATTTTATTTATTATTTATTTTAAGTACGGAATACAATCAACAAGAAAGATCAATATATCGCTCTCAAATTTGAAACAGCAAGTTCTTGCATTAATAATGATGATGATTGGAATATATGTTATGGTTTTTTTTTATGGTTGCCAAATACTTGATGTTTATATGAAAATAATTTAAAATTCGTTATTAACATATAACTAGTAATTTGATTTATTATTGTAGTGTAATTGCCACGTGTAGATCAATTAAATATTGTATTATGATGCTTCAAAGGTTATATTTTGATTCACCCTCCATATCTTATTGGTAAAACAAAAAGAATTTACTATAAAATTTCTGTAAAACATTATTACCCCAAGAAGAATGTAAGCAGCTGGCATACTGGCAGCTGGGTGGGGCATACTGGCAGCTGGGTGGGGCATACTGGCAGATGGGTGGGGCATACTGGCAGATGGGTGGGGCATAATGGCAGATGGGTGGGGCATACTGGCAGATGGGTGGGGCATACTGGCAGATGGGTGGGGCATACTGGCAGATGGGTGGGGCATACTGGCAGATGGATGGGGCACACTGGCAGATGGGTGGGGCATAATGGCAGATGGGTGGGGCATACTGGCAGATGGATGGGGCACACTGGCAGATGGGTGGGGCATATTGGCAGATGGGTGGGGCCAACAGGTTCAGCACCTACATACATGTTTGTATGGTTTTTGTGTGGGACAGCAACCCACCAAAATCTTAAGTAGGCCTACTACAAAAACATTGACAGCATCCTGTGCATTTCTGTCTCTCTCACGGAGAGGAGGTTCTGTAAAAGGAACTATGTAGCGATCAGCCAAGCCTAAAAGGGAGATAAACTAGACTTCCATTTTTTTGTCTGAGGGAGACAACCTAGTTGGCAACTGGAATGTTAGGAAATTATATGAGATGGGGAAGGTTAACAAAGTAACAACAAAGATGAAAATTATTGGAAAGAAATGGAAAATTGGTGAATGACAAAAAACATTGAAGGATGTTGATAATGGCTCCTTTGGGAAATTAAAAACACGAAGAAAATACCATTAATAATAAAAATAAAGTATATTTTAGTCTGGGCTAGTAATTTTATGAATGCATTTTACAAAAACTTATAGTTTTACTTTGAATAAAATAAATATTTAGTGAAAAAAATTAAAAATGTTTCCAATGAAGTCTTCATTAAACAAATTTATTTAAACCACATTTTAGAAGCTCGTTAAGTTTTACTGTAGCTTAATTAAAAATGAGCTCATTAGGAAGAGCATAAGCATGTGTGACAAGTTGATAAATGTGTTCTCGTTTGTTTCAGGATTATAAAACATTTCAACAGGCAGTTGAAGAGGATAGGGTGTTGTCATTTTTAAAGGTTGCTTAATTTAGGTAAACAGCTTTTGAGCACTACACCCAGTTAAACTATTTTCTTAATGGCATTATTAATGGCTTTATTTGGTTGAATCTTATCGTTTAATTTAAATAAATACAGTAAAACAATTGCATATAAAAATACATTTTTGCTAAAAAAAATTGAGAATAAAAATATGTAGATCTAACCCTCATATAGCGATGTTAATGTTAAGATTCATTTGAAATTTCTGACAAAAATAACTAAGAATTAATGTTTTATAAAAAAAAACTATAATACTTTATTTTTTTTTTTTTACAGGAAAAGTATGTTGACCTCAAGTACTGGAAAAGGTGTATAAACAAATTATATTTTACACACCATAAAAATTCATCCCTGGCTTTCAATTGAATCAAAAACAACAAGAAAAAAGAAATTTTGAAATAAAATCAAAATCATTTCATTATGTAAGACAAATTTTAAGAAAATAAATTTAAAAATAAATAAATGCAATACTTATAATTAAAATAATATGTAAGTCACTTGTTTTGAAGTTTAAAAAAAAATCCATTTTCATCTAAGAGATCAAAGATTAAAAAGATTTTTCGTAAAAAGGGAATGAAACAAACATCTGTTCATTCATTTAAGTGAATGCTATATCTCTACTCCTGATGCTTCTGTGATGCTCAACTGTGTGGGCGTGCTATGTGTGTGATTCTGCTGTATGTCTGGTGCCTACCTATATGTACATAACTTGTTTTTTTTCAGCTTCATGTATTTTTTATACAGAAAAATGAAAAGAAAAATTTATTTATTTTTGGAATGTGGGTCACAGGTGCTATCCTTACTTCAGTGGCTCTATTAATTTTTTTTTGGCATACTGTAACAATTGATTTTCTATAAGGCTTATATCTTTGTTTATGTGAACAGCAGCAACTATGGAATAAAATTAAATTTCCTTTAATTACACATTAGTATTTTATTTTAAATTTGTTCATGTTGTTTGCATAGCCTACTTATCAAAAGTGTTCTGGATATAAAGAAATATAATTAACACACTGTTAATTAACACATCCGTTTTAATCCTATTTGTTAAACTGGTTCATTCATAAATCATAACCAAGTTATAAGACTTCTAAATATAGGCTAAGCAAAATAAGCATACATACATATATATATATATATATATATATATATATATATATATATATATATATATATATATAGATATATATATAAACATATATAGGTAGTTCAGGTGTGTCCATAAAGGGTTACTTAAGAAACAGTTACACTAACATGTCGTTTAAGATGTGCTTATGTAGGTCATTAGTCAATGTCAGTGAGACCTTCTACCTGCAGCAATTTTTTACCTGGATTTTACAGGTAAACACAGTACAGTGTATCCAAAACATCTTAGAGGATATCTTAAGGTAGCATTACAAAACAAAGTCACCACCTCAATCAATGAGGACTTATGGCTAATTTGAATTGAAAATCTGGACAACCAATCATCAACTTGTAAATTGCGTTTAATAAATGTACAAAACAGAAAAAAAAAATAAACAAATTTTAGCGTTTTCATAATTTTTATTGTTTAAAAAATGTTTCAAATAATTTAAAGAACATGAATTTACCCCCAAAAAAGACATTTGCAGATTAATGAAATTGAGTCAGACATATACTTGGTATTTTTAAGTCCACAATTCTGAAAACAAAAATAAATTATAAAACAAGCACACAATAAGTCATGAAAAAGTTTAATACATTTTTCTAAAATGTTGTCAAAGGCATGATAAAGATTTTTAACAGGAGAAATATTAAGAAAATAATGTATATAAAATATTAGACGTAAGTATTTAATATTATTTTAAACTGATAAATAATAGAGAATAATTAAGGACTAACAATTAATCTTATACCAATACTCATAAAAAGATAAAACAATTCACCATATTAAATGTAAATAGAAAATTTTAATTAGATAAGCTTCAACTGTAATGTTGTTTTGAATAAAATGTAAGTTTTCATTTCAAATATAAGAAAATATTCTTGAAAATATTCTAGTAGCTTTCATCTTCAAAAGTTATAATTTTAATGGTAAGGGACTACTATCTAAATTAAAAGTAAATGTACATGACTATACCTTAAACAAATATGAACATTGACTAAATTTTGGTAGTGACATTTTAAAGTCAAACTCAAAATCCACCAAACAACAAACATTTACTAAATATAGAAAAAAATGTTTGACTTCTGAAAATAAAAAAATAAATTAGTAATTATTTTTATTAATTTAAAAACTAACACAAGGATCTAAGAGAATTTTTAAAAACTAATTTTTACAAGGTTAAATAAAATAATATTTAAATACAAAATCAAAAACAATTATCACAAGGAAATAAAATACAAATGATGACTTGTGTTTTAAGACAAAATCCCAACAAATGTTTATAGATAAGAAGGCATGTAGCAGACGCAAGACAACATACAAGTAGGACAAGAATAAATGCAGTATTACTGTTTGGTGCCACTGATTAAAAATAGGATAGTAATAGAAAAATTCTTTTTTTTTTTTTTTAAAACTACATAATAAATGTAGGCAATACAATTTATCTAGCTACATAAAGTGGCAATGTCATAATGGAATGTATTTTGTTTTGGTAAAATTTTCTTAAAAATTTGGTTATGTAATTATAACAAAATACAAATTAAAAAAAAAAAACAACAGCTAAAATGTTCTAGATCTTCACAAATATTTGTTTTATAATTTGTTGGTGGAATTTTTTAATTATAAAAAAAAAAAGGGCTGAGTTAGATTTTTTTCTGTAATATATATGCACACAGATAAGGCTTAAAAAAAACTGATGATCTAAAAAATATTCCATTCAATTACATGAAAAATGTGTATAGAAAGTTAAACCTGATTCCATATAAATATCCCATATAAAATTGTGAACAGCAAGCTTGTGATTTATGTTAGATATAGAAGGTGGGCTGATATCAACATTGAAACACTGTCACAAGGTTAAAAAAGCTAAGTAAAAATACAACATGGCAGATTGTGAAATAATCTTTTAAATACCAAACTCCACTGAAGTATCAAATTTTGATATGTTTATTTTTAAATCATAATTAACTGAACCTTGGAAGCTCTTACTTTATTTAGTTAATTCACTTACAATTCAATGTCTTACAATTAAACCCCCTCCTCCCACTTAAATGGTGATATTTATGCATCTAGATTGAGACAAGCCATTGTTCCTTATTTACCTACACATACTATTGCTGTATTGAATACTGATGCAGAAAGTTGAACACATTTACTTGTTTCCACTACATAGTTCATTTAACTTTGATTACAAATAGTTTGAATAAGAAGTAAATATTTTAAAATAATTATTGTAGTGTTCTACTTGTTTCTTTTTTTTTTAAAGATTTTATTTAAATTGATAAAAATACATTGGCAGATAATACACATAGTAGCAGTGGAAAACTGAAAGAGGAATGTAGTGTGCAGGCTAAATGTGAATGTGTTACTAATTTGTTCACTACTTGACAATTACTGCATTAATGAGCAGATATGTTACAATTTTACAGGTGATTATACATCATAAAGCAACTTTAAAAAATGGCTTGCTTCACTACAATGCTGAAATAACAACATAAAACCTTCTACATTTGAAGTGAATAGTTATTATATTACATTTTAGCATTATATGTGATGTGTGATTCCTCATCCATGGTGTTTCTCAGTTGGGCATGAATGCTTGTATGGCATAACAAAAAAAAAAGAAATAAGGATGTAGCACCATTATTTTTTCAGAGCTTCAAAAATTCTTTCAGTGTTCCACATTCAACGGCATCATCAAACTGTTCATAGTCCTGTTCATAAATTAAAATACTATAACTTTATTTTTTATAAATGATGGTAAAATATGAAATATTCAATTGACTCACACAACACCTAGGGGTCTACAACTAAACAGAAAATTGCGCTAATAATGAATTATCAAAAATAAACAGAGACGGCTATTAAATAAATAAAAATCACTCCATTTGAAATTGGTTGGACTTGTATTTCATAATTTTTCACAAACACACAATCTACACACAGGCATTATAACTTGGGAAAAGACTTTAATTGCCAGTGACTTTTAATTATAACTTTCTTTTTAAAAATTCAACTCTGGAACAGAAATAAAAAATAAATTTTGCCAAAATTTATGACTCACCCCGCAGTAAACAGTGCCATTTACAATCTGAGGAGGGCACGCATGCTCATTACCCACAATCTCTCTCATTTTTGCCAACTCATCTTTACTAGCAGAGACATCAACAACTTCAAACTCTATCTTTTTACCCGCCAGAACATCTTGAATTCTAGTTTGGTTCTTCCGGGTCTACAAAAGTAAGGCCAAATATTTATTGGTTTTTTTTTTGCATGGTGAAAGGATTATGTATTAGGCAAGTATGTGACGTTTATTTCTGGCAATTTGAAAAGTGTTGGCATTGTCTTATGTAGGGTAGTGGATGGAGGTGTCTGTATTCCAGGTTTGTTAAGGACTGAGAATGTATTATAGTCTTTGTCCTGTTTTCTTAATGGATATAACATTTATTTCACTCCAGGAATTCTATTTCTCATTAACAAGTATAATAGGTATATTTTTTTTTGGGGGGGGGGGGGGGGGAGGAAATACAATGAGTAATGCCTATACAATGTAACTCATCAAATGAACAGCAGACCAATGAATCTCACATTGGTTGGGTATATTTTATCTAGATTTGATTTCATCCATATAGGGGGTCAGTATTCACAACATATAATTCATTCCCCAAAAGAGGAAAAATACACAAAATAATAATGGTACAACTCAATTTGCAATTAAGGCACAACTGTACAGTTATGCTCTTTTTATTTTCCCCTAAAAAGGGCCTATTATATTTTGCGCAAAATAGAAAGAGATAGAGATGTCAAGATTTAATGAATCATTATCTAATAGACTAATATGATCTAATATCTAGAGTATATAAATAAAAATGATACTGATAGTAGTTTAGAATCATAGAATGTGCATCTGGGCGACACTCCTTTATTGAATTGAACTTTAATTATTTAGTCCATTAAAATTAAAGTCTATTTAAAAGTATTTATCTACTTACTTTGTAATGTATGACAGTGTAAGCCTATAAGTATAGGCTATAATGTATTAATAGGGTAATCTATCGTTTTAGGTACGTAAAATCGTCCGAGGCTAGTAATGTGTGACAAAGTTGCCTCATTGTTAAGGCTTTAGTTTAATAGAAGTATATTGTGATATATTTGTGTCAAATATTATAGATAATTGATTAATAAACCAAAATCAATGGCTAAATATATCAATATAGGCCAGAAATGAACTTTAAACAACAGTGTTTGCTAGCAATATTTGCAGCCATTGTAAAATAGAGTGGCTTCTCCTGAATCTCCCGCTATAAGTTTACCATAAAACTTAAACAAGATGGCTGCTGAAGTAAATGAGCTTTGTTGCATCTGATGAAAACATCACTAGTCTTTATTAACTCTTTATTTATTACTGAAAAGTTTTAATAAAAAAAAAAATTGTTTAACACTTAACAGGTAGGCCTACATGAATGAAACTTTGAAACATTTTTGTAACTTTCAAAACATAAATCTTCACATAAATGTAAATTAATTACTAAAATTTAATGAGCCACCTTCTTTTCACTACATTTCTAGCCTCGGCCGATTTTACGTACTAACTTTACTAAAGTGATAGAGATTACCATTACTGCCACATTTGACATTAATTAGTTAAAATAATTAGGCCTAATAATTAGGTATTAGTATAAAAGTTAAAAGTTCATTTCCATGGGGCATGTGAGGTAGAGTTCACCTATTTCTGTGACCTCGGCATATGAAGGGATAGTATGGCCAGCACTATGCCTAGCCCCTTACTTTCCCTAATTTAATTCAGAAGATCCAAAGTAGAAGTTGAATCTAGAAACTTGGAAAAAATTGGGTAATCTATCGTTTTGGGTACGTAAAATCGCCCGCGGCTATTAATGTACAAAAACGTTACCTCATTGTCAAGGCTGTAATAGAAGTATATTGTCACAATTGTGATATGTTTGTGTCAAATATTATAGATAAATGAATAATAAACCTAAATCAATGGCTAAATAAATAGTAAATATATCAATATAGGCCAGAAATTAACTTTAAACAGCTGTGTCTGCAAGCAAGATTTGCTATATAAACAGCAGCCATTTGTAAAATAGAGTGACTTCCGCCTGAATCTCGCGCTATATGTCTATAAAAATAAAACTTAAACAAGATGGCTGCTATAGTAAATGAGCGTGGTTGCATCTGTTGGAAACATCGCTGGTGTTCATTTATTACTGAAAAGTTTTAATTCAATTGTTTAAAAACAGGTACATAAATGAAACAAGGAAACATTTTTGTATTTTTCAAAACATAAATCCTCATCAAAATGTGAAATAATTATTAAAATGTAAGGAGTCACCTGTTTTTCACATTACTAGTCGCGGCCGATTTTACGTACCTAAAACGATAGATTACCAAAAATTGATGCCACGCCTACTCTTTGTTTGGTAAGGTAAATGTTACAACACATAGTAAAAAATTGAATTTCCCACTTACCTCCATACTTGACACCACATTGCTAATGTAAACTGTTATTTTTCCAGTCATTTTATTTGATATTTTAATGAAAATAGGCACAAAAAATGTTAAAAGTTGTGGAATATTCGATGTGAACAAGGAAGTAGCAGTCTGACGGATGGAGAATAAAATTTACAGTTCTTTCCCTTTTTTTTTCAGGCTGAATCACCGGTCGGTGACGGGGTATTTTGCATCCGTGATATTTAGTTTGGATTCATTTATACCTACATGTATTTATTATCTTTATTAAATCTAATACTTTGTTTTATCTACAAAAGCACTGTTTTATAACTTATATAAAAAGTTAAACAAGTATATCTGAATTATGAAAATAAACAATTTTTTCCCGTTGCATCTTCTTACATTCTATAGCCCTAAGTTATTTATAACTTTGTTACCACCAAGCAGGAAGGTTTTTTTTTCTATTTCTACAACAACAAGTGTGGGCCTTTTCAATCTTATTTTACATAGACTGCTTACATTTTTTATAAATCCAGTTAATCTACTTGTAAAAGAAAAAAAAAATGATATCGTGTCTATTCTGTTTTTTTTTTATAAAGCACGTATACGTCAGGCTCTTCACCTTTGTTTTGTAAAGTGTTAGATTGAAATGGATCTTTACCAACACAGATATTACGTGTCAACATGTTATGTGCCATATTATGGCTTGAATCCTAAGCCTTGCTCCACACAAGAATAATCTGCAACACAGCAGTTGTTTGTTTGTAGAATTTTCTCTCCTAGATAACGAACCTCAGCACAGTAGCCTTTACGATGCTCTAACGTAAGACAGGCACCTCATTAGAGCAGGGTGGAATCAGAAGCGTTCTATGGATTTGAACCCGGATTCGAACTCAAGACTTTCGGGGTTAGCAGTCGCACGCAGTGTTTCTTCCAGACTTTTTTCTCCGGGGGGAAGGGGGCACTTGATATTTTCGGGGGGGGGGGGGGGGGGGCGGCGGACATTTTCCGGGGGTGGGGGACACTGGTAAAAGTATATGTTTTCTATATAAATTACATTTCGTGGGGGGGGGGGGGGGGGCGGTAGACTTTCTTCGGAACACCAACCCCCTGACGAGATGCTTGGAAGAAACTCTGGTCGTATGCGCTACCATTCGATCAACTGTTAAATAAGAATAGAAGGGGTGGGCTGGGACTATACGAGAAAGTTTAGTGGTTAGTTCCATGGTTGGTGATGGTGTGTGTGTGTGTGTGTTTGTTTGTGTGTAGGGGAGTAGGGGTGGGGGAGTGAAAAGAATGTGTTAAATTTTTGGGTTATAAAATACGTGCACGATCCGTCATAAATGGATGACGTGATACACATGTTGTTGGCGTTGTCGTCCTTGTCAGATAACCAGCAGCAACAAGAGAAGACAACCCAACAGAGAGAGGTGCTGTAAGCTTCCCACGAGAGTATAGTGTCCCTGTTATCAAACCAGTGTTAATTTACGATTGTTGAATGGGGAAAATTCAGAGTTTCTTTCAGTCATGTCCCCCCCCCCCCCCCAGGCACATTCGCCGCCCCAGAAAGAAATACAATTTATATACAAATTATATACTTTAACTAGCGTCCGCCCTTGGAGTAAAATGTCTGAAAGAAACACCGAAGAAAGGTGCATGTGAATAAATCGAAAAGGTTTGAGGTCGACCTAGCTGGAAATAAATGAAAACTGTTGGATCACAAATATACATAACCGAGTTAATTATAAAATCTTTTAAAATATTTATTTCATTCATCCTTTCATTCAGTGTGTATTTTATACTAAAGATCATGGAAGGCGACTCTTTGTTAATTTCTGCTATAAATATGCGCCAATATAAAAAACTATTTTCACATTTAAACCCCCCCCCCCCCCCCCCTTCTCATCCAACAGCTACCCATGTAGAAGATACAAACTACTGTTATAAACCCAGGTACATTTACTACAAGCATCTCAGCGAGCTTGAATAAACAAACTTCTGAAGGTACTACTGAAGGCGCGGAATGTTTCATTAAAAGTCGATTTCCACAGAAGTAGCGCCATAACTCGCAGCCAGACTCCATCAAGTTGTACTAGCGCCCAGTGGTGGACAGAATGCAGGATAGGCATGCGCGTGGCGCTACTTCACCACATGTTCCCTCTGTTGTACTCTCGTCGGCTGCTTCTGCTACCTAATTTCGAAGAAGGTACGGGGTCCCGTTTTGTCATATTTGATAATTTTGAATATTCACGAAAAGGACAAGGGTTTTACTTTTTTAAAAATTCATTATATATATATATATATATATATATATATATATATATATATATATATATATATATATATATATATATATTGTTGGCTGATAGTTGAAATTAATTGTCTTAAATT